CCACAAACAGTAAACAACGCTCAAACCGCCGCCATCTACGAGAATAGTCCCAACTCGAAAGTCTTAGAGAAGAAGGACATCCATTGTCGAGCAATGCAAAGTCAGGGACTAGACCCCTAGAGGGCGGGCGGCGTGCGCCAGGGCCGCTCAATGACCTCACCCCTTGCGTCAAGCGTCTTCCCATGGCGCGTGTATCCTGTCATATCTCCTCTCGTCTCCCGAGGCGAGACAAGCCAAACGACGTGATGGCATTCCACTATTCGCAGAAGGGCTCGAAGCTTCAGGGTCCAACAAGCCACCAACAACCGAAGCGACCGTCCCAACGGTGCGCCGTGGCTCAATAAGCCAACGGCCCGCGGGCGTCACCCCCCTTTCAGCAGTCAGGACTCAGGAGAATGTCCCACCTCCCCCCTTTGGTGATCGACTCGATCTGCTCATTGCGCGCGAAAGAATGCAGCACCAGCAAGCCTCAGACGGCCGATCTGCGTTACGCACATTCTTTTCTTGGAAGACCAGAAAACCTGACCAACGAAAATACACCAAAAAGTTGGTCCTAAGGAAAGGATTCAGGGTCCATTTCGGGGGGTAGATCAATCATGCAACGTCCGGGGTGGCATTGAATGTTCTTCATGTTCTTTCTCTCCACCGGCCGTCGAACCTAATCCCACCTCAGCCAGTTACGTGCCAACACGGCGAGGTTCGACGACGACGACGATGATGAGAGCATGGCTCAGGGGGTGAGCCTGTGAGGAAGTCCAGGAAATGGACCTGCACGATGGGCGCCCGACACACGTCCCAACCAACCAACGCCGACGAAGATCACTGGAAAAGGTCTTGAGAGAGTTTCCTTGGCTGGTTGGTCCCAAAGCTCCTTGGTCCATGGTTAATCAGCGGGCGACGACAGCCCTAGCTACCTAGTGAAGTGTATGTATTCGAACGGTGACCTTGCGACGTCGTCGCCGTTGATCACTGCGGATAGACTCCGTACACACAGCAAGGTATACGGATGCACATTCACATTATACCTCACGGATACAGGGCGGCAGGTCACAGCAGGGCTGTCGGTCCAAGGCCCCCCGTCCCCGGCTCTCCCTTTGCTCTACCCCGCCTCATTGATTGAGGCCCCCGCCATCTCCGTTCGGCACTACCGGGGGGGATACGGGGGGAACACGGCCGACGCCGTTACGCACCCTCCAGCGTCCACACCACCCACTACCGTCACCAGACTGCCGCCATCACAGTCTTCTCTCGTGTGTCGTGCGGCTATCCGCCGGCTGGCCTCGTCAAGCACAACGTACACCCATGACTTACCGCTTCCCGGCGCTGTGCAACGACGGCATCGTGATACCCTCTCCCTTCTTCCTCCCTTCCTCGTTCGCCTCACATAAGTAGTAGCGGGTCTTTGGTCCAACCACCCACCTTAGTACTTGTTAAGGCAGGCGATCCTGCTGGGCATGGGGATACCAGCCACCGGGATCCCGCATTCTGGCCTCCAACCTACGGGCTTCCCGTCAAGCGGGATGCCCTACGTGACTTCTACAGGTGCAAGACTTCACCCAGCACCAAACTCAGCTAGGCCTTGCCCTCTCCGCACATGAGAACCTGGAGAATCCCGTGTTGCATCTCGTGCTATATTGCACTGATCCCCGTTGCGGCCGGCGGCAGGCGAGTAGCCGCGGCGCTGCAACACTTTTTTACGTTTCTCTGCGTGCTCTCCCCGCAACATCCATGGGAAGGTGGCCATACTTGCCTTCCTAATGACTGAAAGAGTATCCTTCCCAAGGTTCCCGGCGGCCGTCATTGACGCTGTGCAACTTGAGACGATGCTGTGCTAGAGAGACCCCAACACCCGTCGCTTCCCGCCTCCCCGCTGTTGTTGCTGCTCACCTGAGGTTCACCTGAAAGGTCATTCTGAGGGCGCCCGTCAGCTGCGGCCAGGCACGGTTTAGGCGATGGGCCACGAGGCCTGGTGAGCAATACTTTGTGCGGGCTGTGCCACTGTTCTATCTTTTCTTTGCGCGGTAAACCCTTTCACGTAGTGGTTACGCAGTTGGAGGTTATTACCGCCTGATGCCATGCCCGTAGCTGTAGATGTCGAATTCATTGTCTCGCTGTTGGTCTGTCGTGTCCAGCTGCAGGATAAATTCGGACGCGATGACCAAGTAAATAAATGTACACGAGCAGACATAGCTAGGCAGGTGCTTTCGCCAGCATAGCAAGGCAACCAACCGCCCGTGACATTCCTTACGGCGTCTCGCTCGCATGGGGAGTTTGCTTTGCCTCCCGAGTCTCATGTTGGATACCTACCTACTCTGCCTGGGTAATGATGCGGGGTGGTGCCTGGCCGTAGCCTCGCGTTTTCAGGCAGGAGACGTCTGGTTGTTTTGGGTGGGCTTTCTTAGGCAACCACAGCTCCTTGGTTCTTCCCTTTGGCGCCAACATACGCGGTGGATGACTCAAGCTTGATCTAGATGTCTGCTATGGCTCGTGTTTGTATGTTATTCTCCAATAACGAGGCTTTAATACTTAGTGAAGCGTACATCGTTGATTGGTGTAAGCGTGACGGTTGTGGTTTACATGTACATTAAGGGGGTGGGCTGCGAGGCGGGATATCGAGATGTTCTCGTCCATGCTGGATCGCGCAAGCCAAAGCGGTCGAAAGGTGGGTGTGTTCGCGCAGAATTCACCTTTGCCTAATTAGCAATCTATTCGTGTCGTAGAAGACGAGTGTTGTCAAGCCCAGGGGAGTGTTGGCGCGTGATATCCCGCCAGTATTGCTGCATATGAGTCTTGCAGGAGCTTTTTCTTTGGATGAGATGGGTTCTTTGTAAAGTGGTACTTCCATGGGTTGGCTTCTATCTCATGGTTCTACTTGGTAAATCGGAGAGTTCGTACTCGAGTCTGGGGGTTCTCTCTGAGAGTTCCAAACAATTCTCACCAATTATTTGGTGTCCTCAACCTATGGCGATCTTTTGGGAACGCTTTTTGTATGGCTAGTTTACGATACATAAAGTCTTGTGGCATCCTAATGTCAAGTTTTACGTCACCAACGTCGTTCTCTTCACTCCATCAGGCAGGCTTGCCCTCAGAGGCCCTTTCAGGTCGTTCATGAAACAACCATAGTGAATCCTCCATGTTCAGTACGAGATGTAATATCTCTCAGCCTTGCGTCATGCTTGTGAGCAACAAGGCTGACTGAGAAGCCGAGTAGTGTTGCCTCCTTCCCACTCGACAGTGAGTGCTTAGGAAAGAGACCGGTCTCTAGTCACGTAGTCATGATATACCAAAAGGAAGCTCGCGCCTCTCCTTGAAGAAGATTGTTAGAGAGTGCAAGATGGGTCATTCAACTACATCAGTAGCCTAGAAAGCGACATTGCCGTCGAGTTCCTTGAAGGGGATGATGGCATAAAATGATTAGAGCTATGCCATGCCTACCAAAAGATTTGGGCTGTCTCTCGTGGGAAATTGGGACTGAGCGGGCTGTCATATCTCGAGCCACTTCAAGCCAGATATTTGATTCTTCATGGTATCTCGAGAGACCTTGAGGGAATACCTAAACGTCAACATGTAATTTGATACTGAGTTATATGCGCCCTTAAGTCCTTCATCCCTCTACGAATTCAAAAGGAACGTCCCATTCAAAGCCATGCACCGAATCCCGCGCACAATGCTCAAGCTTACCCACCCACATCATTCATCCAAGCTAGAGCTCAAATGTCCACACGTCAGTCAATGCAACACTCCCAAGCATCCTCGACATCTTAGAACCTGATGTCCCTAGGCCAATGAAAAGAGGGGGGGAGAACAGCATCACGGACTTGCATTTCACGAGCCCCTTCCCAGCCATAAAACGACCCTCGGCACAGAAGAAGTCCCCGTCAAGAATTTGACATGTTTTACCATTTCTATATTCGCACCTCACCACGTTGACCGCTATGTTCTGTCCCTTGACCCACACACGGGTGAGATTTACCCAAAAGATGGGATTAGGTTAATCCTCTGTGCTCTTCATGCCATCTCAAATTGACAACCATCCTCTTCACCCTTGAGCCCTTGAACCCTTGACCTCTCAGAGCCTCTCGATCCCATATCTCTAAACCCCGTAAACCCTTGGACCCTTCCTCAACCGTGACATATTCGTCCACTCGCTCCCCCTTTTGACCGCTTTCTTGACTCGTCCATTTCCTATCGGACCTCACAGGGAATGGATCCATCACAGCCCATTCTTCTCACCGGATATCCCGTCTCCAAAAACTTCTGCTCTTCAAACAACCTGGTCCTCTGACAGGCACAGACAAATATGGGAAACGACTTCAACAAAATCAGGAATTCAAGAAGGCACCTGTGGACGCGCTGGTCCCCTCCCCCCCTGAGCCTACTCCCCAGACCCTGAGGTCGGATGAGAGGAGAACAGGCCTAGCATACGTGGAGAAACGGGCCGTGGACATGATGTTCAGAGAGGAGGCAAAAGCTGGGCCTCTCCGTCTGGTCCTACCGCGAATTCTCGTCATACGCTTTTGGGAGGCGAGGCAGCTCCAACGTCGCAGGTAGTTCTCTTGAACGATTATCCAACCCCCGTTTCCCCACGGCGGATGGCATATGTTGTGTGATTTTCATCTTGGAGTCGGTTGCGTACATGAGAGGTTAGACATCTTGCTGCTGCATCTAAGCTACCACCAAGGCTTCTTCGCAGGATGGCACGCTAAGACCCTGGAGCAGGGTCACGAAAATCAAGTCATTGGTTCAATGTAGTCTCCATTTCATCTAATTTTTGCCCCTTTGTCTAAACCAGCGCTTCGCAGTATGAGTCGTACCTCCCATCGTCCTCGTACAACAAATATCTACCTTTTCACTCTTCACAGCTCTCCCCACTGGCCGCAGCTGATCAGGATGAACCTAGGAGCAGAGCAATGGCCTCAATAGCCCGCAACACCTCATCCCGCTCATCCTACAAACACTCCCCAGCGGTCTTGTTCCGTGAGTCATCCTTTACCACGCCCCTATCTCTTCACAGGCGCAGCGACCCTAGCCGTAAAGAACGGATGCTTCAGCGCGTCGGCAGGCTTGATCCTCTTCTCCGGGTTAAGCGTCAAGCAGTGCTCGAGCAGGTCGACAAAATGATTCAGGTCCCTCGTCTCGGCGTCGTTCATACCCGCTGACGCGGCAAAGAGGCGGGTGCGCAGATCACGCGTTGGTTTGACGACGGGCAGGACCCTGGCGGTTGTCTGTGGTGAGATGTTGGTTAGCGACTGGCTGAACTTTTCTGCTACTATTTTCAAACAAAAACCCATCATCGGGCCATCGAGAAAAAGAAATGATGCAATAGCGTAACAGGGGACAACCGGGATAGGCTTGCTGCGGAGGGACCCTCCGGACAGCGGAAACATGTCCTGTCAACTTTGACAAATCGACCCGACGTGTTGGACCCTTTGTGCAGGATACAAGGGGCGGCGGAGGGGCAAAAACAGGGTAATAAGGGAGAACAGGATAGAGGCGAAGTTGAGATGATGCGGCCGTGACAAACAGTCCCTGAGACAGCTCATCCTCCGAAGATGGGAGGATTCGTTCGCGGACCTTCCATACTGGGGGACCGCTCCCCCACAGCAAGTCATGCGAGTCCGACGAGTCCGAAGTGTTTGCTTCCAAGGACATCGTGACCACTGTCGACGACCAACCCGTCAGCCGGGCGGCATCGCGTCGCGAGCTTTCCGGGGTACGCGCTCGGACTTGACTGATGAACGGCCCGCAGAAGCTGTGGAGGATGCGTGCGTACGCATGTGCAGCCGCGCCTCAGCGCTTACAGCCGCACTCCGCCTCAACTAGACCTATCTCGGGACCCCGTCGGCAAAAAATAGCATCTCTGAGGGAAGGTTGGGTCGTGGTTTGAGAGTCTTGAAACGAGGCAGAATGCAGAGGCGTTGAGAAAATGGGGAAGAGAGGGGTGAAAAGCAAAAGTAAGGAAAACACAGATGCAAGGAGGACAGAAAACACCGAGACAACGAGCCAATAACGTACCTTTCCAAGCGCCTTGTCCCGCTCCATGCTGACAAAGTTGCCCAATTCATCAAAATGCATCGCCGAGAGTTGACCTCGTTTGTAGAGCTTGGGCGTGATCTTGCCACGGATCTCCATGATGGCCTTGAGCATCTGATTGTTGCTGTCGCCTGCAAATAGGATCTTGCCCGTGTACAGCTCGTACAACGTGGCACCGATGGACCACATGTCGATGGAGAAGTCGTAGGGCATTCCGAGAATGATCTCTGGTGCTCTGTAAAAGCGACTGACCAGGTACGGGGTGATCTCGTTGTGCGCCGTAGCCGCATCAGATTTGTCGATACCGGTTCCCAAGTCACAAATCTTGAGCACATTTCGGCTCTCGTTGACCTGGTAGTGGTTAGTGAAGTTCTTTTTCCAACAATCAACATTGGAAGTACTTACTAAGATATTGTCAGGCTTCAGATCGGCATGGATGACACTGCATTTGCGCATGTGAGCAAGGCCAATGAAGATTTGATGAGCGTATGCTCGAGTTGCGCCTAGGTTGATTCCAACATTGTTGCCAAACTTCTTGAGCACTTCGCGCAAGTTCAGACTTAGATTCTCAAACGCCATACACAGGTGGCCCTTGTGGTCGAAATGCCGCTCAAACTTGACAATATGCTTCCGATTCTCCGGATCGGCATCGTTAAGCTTTTGCAGGATGGCAATCTCGGTGTAACCTCCTTTCCTCAGCGCATCGTTGTTTCTCATGATTTTGACAGCGACCAATTTCTTGTTCGTAATGTCGACAGCCCGCGCAACGCCAGAAAACATACCCTTGCCCAGAGTCGACTGGACCTGATAACGGCCGTTGAGGATCTCGCCGATGCGAATCTTGTAGTAGCCGTCCTTATCGTCGCCCTCGAGGATGGCTCCGTTCGGCGGCGCAAGTGCTGGCGAGGCCTTGGACTCGTCCACCACAGCTACCTTGACAGGGTTGGGTGCAGCGTACTTGTCGTCATCAAAGTCTTCAGCAAACATGTCAAAATCGTCATCATCGTCGTCTTCTGATGACTTCTTCGCAGGGGCTTCCTGAGGCTGTTCCAGTGGCTGCTTGTCGTTCGACGCATCAGGAGCTTCGCCATGAACACCCACGTTACCGTGTCGCATCTCATCGCGTCTCTCGTCCTCCTTCATGTCGGCTGTGGGATCGTAGTCTGCAGCTGAGGGGCCGTCCTCCTCGGTTGCGTCACCACCGCCATGAGTATTCATGAGGTCGCTCTCATTCACAATGTCGATAGCACCAGGCGAACTTCCGTCTTGGGCTGGTGAGGCAATGTCTGTAGACTTAGCGTATGTCAAAGTCTGGGAGGTGAAATTCTTACCTGTGCCTGGGGTTCCGATATCCGTCGCAGGGGTGTTCTCCTGCGCTGGTGATGGAATCGCCGACCTTTCAGCAGCATGCAATGCGTGAACAAGCAGCGGGGTAGCTGAGCTGGACTTTGCGAGTAGCTCATCACGTCGTCGTCGCCTGCGTTCGATCTCAGCTTCCTCGTCAATGACCATTGGCTCCTCGGGCTCCTCGTAGCTATGATCAGGCTCTACCACCTGCGGAGCGCTATCGTCGGGTGTTAGCAGGAACCGAGTCCTCTTGGAAGGAGGAGGGAAGACGGACGTCTGGCCCCGAGAACGAGAAGCCGCAGAATTTTCACGGTCTGCAGAGTCTTTCACAGGTTTAGCATCTTCTCTGGAAGCGCGCGGATCCTTTCCTACAGCGACTCCGTTTGGCGCCGCGCCTCCGTTTCGGGCGTGTCGGTCTCTGTTGTCGTCATACTTGAGGCCGCGGAACGAATCGGTGAGACGATCTCGCCCGCCGTCTCTGGCGTAGTGATCATCGCGGCCCCCTCGCTCGCCGCGCGGGGGCCTGTAGGGCGACCTGGTACGGTTGCGGGGTCTCTTATCCGGGTATCGGTCCCTGTCCCGATCGCGCTGATCTCTATCTCTTTCTTTGTATGCGTCTCTCTCGCGACTGCGGTTCCTATCACGACCGTCGTAGCTGTTGTTCGAGCCGCGGGACGGCGGGCGGTCTAGGTCTTCGTACGATACGCGTGAATGGCGGTAGTCATCCCTCACGCCGTCCTCGTAGTGCACGCGGAAGCGGCGGGTATCTTGTCGTCCTCCACCGGCGTAGTCACGCTCGTCGCGGGCGCGCTTGAAGCCGCGGAGCGGCGGGGGCGAACGACTGCGTCTCGAAAGGTGGTGGTGGTTTCTGGCGGAACTGTCGTACTCGGGGGAGTTGGAGGCCGAGCGTCTATCTCGAGTTCTGTCTTGACGGTCAACACCGTTTCCTTCAAACTTCTTCGGCAGTGAAGTTGCCTTCAAATCCACGGCGTCATTCTCCATGATCTCGCCCTCGTCGGAACTCGACGCCATCTTTGCAATGCAATAGCAAGTGCGGTGCTCTGAGCTGTAGTGTTGAACGTGTCGGGGCACGTTCTTTAGATGTTTTGCAGCAGTGATCCGCCAGAGGAAGAAGTCCCCTAGGTCTTTTTGCGCGCAAGAAGTAGCAGCGACGTGTTAGCAGAGATCACCAGACGATTGATGTGCGGCAGGAGTTGTTTGCGAACCGGATGACTGTGTCGGCTCAGCTCATGGGGGAAAGAGAAAGCAATGCGACACTAGAAAACCAGAGGGCAAGTCAAAGAGGGGGGGAAAGGAGGATAAAGTGTCGTAATGCAATGCCAAAGAAAAGCAGTATTGTATGTGTCGAACGACTCGGTGCTTTCCAGCGATCAAGGGTCGACAGGTTGAGTGTGCCTTGGACCGTGGACGTCGGGAATGCGGTAGGGGAATTTTGGTGGTGACGAGACACTGCGCCGCGCCGGAGAAACGGAATAGAGCCGTCGTTGAGCTTGGAATGTTCCGGAGATGCCCCGGATCCCCTACTGATGTGTACATATCCTCGCATATATGAAATAAACCATCCCTGATCGCTATAAGCGAGGACCCTTGACCGATTCGTCGAGGAGGGGCAATTTTCACCCCACGTCCACCCGCCTTACTGCGCCGCGCTTCCTCTTTCCTCTCCTTTTGACTTTACGACTGTGCAACTTCTGCGACTCCCGAATTTCTCACTGTCCACCGCTCTTCCTCGCCCAAAGCCGATCTTCAACCCAGCCCCTTCTCTCGAAAACCTCTGCAAAAATGGGTGGTGCAAGCCGTGAAGGTAAGTAGTTCACCGTTGCCTACCTACCTTAGAGGTGACCCCTTTCCGACTCTGTCCGCGCGATGCTGACAAGACCTCTTCACAACAACAGGTGGCAAGGCCAAGCCCCTTAAGGCCGCGAAGAAGGCCGCGAAGGACATGGACGAGGACGATCTCGCTTTCCTCGAGAAGAAGCGCGCCGGTAGGTCTTACAATCACTGACGGGGCAGATACTGCATTTCCTCTCGTCTTCAAGTTCCTTGCCAACGGAGACTAATGCACGAGATTAGAGGAGAAGGCTCGCAAGGAGATGGCTGCCAAGGCCGGCGGCAAGGGACCTCTCAACACTGGTACCCAGGGCATCAAGAAGAGCGGCAAGAAATAAATCGACTGCTGGTGAAGCAAAAGAAGTTTTTAGTGCGTGGGATTGCGACATAATCGAAGTCAACGACGACCCGATTTACGAAAGCCCGGGGCGCGATGGAGCGCTTTTCCTTTTTACATACCTACAACGAGCATGCAATGATATGATATCAAAAGAACTCTTGACCCTTGACCAAGCGGGCATGGATGATGCTGGCTAGCCTGACTGATACTGTTCATGCTGTTGAGTCTGTGAAGTGTCAGATTGTAGCTGGATTGACTCAAGACACAAAAGTCGGGCTCAGGGTCTTCAAGTTGCAGTTGCGGCACCCAAAAAATGGAACGGCGGAGGGCCTTAAACAGTGGAAATGCGCCCACGGGTGTTTGTCGCCTTTGCTCCTCATAGCAAAGATTTGCGCTTGAGAGGTCTCTTCAGCACATGCTCGCGCATCCCACAGAACCCACCGGCCCTCTGTTCTCCAATGCTCCATCCAGTGCCCGTTTCACAGTCGATGCTCACGTCTGACTGTCCTGCAGATGCTGACCTTGAAGCACCTTATGTAAGGCAAACGTCCAAATGTCTCACCTGATGCCCGCCCTCTTCCCGGCGGCTAGTCCAGTCTGACCGACGGGCCGACTAGAAACGTCCCATCCAGTCCATTTTATGCCGGTCCCAGCTGGCGCCACTTGTGATGCCGCCCATACGGAGCTGGGAGCCAAAAGGGCCTCGGGTCCGTTCGGTGCGGACTGAAGAAGAAAAAAAAAAAACATGAGGTGTCTGCTGTTTCTGCTGCTAAGGAATTCTTCAAGCATGTGGAAATGCAGATGCCAGCTGGAAAAAGAGGAAATCCCAACAATTCCCATCTCAATCAAATTCAGGTCCCCTCCCTTTTACGGAATACCCCTGGCCTGACCCGCCGCCGCACCCCCCGGCCCCTAGCGGTCAATCCGTCATCGCAGCAGCTGCAGTATGCGCCCTTGTTGAACGTGCGCGCCCGTGATATCTCAACGGCCTTTAAATGCTTAAGAAGGACCATACCACATGTCAAAACAGATACCCTTTTTCTCTCGTGAACTGCGACATATAGACAAACAACAACAAAAGCTACGAGGCAACTCTCTCGACCCATACAAAAAACACCACCAAAATGACAGCCCCAGAAACAGCCGACGACGGCCTCAGAAACCGCAACCGCCGGCGCTCCTCCTCATCCCACGACACCACAAGCCTCCTCTCAACAGTAGAATCCTCCGCCGCAGCCCTCGAACGCAAAGTCGAAAAAGCCCTCACCGTCCTCTGGGACGACCTGCCCCCCTGGCGCCGCGACAACCAGTTCATCATCACAGGCTACCGCCCAGACTCAAACTCCTACCGCGCCTCCTTCCGCTCCCTGGGGTATCTGCACAATGAGTCCGTAAACATCTGGTCCCACCTCCTGGGCGCCGTCGCCTTTGTCATCACGGGAACGGTACTGTACGCCGTCATCGCGCCGCGCTACGAGTCGGCGAGCGATGCCGACATGGTTGTGTTTGGGTGCTTCTTCGCCGGCGCCGTCGCGTGTTTGGGGATGAGTGCTGCGTACCACGCCATGTGTAACCATTCTCCCGAGGTCGCCAAGTGGGGGAATAAGTTGGATTATTCGGGGATTGTGTTTCTTATTGTGGGAAGTTATGTGCCTGCTATGTATTACGGCTTTTATTGCCATCCTGCGTTGCTCAAGTTTTACCTCACAACGGTATGAATCTCACTCAACCTCTCACTCATTTCTTGCTCATATCATCTCTCACGATATACACCCCTTAGAAGAAAACCCCCCCAACTGACACAACCTCCCAAGATCAACGTCCTAGGCCTAGGCTGCGGCGCAGTCTCCTGGATCGAATTCTTCCGCGCTCCAGAATGGCGCACCTTCCGCGCCTGCATGTTCACCGCCCTCGGCACCTCGGGCGTCGTCCCCGTCCTCCACGGCCTGACAATCTACGGCCGCCAGGAGATGGAGAACCGCATGAGCCTGAGCTGGGTCGTCCTCCACGGGCTCATGTACATCTTTGGCGCCTTCTTGTACGCCTTCCGCTGGCCGGAGCGCTCGTTCCCGCGCACGTTTGACATCTGGGGCAGCTCCCATCAAATTTTTCACTTTTTCGTGGTGATGGCTGCCGTGACGCATTTGTATGGCATGGCCAAGGCCTTTGATTATCATCATACTGTCACGGGGGGAAAGTGTCTGTGATTAGGGGTCTGACGGTGGTAATAGATGGTTGTAATGAATTATATGAGTCTCGGATATATGATATTCTGCTTAATAGAACGTTGGTAATAGAGGGTATCATTCACACTGTCTGCCTATCTCGCCTATGCCACTATATGTATGGGCGCTCTCTCTCTCTACCTTAGCATTCCAACCCTAGGTCCATGATCCTCACCAGACCAGACGCCATCGCAATCGCCGCCCAGCACGAATACTCCATGTTCGGATTCCACGCCATCGTCGTAATCCGCGTCAACGGCTCCGAGATGACGGCTCGCTCTGGGTCAGCAAAGTGCCCATCAACCTCCTCCTGACCGCCCTGGACATCCCCATCGTCTTCCTCTCCAGCATCCGCCGCCGCAGCGCCCTTCTTCCCCTTTGCCTTCCCTTTAGCCTTGCCCTTGGCCTTTCCCTTCTTATCCTTCTTCTTATTGATCGCAACCTTGGTCTTCCACGTATCCACCTTGGGATTCACATTCGGCACCGGCCGGAACCCCTGCAATATCCTCGACGCGCCACGGCATCGGTCCGCTGCACTCCCGCCTTCTTGCCCGTTCACCGCCTCCACGTCAAGCCTCTCGCGCGGGATGTGCTGGTGGTCGAGAACCTTCATCTTGTGCCCGAAATGATGCTTCGAAGCAAAGATGCGATTCGATGGGTTCGCAGCCCACACTGTTCCGTCCGTATAACCTACCAACACAAATGGATGCTGCGCGCCAACGGCAAGACACGTCGGCAACCGGTCCCCGTCCATGACTTTCCGCACCTGTGCGGCATACCACCGCGCGTGAACGAACCCGACAGAGGCGTTGAGCGGGTTCGCGGACGGTACGGCGGTGAAGAAACCGCGTAGATGGTCGCTCCATTGCATGAGATTCGGCTGCGGCGTGATGGCGAAGCAGGGGAAGCTTGTCCGCTCGCACGAGGGGTCGGAGAGGTCTAGGAGGGTGGTGTAGCCCGCGATCGGGGTCGAGGCTACGAGATAAGGATCCGAGGGGTAGGCTGAGTCGAGGTGCATTACGTACGTCGAGTGGACGTCGTGACGGGCGAGGCAGATGCGCGGGGAGATTGACCAGAGGGTTAGGGAGCCGTCTGAGTGGCCTAGAACAATGCGGTTTGTGTTGACCCAGGCGAAGCAGCTTGCTGTCACGTTGGTTTCTGACGAGACGCCGAGAGATACGACTGAGTTTTCGAGTTTTGCTGTAGGATTTGTCAGTGCAAAGAAAACAAGAGATAGATGAGTATATATCCTTACTGAATGCGTCTTCTTCTTGGTCGCCGATTTCCTTAACCGAGACGACGTGAACCTGCCCGTCGCCACAAAGTAGTGCGAGGAGACCCAAAGACCTATCTTCCCTGAAAGGTACCGGGCACCATTTGAGCCGCTTGACCCTGCCCCAGTCGACGCACAGCGTCCTTGCAAGGCGCGCAGGCTGTGCGGCGGGTCTCGAGATACCGTCGCTGTCCTTCTGCCCACGAAGCTCCCACAGCTGTACGATGCCCTTCTTCTCGTTATAAGCATCCTCGAGGCCCATTTGGTGGTCCGTCGGCGGAACCACGGCGAGTGAGAGAATCTGCGATTCCCCCTCTGTTCTCGGGGCCCAGTCCATTCCGATGACCATGCCACCGACGTCAAACATCCACCCAGAAGACTTCTCCTCGTCGCCGGAGTCTTTTGTCAAGAGCTGTCCCATATCGCCAAGCACGACACTATCGTACGGTGGAATCTCAACTTCTTGCTGGCTTTGATACGGCCCGATCACGGTGACCAAGTGACCACCTGGGCTCAACCGGTACCCCTCTGCCTCTATCGCCCCCATCTCCCTCTCGCCTTCGGTCACCCCCTTAGATCCCTTCAACCTCTCAAACCAGCTCTTGGCAGCGCGTTCCTGGTCTTCATTGAACCCCTCTCCGAGCCACGGGCTCGACACGGGATACGCAGGCCCGTCAGACAACTTACTCGGCAGCACCGCGTACCCAGCCCACCGATTCAGCAACCAACTCGCGACGCCAACAGCCTCCTCCTCGGGACCGTAAAAGAAATCGAGCACCTGGATCCGCTGGCCGCGCTTCAGCTCGCCGGTGTAGTAGCGCGTAGGCCGGCCGTCGGCGTGGTAGGTTTCGAGGGCGGTCATGTCCGTCGGGCGCTTCTTGATCCCGGCGGAGCTGGTGTAGGCGGGCTGCTCGTCGTCACTGCCATCGCCTCTTCTTCGTGAACCGTCATCAATGGCTAAGTTGGATGGATCTTCTGCCTCGAAATCATCGTCGCCCCCATCTACGTCCATGCGGTCGTCGTCGTCGTCTTCCGGGTCCGGCGGCGGCGCCTCGAAATTTTCGTCTTCTGGATCATCGTGGGCTTCTTCTGGTGGCTCGCCGTCGGAGCCGTAGTCTATGATGGCGACGCGTTTGGTCTTGTTGCGGGGCCGTGTTCGCACCATGACGTGAACGAAGCGAATGTAATGTTGCTTTTGTGAGTGAAGTGGTTGACGTTGATGTGAAGTGAAAAAAGCAAGTGAACTTTACGAAGATACGGGTCTCGGAAGCCGGCGCACTGTGTGCCATGCGGGGCCGATTTCTGCAGCGGGACTTGCGGCAGGAACGGGGCGACGAGATCCGCCCAGAGGACTGGGTCTTAGCGTCCCCGCCACGAAAAACACAGTGCCAACTGTCATCTACTCATCTCACCACTCAACTCAACATCACATCCTATGATGTGCCCAATCTTTCTCATTCATCAAGTCATCGAGGTCTTCTAAGCTCTCTGAGATGTCTTAAGTACGTAAACTGAACCGCTTCCAAGGGATTCACATCTCAAAAAGTATTGATATCGTTCTTTCGGCCATGAGTCGCCGGAATCCGAAGCTCCAAACACCAAGTCTTGAGATATGATATGTTGGACTCAGCCAGACGAACTAACGTCGGGCGCATGTGATGTTCTCAACTGGTGATGTGACAATTCCAGGTCTACTCTGGCGTATGTTTAGACAAACAAATTGCGCTCGCATAAATTGAACTGGAGCCTAATTATACCCTTGATCGCAGGCAATATCTCATATTAGGTTCTTGATCCTTCGAAGAGTCCTACGCTCCTTCCTTCAGGACAGGGATTCACGCGACCCAGCTCCGCCACCCTGAGATAGGCCCGTCCTGGCTCACTCAAGAGTCCTAGATCGCCTCGCCCAAGGCCAAAGTCTGAAATTTCTGACAATCCCTTCAGTTCTTTCGTCCTTCCAAAGGTTGTCATATAGCTGCTTGCTATCACCTTCATGGCATAGTGAAAGTGAGATGAGTTCGGACATCACTTTGGACGCTGAAGGATTCGTCAGAGGCAAGACCTCGATGGAAGAGAATGTAAGCGGTAGTGATGGTAGTTTTACACAATCCTCCAGTTCTACCAACGAAGAGTAAGTAGAATACGTAACTTCCTGACACACTTCTCGACGACTTCACTCACGTCGCTCAACAATTGACATGCCCAGTGCGATGAGGGAAATTGCGGACTCTCATGAGCTAGGACTCAAGGATGGAGCACCCCTCGAGTCAACGAGACAAGATCCAGCACCAAAGGGCGACCTCATCCTCATCGCAGGACCATCTAGACATGAAATCCGCGTTTACGCCCTCGTTCTGTCAAATGCCTCTCCCATCTTCGCCTCAACGATTCCTGAAGCAAACTTCGACAAAGACGCCGCCATGTCAGATCCAGCACGCCTTTCGCTCCCAGACGACGATCCCAAGGTCATGGACATCATGTGCCACATCCTTCATGGTAGTAGCCTGAACGCAGACATGAGAGAAATACCGCCGAAGCTGGTCCTCGCTGTTGCCATTCTGGCGGCAAAGTACCACTGTACTGTCTCCGTTACCGCGGCGGCCGAGTACTGGCTCTCGCCTGAGATCATGGACACCATTGCGCAACACGGGCTTGTACATCCAGAGAAGAAGGACCTCCTCCTGGCGGCGTACTGGTTTAGGCACGAAAGGGCATTTGAAACGGGATCTTTACGGTTGATCACCGAGATATCGTGGAGTTTCAACTTTCTGGCAGATGGGAAGTCGGGAGAGGAGGAAGTCGTAGCACTGAGAATTGCCGGTGAGATTTTCTTTACCCATATTTTCAATCCAAACCTCATACATGGAATTTAGGAGAGATCGGCTAATACGGAGAGCAAATAGTCGCTCTGGAGCGGAAACGTAACGAAATCCGTCTATCTCTCTACACGCGCATGATGAAGCAGATCCACGCAATAACCTACTGCAAATGCAACACCCGCAAGCCAGCTTCTTGGTGGAAGCGGCTCCTCCGCCGTAACGAAAACACCAATCGCATCACGACTACAGCTACATCTTCCGTCCTCCGCAACGTCGACATAGATATCCTTTCGAGGGGCACGCCCTACATGCCCATCAGCTCGATGATGAGACTAGATGATGAGAAGATGTCAAAGACGTTGGAATGGAATCGCGTCGGGCAGTGTTACGTGTCGGGCCCTCCTCTGGGGCACCACAAGACGTTGATGAAGTGCTCCGTTAGCCAGTTCAAGAAGAGCGGGATGATGAGGGGTCTTTGCTTGGCCTGTCTTCATCCGCAGATGATGTGCGAGGAAACCGCGACACATGGAGAAAACAATGAGAGGGGGCGGGAGTTCAGAGAGTGGCTTCCAGTTGACCTTCGTTCATGACTGGGTAATTTGAGGCCTGAACCCCCAAAAGTACACTCAGAAATCGCGACAGCAAGACCGCAGGGAAATTTCCAAAGCAAACCTAAATGATCAACCGAATCAATACCGAGATGATGACCAGGAAAAAAACAGCAATGATCCAATGACAAGCACCAAAAAGCGTCGAACGGAATCGACTCAGAAAACCCTCGGGTCGAAACACTGGGAGGCTATCAAAGATATCCTCCGCGACCCTCCCTTGGCACGACTTCATAGAAAGCCTATGGATTACGGATTGCCACATCCAAAGATTGAGAAATCCTTCTTGGGCTTGCTGGATGAATTCAAGGCCAATATTGAACAGTTCTACGACATGAATGGTGTGTCTGGAACACTTCAAGTCAAGAGGGCAGTCCGCGAGGTCATCTACGAAACCGGGCCGACAAATATCATGCAAACAGGAGCAGACATGCAAAAAACCGTCGCCAATCTAAATGGAGGTGTGAGCAAGGCAAAGGTGGAGCCAAGCTTTACATGGGTCTATTTACCTGCTACGAATGTGAATCACGACTGTACATACATTCGATAGATTGCAGACTGATATGATTCAGATGGACTGGATGAATGTAAGCTTTTATGATATATGGCTGGTTCACAATTCAGTTACCATCTCTGTGTGTGTGTGTGTGTGTGTGTGTGTGACCGGGGAGAGAAAAAGGTGGCGTGGGTGGTGTCGAACGAAGCAGCAAGAGTATGAGACAAAGTCAAAACTGACGGATACCCCAGGACCTTTTGACGAGGATTTCAAAGGATGAGAAATTCAGCCCTAGCCAATACTACCTACGAGGCCAAGTCGTTTTCTCAAGACAGTTGGGTTGAGGTGCCGGACACAGTATCTGATTCAAGGATCATGAGGCCGCGAACTGTTTTGAGACAGTCAGGAGAGACGGCAGGTAAAAGTCTGGGCCGATTTGAAGAGGCAGACAATCAACAGACCGTACCTTCAGAAAGAGAGAGGGAGTACTTGGTGGAATGGTCAAAGAAGAGAATCAACAGAGCAAAATAGGTGGAGAGAAAACCGAAGCAGAAGAGCGTGGGGCCGAGCATGAGAAAATAACGAATAGTAACCCCGAAAAAAGCACAGATGAGTTTGTGGCTACATCGGTGGTATTCGTAGTGCTGAATTACCTTCTCTCGTTCGGAGTCTCAGATCCCATGCTAGAAAGGTCGAACTGAGAAGGAATCACAGATGCCCTACTTATGCTTTTCGGGTCGTGAGGAACCAGAGAAGCTCAAAAAGGCTAAGGAGGACTATGAGAGTTTACTGAAAGCCTATGGGAAGGATTCCACCCTGTCGGTCGTCCACACATCGCCGATCCTTGATGAGTGGTATTGACACTTTGCAAAGAACAAGAAATCGGTTGATGATAGAATTCATTGCAACGAAATTCAGGTCGTCACTAAGCACTGGACAGAGGAAGAGGCGAGAGAGCAAACTAGTCGGAGCGATGAGTCTTCGGTGACTTTCAGTCACACTGGTGAGTTGACACTGCTGCAAGTCAACCAGATATGGATTTGGACCATCAATAACTGGTTTCTGGCTTGTGTTGCGTGTTTTCACTAAGAATCTCGACTATTAGAGTGGCTCATAACGGCGAAGCTGCTCAAGGAGACCGCTGATCTTTCCGCCGTCTATGTGGTGAATACGATTAGTGAATTGGACGGTATTGTGGAGAGAATCTAGTCAGCGGTAAGTCTAGCGCCTAAATAACGTAGACTGCGGGATGGCGTAATGACTGACTGTTGACGTGCAAAAGGTGAATACAACGATATCGCTCCAGCAGAACGAAATTGCAAACCACAACACAGTTCTATCACTCGAGCAAAGCGCAATTGCAAACCGCCAAGCAGCTTTGGCTGATAAGCAAGCAAAACTGGCAGGGGAACAAGCAAATGTTCTTTTCGTTTTTACGTTTGCTACTCTTCTCTTCGTAAGTCCTGTGCACCGAGAAAAATTACTTCTCCATACACTGACAAGCTCACCAAAGCTTCCGTTATCTTTTCTCTCAGCTCTCTTTGCTTTGGATGTCTCTTATTTTCTCCAGACGCCTACGTGGGCGTACCTCGTGATATCTAAGTTTCGTACGTCTAGCAGAGCTTCACGCACGCGTGGTTGACAATGACTAACATCACAAACTCCAGTCCTAGTGTCTACAATGGTGTCTGTCATTATAGGACTAGTTGCCTTCTACTCAGGAAGCATCAAAAAGTTCGGAAAGAAAGTGTGGGAAAATTCGAGGTAGTCGATTTCTTTACCTAAATGATGATAATAGCGAGTTTAGGTTCTTTCGTGTGTATTTGAACCGGACCATCGTGGTATTGACGGTTTTCATGATTGCTGTCCTGTCACTTGGTGTTCATGATGTAGTCCATAAATATCAGTTTCACAAGTCTCGAGCTTTGCTTCTTCACTCGACTGATCAGTTGAGGTGATTCTAAAGAGCTTGAAGCTTCTGCTCGTTCGTGCCACGAACGTTGACAAAATAGATCCCTGAGGGGAGCAGGCTGATGTGGTTCATGACCTAAGTAGCCGTCTACGGCGGTAAGACGACGGGCCAAGGGGGCCAGGGGCCGGGGACCTACAGGAGACAGGCGGCTTTGACGGCAGGGAACTGGTAAAACTGGTGATGTATCTCTGTATGCATTAACACACGGATCCAAGACAGCCTTAATCGCTGTACTACATCTAGGTCGATAGGAGGCATGGGGCTCTTCATCAAAGACCTGATAAGCATAATATCGGACATACTCAAAAGCGCTCTTTTCACAGACCCATTCTATCATCGAGTTATTGTGTTGTATATGTGTTTTAAATGTGTTGCACGTACGTGGTGTTGTGAGCGTTCCCTCCAAAGCCAAATCCCATCGAGTTCTACACCCAGATCCAGTCAAGCTGGAGAATGCGCAGTCGATTTGTCCTAGCGACGATTCCTTCGCTCTTGGATATAACTGCACCCGCGCAATGCGGCTTGCCGTTTGCTATGTATTGGTCTTATACTGATCATCCATCACGCACAACATGATACCTCTTCCATCGGTCAACTCCTGGACGCTCTGGAGAGGCCCACGCCGGGGCGGCGATCTTGACAAGGCACCCAAGCTTCGCCGAGTGACCGATGCACGGCACCGATGCAGAGAAATTGGCCGATTCGCAAGGAATCTGGCAAGAACTGTTGAAGAGCCCCATTGCGTACGGTGTACTTCGTAGCACCTATCGCGAGCGCGGCAAGCGGCACGCGCGGCACGCGCGGCACGCGCGGTTCAGGAGGTAAGCCGGGAAGACCGGACGTTGAGGCTCGGTATCGGATCAAATCCATCCTTGCCTCTAGAAGATTACGAGGTACCAAGCTGTTCTAAGAAGGAGTGCAAGAAGCTCAAATATTGTAATCTATCTAAACTTTGAATCAGTGGTCCTGCTGTCGGCCTGTTCGGATGGATATACTACCTCTCTATAGCCTAGTTAAAGGCACCTACATCATGTATAAGACCTCGCGAAGCATCTTCGGCAGATCTGTACAAAATAGCTACTGATGAATTCCTGATTACTTGATACTCGCCCATTCGTCTGTGCATCATGCACTGCATTCGACATCTCGGACTCATTTTTGCCGGTTTTGCTGCAGCCCTCGTCCCCTCACCCACAGGTGGAAAACTTCGTAATGGCTTTGTTATTCAATACGACATTACGGCACAGAGCGTGAGACATTCTGCCTGAAGGAGATACCATGACTGAAGATGCTGACATATGAGAACAGTCTGAAGGTGTGCGATTAGCCATCGAGAATGGGCTTCAAGAACATGGCTTCCACTGCTCCGTCAGTAGTTTCCGCGAGTATAAGTCAGACATTCTTCACGGAGCGTCTTTCTCACTGAAATGCGGTGAAGGAGTGGCTCAACTCCAACCATCGCTGGATACCATCGCTCTCGTCACTAATGCCCAGAATGCATGGCGTCTTCCCTTGGAAGGGGTTCTGCATGAGAATCAAAGAACTTTGAATCGCCAACAACTTCCGCCTGGGCAGCGATAGTACTCAGAAACGAAGGACATTGGCCATAGAAGCACCGTGCAAGTCAACATCGACAGCACCAGCACCGCGTCGAAGGCCGCGCTGCTCCGGGCTTCGCATGAAGACGCTGGCGTGTTACGCTTACACGAGGAGAATGTCACTGGCAGGAACGTCCGCGTTGCCATCATGGATGCCGCGATTGATGTGACTGCACCCGGCCTGAGCGAAACGAACATCGCATACACCACCAACTTGCGGACCGGCGCCAATAACTCAGCTGGGAGCTGTCATCCACACGGCACCGGGAATCTTGGTATTGCCGGTGGAAAGGGTGATCCGATATGGGGCTATACCGGTGTGGCGCCGGATGCCATCTTTGAAGCGATCGCTATCACTGACTGCGTCAACCCCGTCAACGCAGACGATCAGGTGAATGACTTTCTTCAGATGTACAAACGGCATTTGGACATTATTTCCATTCCTTATAGTTACGAGTTGGAATATCCTGAAGGTTAGTGATGCTTGTTCTGTACAGTTGAGCAACTGTTGGATATTGTTGGATACCCATCCGCCTACTAATTCCCCTGTGTTGACGCGTTGACTTGCTGACTATGAGACTAGCCCCTTGGCCCGCTTTGATAGAGCGTATGTTCAACAACGGTACTCTTGTAACTACTTGTGCCGGCAACACTGGCCCTGGGCTGTACTCGATTAGGGCCCCGACGGTTAGTCGCGGTGGCATGGCTATTGGTACCTACGATACTTCCCTCGTTCCGATTTACACATGGCAAGGGAACTGGACAGCAGGCGGTGAGACTGGTCCCGTGTACTACCACCCGAGCGATCCCACCGATGTCCAAACCTTTGACATGCCTGCCCATGTCAATTTGACACTGTGGTGGCCTGGCGCACTCGACTCTGCGGCTCTGGAGGGTCCGCAGGATGTTGTGTCCCCTTGCCGGCCTCTTCCTCCCGACGCGAAACCCCCCTCAGATCCGGCAACCACGATCCTTCTCCAGTCTAGATACGAATGCTGGAGCGACCTCAACGATTCGTCATTGGATATCACCACCAAATACGGAATACCATATGTTATGGGGTATGCTCCAACTACGCCGTTCACGCATTCAGCATCCCCCGCATGGGTAGCACCAACCTCAGCCCTTCTGTACGTGCGGCAGTCAATATCGGTTTCGATGAAGCGGCAAGGCTTGTCTCGCTGCTCGCAAAACACGGCCGCGTTGATCTATCCCTGCCCGGCGATCCATCTTCAGCCAACATGAACCTCAGCTTCATCCCCAACAACCAGACGGGTCTCACGCCGTCATCTTGGACAACCTGGGGTCCGGCTCTGGATACCCACATGGGTGTGGCCGTCCTTGGGCCATCGCAGTACGTCGCCATGCCGTTCCCTGCACGCCTCGGCGGCCTCGGCGTATGGGCCGGCACCAGCTTCTCAACACCGTACCTGGGCCGCCCTCGTTAAGTCTGCACACCCTGGATGGTCGCCGCGCCATATTCGCAATACTATTGTGGCCACAGCACGTCCTGTCCGTTACAACGACGGCATTCCGGACTTTAATGTTCGTGATGTCAAGGCCCCGGTCCAGCAGCAAGGAGGTGGGGGGGGGGGGGGGGGTCGACGCCTGGTCTGCTGTGCGGAACGCCACTATTGTTAACGCGACGGATCTTGCATTCAACGACACCGATAACAGACCACCGTTCCTAAGTTTCACCCTCGAAAACACTGGTATCGAGGAGCTCTCATATCAACTGGATCATGTACCAGCGGGGTCAGGTTACGTGATCGATCCTGCAGCCCCCTATACCTTCTCATTGCCAAACATTAGCGACGCCTACGCCAACATATTGATTTCTCCCACAACCCTGACTTTGAAGGGCGGCGAATCTGCGTCCGTGGTAGTATCGATCCGCTCCGAGCCCGACTTGGCCAATGCAGCAAGTCGGCTATCATTCTTTGGCGGTTATATCGAAGTCCGCTCATCAGCTTCTGAGGCAAATACTCTGACCGTGCCGTACACCGGCTATGAAGGACCGCTGCTGATCTTACCCATCATTGATCGTACGCAAACCAGCTTGATCGGGGTCAGGCTGCCGAACTTCGCACTCATCGATATCGAACCCGGCAGGGTATTCAATGCCACCTACAACGCCAGCGTCGGCATTGACGAGAACCCTATCACCTATCCCGATGGCATACATCCCGCATTTGCCTTCCAGCAAGTTGTGAGGAGTAGACTGGTGACTTATTCAATGGTGAACACGAAGACTGGCGAAGCACCGTTCCATAACGACACTGTCAGTACAGACGCGGAGCCAATGAGTGCAGCTTGGTTTTGGGGTGGCTCGGAGGACAACGGAAGATTTGTGCCTGCTGGAACCTACGTCTGGGAGATACTTGCGCTACGGATGAACGGTAACCGTGAAAACCCAACTCATTTCGAATTCTGGAGGTCAGATAAATGGACCCTAGTTTACAGTCTGAATAGTACTGGCTTGCCAACAGTATCCCGTTGACTACTGGCGTCACTACATCCGTCTCCGGTCTTCCTCTAATTTTGCTCTATTTCGAGATTCTTTTGAAGCGGATATAAGGGAAATAGAATCGGATTGTTAGATTATTTATAACCCCACTATTGAAGTGCGTATATATGTACCGACGCCACCTAGCTATTGATGGGTTAATGCCTCTGTCGAGCAACACTTAGACAAGCAGGGTTCATTTTGTGTATATCGGACAGTATTTTAATTACATCTTAGGAAAATGGTTTCTGTTTCAACTAGCCATCAGTTGTATGACATGAAGACTAAAGTTGATTTCTGTTTGGCTGAAGTCGACGTAAAGCTAGTAGCTGCGAGGTCTTGGCATCTATAAGAAGTTAAAGATGACGGAGGCCGCTTTGCTATGAATGACAGACACCATAGTCTTCATCAAGATGAAAAGCCCTAACAAACCTGACCTCTGGCATACCCAGAAGCGCCTCCTTCGTAAACTCATCTTCAGCATCCAAAGTCACCGCTCTCGCCACGCGCATTCTCGCCTCTGAGCTCCCTCCATCGCCCTCTCGACCGCCTTCCGCCTCTACCTCGCCATCGCCCATCACCATCATAGATATCGCAGCAGCCCGAGCCATAACCCACCCCCTCGCAACCTCGCTCATCCAAGTCCCATTCAACCTCCTCATCCACTTCTCATCCCTCACAGCCCTACCCATCCTGTCCGTTCCACTCCTCGCCCAAAGCTCGAGATCAAACTCCAAAAACACCGGATTCCGCCACCCAGAGCCCAGCACGCTCTTCACCCTCGCAATCTCATCTGCATCTTCCAGATCCGTGACAACGATCGTACGCTCAGCTTCGCCATCACCACCGCCGCCAAACATACGTCTCACTGCGTCCCGACCATGCGTGCTACACCGCACACCCACAAAATCAAACTTCAAACTCACACGCTTCACCAGCGTCGCTTGTTCGAAAAGACGGGCATACCACTCCGCCTCAGCGCGACCCACGAGAACATGCCGCGCCCTCTGTACCAGATCCCTGATGCCCCGCGGCGAGTCACCTTCGACGTCAATCCAGCCGTCTATCTCCAATACATCGCGGGACCCATCAAACCAATAACACCGCGTCCTGGCCCCCTCGCCCTTTGTGTTCCCCTCGTAGGTAAGCCTCGCTAGCGCACCGTACTTCGTCGCCACGGCCCGCGACTCACGACATGCTCCGGCGGTGGTGGGTGGGAGTAATGGCGGTGGTGACGATGGTGACTTGCTCGTCTTCGTCTTCTTCCTGTTTCGTGCGTCTAGACGGAGGACACGTGAAGGGATGGCGACGAGGGACCAGACTCGGTGTCGTAGTTCGGGAGGCAGCTGGCGGAATTGCGGAAAGGCTGGGTGTTGGGGTTGCGTATGCGTGTCGCGGTGGGTGAGTATCGTCTCCATTGCGGCGAGGCGCGCTTCCAAGGCCGTTTGAGACTGTGCGATTCTCTCGAGGAGGTGAAGAGTTTGCTCTTGGAAAGTGTCTGATTCCATGATGTTTTTAAATCGAATCAAGATGTGCTTCTGGCGGGCGAGTCAAGTCGATCTATCTTCTCGTTTGCTTCGCAGTTGGCCCATGAGAGAGGCGTGTCACAGCTCTTTAGACTCCCACCGGCCGACGATGTCTGTGATAAGGAACATTACAAGTTCCAATCTCCAAACTCACCGCCATGAACCGGGAACCGCGGGAAGACAAGCCTTTTTCATCACCTAGCCTCCTCACCTTACCATCTGAGCACAAAAGGACCGTATTCGCTTCATCCCCGCCTCAAATGTCTTGGCTCTGAGCGCCGACTACTTCGTCTGGTGTTTACTGTTCGGTTTGTCAGTCTGCAAAAGCATGCAAGTCTCGTAGGTAAGCATCTTGGTAAGCGTTGTAAGCAAGTCCGGACCCAGACTGTGCATGCAGCCAGTGCGGGACTTGATCATTGGCGACAGGGGTAATATTGGCTCTGATTGGGTAGTCCGTTTTCGGACCACACGGACGGGAATGAAGGCACTCTGCATTGTCTGCACAGTAATACATGACATCCCATCCTTGGCTCCATAGGATTTCATATGATCATCATGACCTTCTCTTTATTTTTTGATTTATAGCTTGAAGTCGGCGTTGTTCTTTTCCCAGCCCTTTGGAGTCTCCTCCAAATCGGCCACCTTATCAACCAGCCTCACCTTGAGGTTCCGATTCCGCTCCGTGCATAGCTCGTAGGTTGTGCTGAGGTTGAAGAGGAGGGTGTGCGATGAGTACCCGGATCCGACCATGTCCTCAAAAATGGCTCGTGCCTGATGTGCCTAAGTGTCAGCGTCTTTGTCATGCTTGAGTTGTCATGGAGGTACCCATGGGACCACAAGTAACAACACGAGAACGAGGGAACTCGAGAAAATACTCACCTCTGTCAACTTGCCAGTGTAAAGAAGACACACCGCCATGTTGACGCCGACCATCTCGTCCGCGACTTCCTCCCTCAGCCCTCTCCATGATGCAAGTGCCGCCTCGTACTCCCCATCAGCCATCTGACAAAGCGCGCCCACAACCTCCTCAGCATGCTTCCCATCCTCCCCAGCATTCTCGCCTCGCACGACGCAGCGCCGCGCCGCGTCCGCATCCCCCAAGTGAAGCCACATCAGAGCCCTCGAAAGCGCCATCTTACCGTCCCCGCGGTCCTTGAGCGTAGCCAAGTGATGCGCCGCGCCAGCAGGGTCATCCATCTCGATCAGCGCACCCGCGACAGCAACACCCAGATCCTGCAGCCGCGCCTTCCAGAGCTCCCTTGCCGAGTTGTCGTGCCGCGCCGTCGCCTTGCTAATCTGCTCGCGCGCCTCCCTTGCCAGGTCGTGGTAACTCATGACGGATCTGCGTGGGTCGCTGAACCCGAGGGCCTGTAGCCGCACGTTGAGCACGCGCAGCTCCCAAGGGACGAGGTGCTCGCCCGTAGTCTCGTCAATGTAGACGCCCGCATTCAAATCTTCTAGCGCTCTTACCTCCTGTGCCGCCACCGCCGTCGCGTCGATGAGCGTGAGACACGCCAGCCTCGTGTACAGCAAGCTGAAGATCCTCTGGTGATCCGACGGTTCGACCCTAGGCCGGGCAGGGCCGCCTGTGGCCGTCAGCTCCTGAACCGCGGCGATGGCGGCGGTGCGGAAATGGCCCTTTGCCAGCAGGTCTTCGAGCGGAGCATCGGCGGCCGGCTGCTTAGATGAGTTCCTAAACGCGACCGGGACGTTGACCGGTTGGACGGTGTGGTAGATCTCGGGCCGGAGGAGAAAGCCAAAGTCCTTGGTGACGGTCGTCTTCACGGGCGGTGCTGCGGGGGAGTGAGGCAGCGCTGGCGAGCGTTGTCCTGATATCGGGCGTTGCTGCGGCTTGCCCTCTGTGGCGGCGGCTTTTGGCGACAACGGGTCATTCAGAGGCGTGCTTGGGAGTCTGTTAGAGAAGACCGATGTGTCAAGATATGAAGTGAAACTTACTCGTCCAGGTCGAGCGGACCCTTAGTCGAGGACCGTGGACGAACCGCTGTACGAGAAAGGTCAGTAAAGATTTGGTGACGTTTCTCTCATCTTCATCTTCAGTCTCGTGAGCTTCGGGCCATAGCTTCTGGGAGGACCTAGGCTTTGAGATGACACTCAGAGGGGAAAAGGGCTCTGGGAGAGCAGCAGTCCTAACACAGCAAAAGCGTAATGAGGAGGACTTACGTCTCGTCACTGATATGTTTCGTCCATGTCCGCGATTTATTGGAGGTTGGCTCATCGTATTGAAGCTTGAGGGGATCTCAAAGGTGTTGTTTAAATGAACAAACAGGACGCTGGACCTGGATGAAGCCCAGCAGGTATCGAAGCTAGTTGGTCTGTGCTGCGATCGCTGAGAAGCTGGGCCGGGGAACCCCCCACTTATGCGATTAAGAGGCACAGGCACCCAAAAGACAAGCACCTCTAGCTTTCAACATGTCAATCATATGCATGGAATTTCTGTTCACGCAAAGCGTTAAACGGTGAGATCTCACACATTTCGTAGCGTAGCAGTTATGGTGGCAAAGGACTTCTATTAGCCGGCAGTGATATCTAAACCGAAGAAGGCAGAGCTTTTGACCATTCCCAATATCTCAAGTTTCCATCAGATATTCGTTCTCTAACTCTTGGCAGCACCAGCCTTGATGAGCAAGATGTCTCCATCTTCCACAACGTAGTCCTTGCCCTTGGTCATAACCTTGCCCTTGGCCTTGACCTCGGCTTCAGTGCCGAGTTCCTTAAGCGTGGTGAAGTTGTAGACGAGGACTTGAATGAAGGTCTTTTCAAAGTCAGTGTGAATGACACCGGCAGCCTGGGGCGCCTTGGTGCCGTTGCGAAGAGTCCACTGGCGGACTTCGTCCGTGCCGGTGGTGAAGAAGCTGCCAAGGTTGAGGACCTTGCGCATCTGAAGAACGATCTTGGGCAGAGAGGACTCGGCACCAACGTTCTTCTGCTCCTCCTTGGACTCGGCCTCAGTCTCGTAGCGGGTCAAGCGCTCCTCGAAAGAGACGGAGATGGGGATGATGGGGTCGCCTTGGGCGTTCTCCTTGACCCACTCGGCAACCTTGGGAAGGTACTTGTTCTTCTTGCGAATGAAGTCCTTCTCCGAGAGATTGACCAAGTACACGACGGGCTTGGCGGTAAGGAGGAACAAGGGGTTGATGACCTCAATCTGTTGTTTTTGTCAGAAACGGTTCTCTCTCATAGTTTTGCGATAAAGTGTATGAGGGAATTGTGTCAAATCAGAATGGGTTTTTTGTCTCAGTATGCCGTAGCATTCGAAGAGCTGGGTTTATGGTTCGGATCTTAGATCCTTTGTCATCATATGACGAGGGGTGTGTGAAGAGAAAAGAAATGCGGTTGCCGTTCTTACCTCCTTGGGGCCCCAGGTACCCTTGCGGACTTCCTTGCCATCCTTCAAGTGCTGAAGAATCTTCTCAATGGTGGCCTGCTCCTCCATGGCCTTCTTGTGCTCGAGGCCCTTGCCACCAGAACGAGTCTTCTTCTTCTGGTTCTCGAGGGCCTTCTCGGTGAACTCGATATCCTTCAACCGCAGCTCGTCGCTGATGATGTCGAGATCACGGGTCGGGTTGACGTCACCCTCGACGTGGATAATCTCGGCATCGTCGAAGCAACGGACAACCTGGAAGATGGCATCGACGGCGCGGATGTGCGACAAGAAGGCGTTACCGAGACCGGCACCAGTGGAGGCACCTCTCGTCAGACCAGCGATATCGTAGACCGTAAGGTTGGCAGGCACGCGCGACTTGGGGTTGTACTTTTCGCAAAGCCAATCATAGCGCTCATCGGGGACGATGACACGTGCCTCCTCGGGGTCGATAGTGGCGTAGGGGAAGTTGGCGGGGTTTCCCAGGTTGCACTTGGTAATGGCCTGGAAGAGGGTGGACTTTCCAACGTTTGCAAGGCCAACCTGAAGAGAAGAGAGGGGGGTCAGCCTGATCCCGCACAGGTTCTAAGGCCAAGGCGAAGGCGAAGGCTTAAGGCGCAGCACCCACAATTCCACTCTTCAGGTTGTTACCGGGCCTGCCCAGGAGGATCTTCTCCTCGACGACTTGCTTCTTGGGAGGCATTGTGCGTCTTGATTTTGCGTAGTGACGTGTGGTGGTGTAGAGTAAAGTGCAGTGAAGCACTTGAGCTTGGCGAAAGGCAGAGCTAGCTGCGCGGGGTAGCAAAGAGGGAGATTGAGAAGTGAAGGAAGAAGGGAGGAGGATGAAGGACGTCGTTTTGGCGACTCTTGGCTGTGTGACCAGCCCTCAATCACGCGGATTTGCCCGACGACTCAGAGAGCAGAGCGGTAGAGAGAGAAGAGAGTAGAAAGAGGAAGAGAAGCCTCGAAGATTGTTTGATCGAGAAGAAAAAGCTTTCGCGACATAGGTGTTGTGGCCGGCCTGGTTAGATGAATTTTAATGTGCCCCACCAAAAACGGGGCCCGGGTACCTGAAGGGGGTGGTGCGGCGCGACGGCGTTTCTGTTCTGCCGGGAGGGAAGGTCGAATCTGGAAGGCGCTGACAGCACCACGTAACAGTGAAGCAGGGCAGGAACGATCCAAGCTGGGAAGCTCGAAGGAAGGTGCCCAGGAAGCTCGAGGAAAGCGCGGGGCTGGGAGCCACCTCTGACCCCATTCCTTGCACCTCATTGGGTCGCAATTGGCGCAACCCGCTTGCAGTGAAGAGTACTTGTGAATTCCGCAGAACACCACCCGATTTCTATGGCTCAAGTCTGAAGGAACATGTACCTTGAAGCTCACCTCAAACAGCAACCTCCAAGTTCCTTGAGGTCGTTTAATGCAGCCTACTGGACCTGGGCACCCAAGCACCCAAGCACCAAGGCACCTGGGCACCACATCGGCATCCTCTTTGCCTTTCTGCTGACGCCCGCTTTCTCTCTGCGCCGAGCACCGCCCGAGCCAAGCCCAAGGAAGCTACGAGACCTGCCTTGAGGTTCTTTGCCGGGTGCATTTGCATTTGTTCCCGTCTCCTTCTCGTCGCGAGTGACGAGTCCCATCAAACGTTTTTGTCTTTCTGCAGCCAGCTTAATTCATTGCCTTTACGCCCTTCATTCACTGAAACATCCTCCATATCTTTTGGTCCTAGGGATCCTGATATTTCCTAAAGCGCATTCCATTTATTCCCCAGACTGGCCCTCTCTCCGTTTCGTGCCTCGTCTCATCTTCTCCAACAACTACCGCCCCTCCCAGTCCCACCGACTCGCGGCTGCTTTCACGACGTACCTAACCTGGAATACGCCAAATAGAAGGCAGCAGCACCGCAGCCTACCCAAACACCTCACCCGACAAATTGGAAGAAAATGCCTCCACGATCGAGCAATCCCAGGCAGTCAACAGCATCGCATAGGTCGACATTGTCATTATCCAAAACCGAAGTCACAATCCATGTCTATGATCTGCTTCCTGTAAGTTGCTTGGACCCACCGAACCGAGAGCTTGGTTCCGTCACCGCCAGCCCAGCTCAGCCCAGCTAACAGAGTGACTTGCAGCCAGGTCGCCTATCCTCTGTTCTTTGGACATTTGGCGCTTCACTACTGCACTCGGGTGTCGTGATCAATGGCAGAGAGTATGCCTATGGCGGACACGAGCGACGAGGTGTGACGGGAGTCTACTGGACAAAGCCAAAGACAGAGCCCCCCGGCGGCACTTTCAAGTCCGAGATCCTTCACGGCTTCACCTTTGCGACCCAGGCCGAAATCGACACGATTTTGGAAGAGGCCTCGAAAGACTTCCTCGGCACATCCTACAACCTCTTGACCAAGAATTGCAACCACTTCACTTCCTATCTTTGCAGAAAGCTTACCGGCCGTCCCGGGCCCGGCTGGCTGAACCGTGCGGCAAGCATCGGCGTCGCCTTACCCTGCGTTGTCCCTAGGGACTGGATCGACCCACCCGAGTACGATACCGCCGACGGCGCACTACTGGAAGATGAGGAGGAGGACGATCGTGCTCACGAAGGCTCTAGGATGCTGAAGCAATCGCCACCGAGATTCCTCACCGAGAATTCAAAGGGTCAAGCCGAGGACACCGACTGGGATAGCGAGGAGGAGCGACGCCGCGGCGGCAATGGCAAGGGCAAGAAGGCCGTAAGGGATACGGCAGGGCGCGATCTACCTGCCGCCGAGAGGGCTCCGGATCGAAAGTAGAAAGCGCCGTTGAGGCAGCCCTCTCCAACTTTGCGGCATGTTTGGCGTTACAAGGTCTGGCTGGCGTTTGGGTTTAGTGGGCGTTTAGCACTTGATACCAGCGGGGTTGGACATCTGCATTTCGATCTGAACCATCAGAATGCAAGGAACTTTTGCTCTTGTGATATGATACAGTTGTACAGGTAGTGTACAGGCATTGTGTGTTGCTCTTCCCCCCACGAACCCCAGACGCCGTACCTCCTCTCTAAACACGTCTCGGGTTCTTGCTCCTCGTTCCACCAAACTTCAATCTCGTCGAATCCGCCACCCGAATGACCTTGCTTCTCCAGAGCTTACCCTCGGGAGCCATGAGAACCTTGACTGCCGCGTCACGTCCGACACCGAATCCTCTGAGCACGATCTCGAGCTTGTTGATCTTCTTGTGCCATCCAGCGTAGTTTAATCTCTCGAGAACGTATGCCGTCAATTGGTAAGCGGCATCATATCCTTTCCTCTTGGACTTCTTGAAGCCGATGTTGCCGGTCGACAGGGAGATGATGGCGCCGCGGTCAGGCTTTGTGACCGTCACGTGCGTGTTGTGCTTATGGGAGTAGATGTGCATGTGGTATGGCTCCAAGAGGTCCTCCTGTTCGGGGACGAGGTCGTCGAGACCTGAGCCGCTTGAGGCGAGACCGTCTTCTGGCGACTTCTTGCCGGCAGCCTTGTTCAAGGATTGGAGAAGCATTGTCTGGTTGTGGCTGGGCGAGCCGGTTGCCGGCGTCGTCGAGGCGGGTGTTGAGGTTGTGGAGCGGGAGCCGTACATGGCAGCGAGGAGCTCCTGGCCTCCTTTCTTCGCATCGTCGGCGCGCTGAGTCGGGGTCTGGGAGAAGGGTCGGAGGAATGCAGGGGAGCATCGTGTTATCGGGGATGGGCGGGCGACATTCTGGAAGAGAGATCTCGCCAAGAGACGAGTCGTCGGTGCGGAGCTCATCGCGAGAGTTGTGTCAGGCTTCTTCCTATCGCAATGAAGAGAGAAGGTGGCCTGTCGTGACGATGATGGCCAGCCGTAGTGAAGATTTCAGAAATTTGGCAAAGCTCCCGTTCAACGTTTGGAGACATTGCCGCTGTCTGATTGGTTCCTAGATGCAGCACGGCGCCGGGTTGTCTTCGGTTGAACAGGGGCCCAGAGTTTTTTCCGCGCTCCGCTGTCAACCGAGATCGCTCGCCCAGCAGAGCCAGAGCTTCTGGAAACCCCCGTCGGAACCTGTCGCGAGCCAAAATTTCTTTGCAACTTTACTCGCCCCCAATCGTCATCCGCCATCCCCTTTCCGCCCCTCTCCTCCCTCTTTCCCCTTATACCCTCTTTTGCGTTATCGTCGAGAGGCGGTTGGCTTGGATTACACATACAGACATACACAGTATGAACTCTCTCGTGCAATCGGCGAGGAGAAATCCTCAGCATGCGCTCCTGAGAGCTTCCGCGCGGGCGACGGTCCAAAACCACAGCAGGACACCCGCCTTCAATCGGTTACTTTCCACAGACATCAGTGGCAACGCTGCGCTGCTGGCCTCATCACGACACACCTTTGCACGACCCGCTTCTTTGCGATCACAGTTCCTCCCTGAAGATGTCCGCAGCATCTCGAGCTCGATGCAATCGCGCTCTTTCCACCTGACGGCCAGACAGCTCCAGCAGCAGCAGACTGAGAAGCCCAAGGCACCCGAGGATGGTTCAAAGCCCGCCGAGGATACCGCGAAGCCCACCGAGGAAACCAAGACCAAGGACGCCGAGTCTGAGGCCAAGGAGGAGTCATCCGAGAAGAAGGAGGGCGAGAAGGCCGAGGGAGAGGAGGGCAAGGAGGGCGAGGAGAAGCAAAAGGAGAAGAAGGAGGACCTGCCGCCTCCTCCGCCCCACGGTGACAAGACGCCATGGGAGGTCTTCAGAGAGACGCTCACGACCGAGTTTGGCAAGTCCAAGGAGTGGAACGAGTCGACAAAGGCACTCTCTGGTGAGATCCAAGACTTTACCGAAAGTGAACGAGTCCGCAAGGCCCGCGAGGCCTACGAGAAGTCCTCTGGCGCCATTTCTTCTGCTGCGACGTCCGCCGTCAAGACTACCGCTGGAGCCATTGGAAAGGGCGCCGCCTGGACCTGGGATACCACCGCCATGAAGGGAGTCCGCAAGGTCGCCAACGTGACGGGAGACGCACTCGACAAGGCGACCAAGCCCATCCGCGAAACTGAAGCGTACAAGAACGTCAAGGATGTCATCGATGACGGCAGCAGCTCGCGCTACGGAGGCTGGGTTGAGAAGGAGGAACGTAGGAAGAAGCGCGAGGCCGAGGCTGCCAAGAATGGTACGCCGGAGATAATGGAGGAAGACCCCAAGTAAGTTTTGGAGGAAGCGTATCGCCTGCAGGGTTTGCGACTCTTTGGCTGACTGTGATGAAAGCGCCGGCACCAACGTCACGCTCCACAAGGACGCCGCCTGGAAGGAGGCGTGGAACGAGTTCAAGGACTCGAACAAGTTCGCCCAGGGCTTCTTCAGCGCCGGCAAGGTCTACCGCGAATCCGAAAACCCCCTCATCGAGACTGCGCGACTCGTTACAGACAAGATTGGAGGCTGGTTCGCCGAGAACGAGACGGCCCAGGTCATCAAGAAATTCCGCTCAATGGACCCCAGCTTCCGCACCGAGCCCTTCTTGAAGGAGCTCCGCGAATATATCCTGCCCGAGGTCCTCGACGCCTACGTCAAGGGCGACATTGAGACGCTCAAGCTCTGGCTCTCCGAGGCGCAGTACTCCGTGTACGAGGCCCTGACGAAGCAGTACCTCACCGCCGGCCTCAAGTCGGACGGCAAGATCCTCGATATCCGCCACGTCGACATTGTCCGCGCACGTATGCTGGACCCTGGTGAAATCCCCGTCTTCGTCATCACCTGCAGGACACAGGAGGTGCACGTCTACCGCAACGCAAAGTCTGGCGAGCTCGCGGCCGGCATGGAGGATAAGGTGCAGCTGGTGACATACGCCATTGGTATTACCCGTGTACCAGAGGACGTCAGCAACCCGGAGACGAGAGGATGGCGTCTCATTGAGATGCAGAAGAGCGGAAAGGACTACTACTAAACCACCACCGCCACCACCAACACGAGCAATACTATTATAAACCCCACTTCCTACTTTCAAGGGGAGTATACTTCTCAGAGCGACGAAGATGTTTGGATGATGAACAACAACCTACAAAAAAGCAACCTTCTTCTCGCAAACAAAAATCTTCAGCCGACAAAAAAGTGTTTTACTACTTGTACAAAATAGAAACCGGGGGTGGCATATGGGACTGGCGATCAATCTTGCCACAATGGGATGTGTGGCCGAGGGGGAGGAAAAACAAAACCAACACCGCTCTTGAAGGCTGTATGTGTACGTGTAGAAGAAAAAATGTCTTTCATGTAGACGAGGCGATTACCCATACTTCGCGATGTAATACCAACGAGAACTGAACATGTCCTCACCCCATCATTGTTTCCTTTAAGTCATCTCTTTCGCCGTGTCATTCGCCATCTTCTCCTACCTCTTCCTCGCCCCGTCTCGACTTCTTCACAGTCCCTTCGTCTACGACTTCACTCTCCTCCAGACTCCTCCTCCTTTTCGCTTTGCCCTCAGCAACCTCCCTCTTCCTCACCCTCTTCTCCCCTTCCACCTCTTCTTCATCCCTCAACACCCCCCTAACCTCCATCAAAATCTTACCCAAAAGATTCAACCCCCACCTGTCCCGATGCACATCCGCCGCCTTCTCCGGCGCAAACCCAATCCCCCAAATCCGATCCCTTGGACTCGCCTCTACCAGCTCCCTCTCCCCCGTCGCCAGCAACTGTCTCCGTAACCCCGGCGCAGAGCGGAACTTCAGCAGATTCCCCTCGCGCACGATGCGTTCCCTATTCTCGTTCCAGACAGCGTCGTTGAAGTTGTGCACTTTGCGGCCAAGAGCTTTGACTTTGCGCGGGTGGCCTGCTTTGAGGACGGATAGGGCGACGGAGGGGTCGGTGAAGAGGAGGGCTTTGGCGTGCATCATGTAGTGCTCTGCTGTTTTGAATGTTATGGGCGTCGGGGAGGAAGAAGAAGATGAGGATGAGGAGGGGGAGGGGGACTGGGTGAAGGGGTTGGAGGTCCACCATTGGGAGAGGTAGCCTTCTTGCCCTGTTTCTCGCCAAAAGTAGATTGGTGACGTGTCCATGTTTGAATGGATGTGGATTTAAAACGGATTCCTTGAAGTTTGAATGCTCTTCGTAGAGAATGGTAGGGTTGCATGGTTTATATGTGTTGGTTGATGTTGAAGTGAGGCTGTCTTTGAAGGCAGCTGTCTGCCTAGCTGCGTGTTAGTGCCGCCGCCGGATGACTCAACCGAGCGTGAGCGTGAACGCCATGGCACGAAGTGAGTTTAAACAATTGACATCTCAAAAAGCACAACTTATTATTTTTGAGTGCTGCCCGCAATGATGGAGAGTAAATCGTATTCCTCGTGATGCTCAACTCGACGCCTCACTTGGTTCCTTGTTCCTGGACAAGACAGTGAAGCCATGCAGTCATGTACGCCATCTTACTCACCCAGACTTGTAAAGAATCCCATCAACCTGCTCATGCCTCCTCACAGCATCCTCAAAATCAGGCAACCCACCGTCCTCCGCAAAAGCCTCATACACCGCCCCGACACATCTCGCCGGCACAGGCAACTCCGCCTGCCACTCCTCATCCCACGCCCACGGCACACTCTCAACCTCGCCGCTCTCAAAGTCATGAAACTCAATCTTGACCCCGTCAACGTCCGCAAAGGCCTGTAGTGCCACGCTCTTCTGCGACGTCAGCCGGATCTCACCCTTTTCGCCGTTGATAGTCCAAGAGAGCTGCGGCTCGCCGGGGAAGGGCTGGCCACGTCGGAATCGCGCGAGGAGCGTGGCGCCTTGGGCGGAGACGAGGTCTGAGACGGGCAGGGTTGCCGTTGCGACGAGGAGGTCTGGGACGTTGCTTGAGACCGTCTCAATTATCTGCTGGGTTGATGGGTCGCGGATATTGACGTCGGGGCGTTGGATTTGGGTGTGGGAGTGCTGGAATGTTGCTTCGCCGAGGGCGTGCTGGACCTGGTCGAACACTGGCAGCTCATGTTAACAAGGAGTTATTCTCTTTCGGATTCATGCTGATGATACTCACGGTGACCGAAGCCGATGGTAATCACATTCCCCCCAATCTCACGCTGAGTGAAGTATTTCAACCCTGCCGGCAACACATTCCGATCCAACGAACCACCCGCCGCCCTCACCTCACTACTCAACACCTTCCCGATCCTCCCCTCCTCCAGAATCTCCTTGACCTTCAACAGTGACGGGGCAAACCGTCCCTGGACCCCAATCACCGTCCTCGCCCCGCTCCTCTTCGCCGCATCCGCCAGCTCGCCCGCGCGCTTCGCGTCCTGCGCGAGAGGCCACTCGACATAGACGCTCTTTCCCGCCTCGACGCTAGACAGAGCCGTGTCAAAGTGCTGATCCACGTGCGTCGAGACGACGACGAGGTCCACGTCCGGGTCCGCGGCGAGGTCGGCGGGGCTGCCGTATGCCTTTGTGGAGGAGGGGAGGTTATAGGTTTTCACTGCGCGCTGGGCGGCTTCGATACTCGAGTTGCAGAGGGCTGTAACTATGTATTTTGAGCGGCCGCGCGCGGAGAGGAGGTAGGGGAGGTGGGCGTTTGATGCCCATGCCGTTGTTGCGGTTGAGGAGAGGCCGATGATGCCGATTTTGATGGGTGCCATTGTGAAAGCTTGCTTGATGTTGTTAGGTGAGTATGGTTTGAAGGGGAACTATTCGATTGAGCAGTGAGAAGGTTTGGGCTGTGGGTTTAATAGTGAAGCCATGTTATGTATCTTAGTCGAGGTGCGTAAGACTGAAGATGATGTGATGGCCGATTTGTAAGCTGGCGCATTGCAGTGTAAGTCGGTTGGAAGAGGGGTTGCAGCCACCTTGGTAATCAACAACCCCTTCGCTTTGATATCGAATTCTCAATGAAACCGATTGTGATCTACACCAAGCACGCTTTTGTGGTCGCCGTGGAGAGAAACCGCAGTCTATGATTTGTCACAAACTGAGGCAGTCGGGACATGAAATCATGTCAAGGAGGAGGCTTTCTCTGCAACGTTTCTGCATGTCTCGTGCATCAAATGACTCTCGGGTAGATCATGCTAAACGTTTTCTACTCAATCTCTGTACAAAAGTAGACATACAATACGACGTGTGTTAGGGTACGTTGATCAGTCTCTCATAGTTGACACCGGTCACTCAAGCTCATGTATCCCATGAGTTGACTGCGATGAGATCGGCAATACTATAACTGACACCCAACAACACCAGCAGCACTCTTCCCCTTCAACATAACGCCCCGGCTCCCAATACCATGCTGATCAAATCCTGATGAAATATCGCTAACAAGAAACCATATCACAATACACAATCAAGTCAAACCCGCAAACATCGAAGCCACCAAAACAAACATCCCAAGTCCCACCGTCGTCACACCCGGCCTCGCGGCGCCGTTAGCAACATGCAACCCCAGAATATTCGCATCCGTCGAGTAATTCCTCCCATTGGCCGAAAGACACCCCCCAAACATAGCCAGCGCATTCTTCTTCGCGTCGTAGGTCCCCGGAAGCTCGCACCACTCGTAGCAGCCGTCGGCGAGCTGGACGGGGTTCGGCGCGCAGCAGGCCACCATGGGCGCGTCCGAGGCGTTGCGGCCCGGCGTCGCGACGAATGTGATGTTTTGCGGGATTGGGAGGGTGGAGAGCTCTGGAAGGCTGCTGCGGTTGAGGCACGTTGCGTTGGACATTATGGGCAGGTTTGTTTGTTTTAGAGCTTAGGAGGTTGTTGGTGACGATGGCGGGCTGGAGTTGTCTGCTCGATGATTTGCTTGTTTATTTTTATCCCTGCTATTCGTAAGGTTTCGTGGAGAAGGAGAGTCTCGCAGAAATATCGTGGTGTCGCTACTAAATTTAATCTCAACGAGTTGAAGGAAGGGCGCTGTTCATCTAGGAAACGTCGTATTTAAGATAGATGAGATCTCTGGCGTAGACCAATATCAGCCCATCTTTAAACGGCTGCCTGGCATCGACTTGGCACCCCAGTCTCGACAAGCCGTACGGCGCAGCAGGGCTGATTCCTCAAAACAACGGGAATAACGGCCATCGTGACCAGGGGAGCGGCGAAGATCCGGGGTTGGTTCGTTGACGATCTTTGCGATTGACGATTGGTAGCGCTTACGAATGACGTCGAAGGCGACGGATGAGCTGTGATGTTGTCTTAAACCCCCCTTTCGTGCGTGGATGAACTAACTAATTCGCTTCGAATTGCCAAGGTACTTTGTTCGATTTGGACGTTTGTGTCCCTCAAGTTAAGCACCGCCGCTTGGTAGGATGTCGCTACAGCCATCTATCAAGACTTGAAGGGGTTCTTGGCGGCCATGTAAGCTTCGTGATGTCTTCAGTCTGCCTCGACATACAGACGTTTCATGAACGCTTCATACCAATGCCGAGATGTTAAGTCTTCCCGCGGCAATCGACGATTTATGCGATTTGAGACTACTCTCAGTCCGAGTGAGAATAAGTATACTTTCTTCCTTTACCTCGACTCTCTAACCATGAAGAAGACATCCACCACCTCACGAATCCCCATCTCCAAAAAAGTCCTCAAGATCCCTCAACCTCCCAACCTTCAACATCCCCCCTTCCCAAGCGGTAACTCCCCCCTCATCAAAATGCACGCTCAAAATCCCTTCCCTCAAAGCAGGCTCCATATCCCTTACCACACTATCCCCAACAAACACCATATCTCCCGCCCCAATCCCAAGATATCTCAAAACCGCCCCAAACAACCCCTCCGTCTTCGCAACCCCAAAGAAATTCGTCGTCGCCAAGAAATCAATATCCCCCCCAATCCCCAACTCCTTGACAGTCCTCTCCTGCGCATCCTGCGGACCCTCCGTAATCACAGCAACTTTCTTGCCCTTGACCTTCAACTTCTTGAGTAAACTCTCCGCGCCATCTTTCAACTGAAGAGACTCGTTCAAAGTCCGCTCATACACATCCAACAACGAATCCAGAAACGCTGCATCGTCGCTCGGCAAACCGAAGCGGTCCAGGACCGAGGCGAAGCGTTCCCGTCGATACTCAAACGACGTCTTGCCATCGGAAAACGCGGACACTGTTTTATCGCGTAGGACGTGGGCGTACACCTCCTCCAGGTCATTGAGGGAAGTCCCGTGTCGTTGGGAGATGACCTCGAGGGTTTTGGCCGTGGCGGCGGAGGAGGCGCGGCGAAATTCGTGGAGGGTGTCGTCGAGGTCGAAGCCGAACCAGGGTTTTTCTGCCAAGCTGTCTTTGAGTTGTGAACTGATGTTGGATCCGTCCATTTTGAGATCCGATGAATGGTGAAGGCAAGTACTTGTGATGCTTGTGGTTCGCCGTAGCCGTATGCAAGTCGCAAGAAGTCGTCTTTCCGCCCGGGCCATCACGGTTGAACCCCCGGAAACCGGCGGAGACCGCGACCGGCCCGGATTACCGTGCTTTGACTCGGTCGATCCATCCTCACGCAAGGGTCATCACAGATCAAGGTCTTGCAAAGTTACCATATTGACTTGCAAATATCTTAATTACCAAAGGAGTTCTGTGCCCCAAGGCGTCTTATCCAGCGTGCTGTCATCCGGCAGCAAACGTGGCATGTAAAGACTAGTAGTAATGTACAATTGACCAGGAAGAATTACCTCCTCTCACAATATTTCATCGTCTCCAAGGCTCTCATCCACGTCACCAATATCATACCCCATTTCCCTCGCGTCCTGTGCCCTCTCGCTGGCCACACGCGTGGCGTGCCATGCATCCCACTTGGCCTTGTCGCTAGCTGACTCGACGACTGGCCGCTTCGCAAGTCCCTTCTTGCGGAGACGACGGCGCAGTTGCCGCTTGTCGTAAAAGTCGAGTGTGTTGATATCGATGGTCGTGATATCGGTACCTGTCACGAAATCCAACGCATCTGCCCAAAGATCTGACGCCTCCTCGGAATACTGATTAGTGAGTTGGCGGCCCAAACCACCTGTGGCCCACTCGTCGAGCTTTACTGGGATAGCGACACCCCAAGTGGGATCCGTCGGTGACCAGACGCAAGGTGTCGAAGAACATGTAGTTGGTCGACAGTAAGCCTCACACATGGCAGACTCGGCAGCATACCAGAGTGAGACCATGAGGAGTACTAGCCCAAGGAATGTAAGGCGGAAGGGGTTGCGATGATAGAGGCTCGGTACAGGAAGATGGAGATACGAGACTTCCTTGATGGGAGTCTGGCCAACGCAATCTGGGCAATCGCGGGCATGATCCAGGTTATGGCGGAGATGCGACCCCTTAGCCAGCGGCTGCTTCTCAGACACTTTCTCAGGTATAGTGGCATCGTCATGTTTGCCCTCGGCATGAGAAACCTGCCCTTCCAAGCGCTCAATGCCTTGCTTGGCGGTACGAATGTTGAAAAGCCCGTCTTTCAATGTCTTGCTCATCCTGTCGTACTGCTCCAGCTCGTGGTTTCGCTGACTTTTGGTAATGTTCGGCTTGGCTGCGACTTCCTCTTTCTTAACCGCAATATCATCGAGCATCGACTCGATATCTATCGATGGGTCGTCCTGAAGCTTCTGCATGTTAAACAGTTCCTCGAAATCGTCCAGTGTGGAGTCTTCAATCTGATGAATGCGTTGAAGTTCCATAATATCGTCCTTGACTGTTGGCGGCTTGACTGAGTTGGTCAGAGGCTTGCGCGGCCGGGAGGTTGATCTATTGCGGCGTCGCAAGCTAGATGTCGTACTCGTTCCAGCTGTCTCCTTCTGATCGCTTGTTTCAGAGCCCGATCCACTGGCCTTGAAGAATATGCCTGCCCTTGACGACGGCCGTGATCCTCTTCTGCTGTGCGGTCTATCGAAAGTCGCGTTCGACAACGGGTCAGGCCTCGTCAATGGGGGCAGAGTGTTCTCATCGATCCGTTCAACCTTGAGCGTCGCAGGTGTCTCGACGTAAGCCCCGGTCACTCTAGGTGTAGGAAGAGACAGCGGGTCGACTTTCTTGGGCCGAGGAGTCTCGCCCGCGAACAGGTCCTTATCCTCATCCTCGGTGGTAGGCTCCGCAGAAGGTGCTCTCGATCCACGCTCAGACTGGTTGTCCGCAGGCGCAAAAAGGTTCATCTCTTGTTCGATGCGGTCGGTAGGATCACCATCCGACAAGGCCACGCTCTTACGGTTGTCCTTGGCCGAATCGGTGGATTTCTGACGACGTTCCCGGCGCCTTGCAGCGGAGTCCACGCGAGACTTTGGCCTCCCTGCTTCCGGCGCTTTTAGCTCATCTGTGGAACTGGGCTTGGAGTCATCCGTCCCTCTCGTCTTAGTGGAACCTGGCTCGGATACTTTGATGGTTCCTCTGCGATTCCGTGGTGGACTGGCCTTGGGCTCGACTTCGTGGGCAGACCGTGTAGTCTCGCTTCTGCGCCGCTGTATCTCAGTCCTCTGCAAAGAAGACTCCTTGGAAGTTTCTTTCTCGAGCCTTTCCATCTCAAGCTTCAGCGTCTCACGCTTTTCCTCCTCAAGCCTCTCTTTTTCGAGCCTTTCCTTCTCGAGCCTCTCCTTGTCGAGCCTCTCTTTGTCGAGCCTCTCCTTGTCGAGCCTCTCCTTCTCGAGCCTCTCCTTCTCGAGCCTCACCTTCTCGAGCCTCTCCTTCTCGAGCTTCTCCCTTTCGGGTCTTTCCTTCTCGAGCTTCTCCCTTTCGAGTCTTTCCTTCGCGAGTTGCTCCTTCTCGAGCCTGTCCCTCGCAATCTTCTCTCTCTCCAACCTCTCCTTCTCAAGCCTGTCCCTGTCGAACCTCTCCTTCTCCAGTCTCTCTCTCTCGCGTGTCTCCTTCTCTAGCCTTTCCTTCTCGAGGTCTTCTATGCTAGGCCTCTTTTTCTCATCTGTAGTTGCGGGTTGGGCATGGGTCTCAGGGGCAGGGCTGCTACTTGCAGCTCTGGCGAGCCGCTGCAATATGTCCCTCGAATCCGTCCGCGCATGCGCACCTAATGGCCTCGCAGGCTTGGGACTCGCCCGCTCGTTTCGGCTCGCAGGCGACTCAGATAGCGACTTGTTTCCCTCCCGGACCGGTGAGTTACGATAGATTGTGACAGGCGTATTGGCAATATGCTCGCCATCTTCTGTTGGCCACTGCGACTCTCCACCTGCCTCTCGAATAGGCGTCGACTCTCTCGCAAGGTCCCCGCTGCGCCGAGCTTCCGGCGACACGGATCTCGTCATTGAGTTCTGTTCCCTAATCTCCTCCAATCGGCTAGTAGCCACGGCCTTCTTAGACAGTGACTCGGCTTCTCGGGCTCGTATCTCGTCGAGTTTAGTGTTCTTTGGCGGGACTTGTGTTTCAACTTCTTCTCGGTCTGGCAGATCATCGGGTGTCGGGTAATAAGAGCGCCTGGGTTGCTTGGCTAGTTGCTCCTCAGCCTCGGCCTCTCTCTCGCGAATCTCCTCCAGCCTTGTATTATTCCTAGCTCTTGGGAGGGCCTTCCGCGACTCGGCAAGCTCCTCCTTGGCTTTCTCTTCCCGCTGGCGAATCTCGTCGATCCTAGTATTTGAGCGCCCAGCCCGAGGAGAAGGTCCTAGCGATGACTCCCGCCTGAGATTCCCGTTGATTCCCAAGAGCTGCTCTTCAGCGTAAGCGCTGCCGTAAGAGGATCGTCGATCGGAGGCTTCGCCAAAACCAGCGCCACCGGTTCTTATCCGTGGACTGTCTGAAATCTGCAAGTCTCCCGCCGTGAAATCTGCGTCGAGCTGCCACGCGTAACTCTTGTCTGGAGATCGGTATTCCGGGTTCGCCGAAGCCGGACGAGATGTTGGCGGAGTGGGTTCCTGCGGGAGACGCTCTACAGAAGGCAACGGTGTGTCGGCTGCAATGTCGTCCTCTGGTTTCGGCCTGGCGGATCGCTTGATACCCTTCTCATCCTGCTCCAGAAGCTCCTTTATGTGTCCTTCAGGAACATGGCTCTTGGCGAATGCCCCAGGACGCGGACTGGCGCTCAAACTGCCGTAGCTTGTCCTCCTACTCAAGCCCGAGCTTCCATTCAAGCTGCTGTTACTGGCTCGCCGGTTCACACTCGAAGACCCGTTGAGGCTGCTGTTGCTTGTCCTCCTCGCTAGGGTGTGTCCTGTCTCTGCAATCTTTGGTCCCACTCTGGTCTTACCAAAGAAGTGATCCTGATCCCGAGACGCGCTCGGCGACTCTGCCATCTCGCGCTCATATTGACTCAATCGACGGTCGAAGCTTCCAGAGCTAGAGAGGCTGTTCGAGCCTGGACTACCGCCGTATCGTCCGACGTAGCTGTCGCGCAACGAGTCGCTCGACATTCTTGAAAGGGGTCTGGGGCGGCTGTAGTCGACCGCATCTTTTCCTAGAGATCGCCGTGATTTTGACTCGTCGGAAACTTGTCGGTTGGTATAAGGGCGCGGGGCAGGGCTTGGTGATGCGTCGATGGCTGCGGGAGTAGCTCGCCGCGTCTTTTCGAGAGTCTGTACACGGTTCTCGTCCGCCAGCTTCCAGGCCTCGGCAACAGAGAAGCCGGAGCCTTTGGCGAAAACGCCGATCGTGGACTTGGGTCGGGGAATGCGGGAGCCGGGAGAGACGATCTCGATAGAGTGGTTCGAGTTGAGGGACGGCGTCTGCGATAGGGAGCTCGAAGGTCGGGGGATCGCGGCACGAGAGGGCGGTCGGCCGGTCGCACTGGCTTGGGCGTTCGTTGGCGAGTATCCAAATCTGGTGCTTCCCGCTGCCGCTTGGGAGGGATTCTGGGGCTCAAGGCTCTCTCGGGAGGGTTTGGAGAAGAGTGGTTTCCGGCCTTCTTCGTCGATAGTCAATTGAGTAGAAGCGCGACGGTTCGCTCGTGCTCCGAGGCCGAATGAGGGTGATCGATTGTATTCCATGGCGACTTGTGGTTGTGGCCACGTTCGTACTTAGTGGTGGCGACAGTGGTGATGGTGGTGGTGGTAGTGGATAGTAGTTTGTCAAGCTGCGCGCAGCTGCATTTTCTTGCGATGCGATTTGGCGATTAGTCGCGTCATAACAGTACGAGAACGCAGTAGTAGAAGAGGCGACACAAGCTTTGAAAAGCTACGAGGCCAAGATGGTCAACCTAGCCGTGTTTATTCGCATTGTCGTCAGGGGAAAGGTGGTCGCGCAAAGGGGAAAGACAATATTTTGGGTCGGAGAATGAGCAAGTAGTGAACCGCGTCTTCCCAGGGAAATTGACCGGGGGTATCCCTGCCGCTCTTTCCCATTTGGATCAACCCCCCACACTGCCCCTCCTAATCTCGGAGCGGAAAAACAGATAGGAAATGACTAATCGGGAGCTCCCGGTTCAAAATGGTCCAAGCTCCAGGATTGTGCGCCGGTCTGGACCCTGATGGCCGATCCCGTCTCAGAAACGGTGCGCCGTAAGGTAAGCGGCTCTCAAAGACGTTTAACGGTATCCGTAACCACGTTTCTGGGTCTTGTTCCCCAGAAAACAAACGACCTTTGTTCACATGTTTGACATGCCTGGCTGTCTTTGTAGTACCGTGTTCAGTATCCGTACTATGTAGTGTAGACCTCCACAGCTCATTCAACGCTCATATCCTAAGCGAAGATTGTACGTTACGACTCGTCATGTCGAACCCCTGTATAATGGCCCATTTCAATCAACGGGCAACTCGGAGAGCTATTCCCCTTCAGGATGGGTACCCCTGGGCGTTCAGGAACACCTGCAGGGACCAGGAGCTCGACGCAACAAAGTGGAGGAACTCCAATCCAAGTGCATCATCTCCAGGCTCCAGCTCATCCGAGCAGTCGACATAAGCAACGTTCTCATAGAGTCACGACTCATTATTCGCAGTCACGACACACGACTCACATTTCATGACATACCAGCTTAGAAGCTGTTGACCACCAATAACGGAAACCCCCAATCTTGAGTTCCATACCCAAGATCCACTCCAGAAACAACTTGGAGCCATGAGTACTCAGGCAGAAGTTATCCGGTCATGCGGCAACATGTACGATGCCTCCCACCAAACTACCATTCCGACACCTCGCTCGGACCTAACCTAACTACGAGGAACCATTACTAACTACCTCGTCACAGGGAAAAGTACTCAACAGCCAGGCACTCCCTCGGCCTCTACCGATGCGTCGCCGTCACCGGCCGCTACGCACTCCCACCAGGCATCATAACCCTCGACCAAGTCAAACCAATTCTCCAACATGCCGTGGCACAGGTCATTGCAGAGCAACCCTTCATGCAGGTCGGCATCGCCGACGAAGACAAACAAACAGCCTCGTTCGTGCGCGTGCCACAAATCAACTTGTCAAACCATATTCAGTGGTTCGGTCCGTCCCACCCCGGCCCCGGCTTCGGCACCGACTCCAGCGCCGGTGGACCGGCACCGGACGCAGTCCTCTGCAAACACCTCTCCCACCAACACGACCAGCTCTGGCCAGAGATAACCCAACGTCCACCCTGGAAAGTCTCCATCATCCCACTCCAAACCTCCCAAGACCACCTAACACATCTCGAAGTAATCTACACCTTCCACCACGCAATAAGCGACGGCACAAGCGGCTCCATCTTCCACAAACGTCTCCTCCACGCCCTCACAAACCCCCTCACCACCACACCAAATCTCCAAAACAACATCCTCAGCCTCTCAACCCCACCAACCCTCCCCCTCCCACAGGAACACCTCGTCAACAGCCACATCTCCTGGCCCTACTTCCTCCGCGAACTATGGTCCGCCTTCGGCCCAGCCTGGCTCAAGCCAACACCAGAATCCCCTCCCTGGACAGGCAAACCCATCAACCTCGCCACGCCCTTCCACACAAACATCCGCATCATCACCCTCCCACCCTCAACAGTCAGCGGCCTCCTCTCCGCCTCCCGCGCCCAGAATCAAACTCTAACGCCCCTCCTCCACGCGCTGGTCACAGCCTCCCTCGCGCACCACATCCCCCCTTCCTCCGCGCCCTCCTTTGAACCCTCCACCGCCATCAGCATGCGCCGCTTCGTCCGCGACAAAACCCTCGACATTGACAACAAAATGTCCGTCCTCGTCACGTCAACGAATCACCCCATCTCCACGACCCTCACCACCGCACTCCGCGAGTCTTCTTCTTCCTCTCCCTCCTCCACGAGCTCAACCCTCGAAAGCGCAATCTGGGCCGTCGCATCCTCCGTTAAAAAGGACCTCCAAACGAGGCTGGCGAGCTTACCCCACGACGACATCACAGCTATGCTGCGGTACGTCGGCGATTTTCACGATTTCTTCAGGAAGAAGGATGGGAAGGCGAGAGGGAATAGTTGGGAGGTGAGTAACCTGGGCGCCATCAACGGCAACAGCACCAGCGAGGGCGAGGACGGCAAGGGTGAAGCGGGCTGGAAACTTACCCGCGCCGTATTCTCCCAATCCGCAGGCACAGTCGCCCAAGCCTTCTGCGTCAACGTAGCCGGCATCGCGGGCGGAGAGACGACGATTACGGTGACCTGGAACGAGGCTATTACCGAGACGGAGGTCGTGGAGGTGCTGGTTGTTGATCTCGAAGTGTGGGCGCGGAAGCTTGCCAATGGCGAGAGTTTGTAAGGGGGGTGACGGGTGAAATTGATGAGGGTACGACGTACAGATGCGGTATTCTTCTACAGAGATATCAAAGTAATGATAATTAAAAGATATTTTTTTCGGGGAGGTAAGGTTAACCAGTATATAATGAGGATATGCTTTCCGTGGCAGATGAGACAACTTCGAAATATTGCTCCTATTGGCACAGGTTCAGCTGAGCTCCAAGGTGAGCCACATCTGCTTGCGTTACCCCCGAAAATCCGTCCCCGATGGACGGAATCTACGATAAGATCACCTAAATCCACACCGACAACAGATATCCCAACACCGCAAACACTGTCAAAAAGCCACGAGTGACCACGTCCAAATCGATGAGAGTAAACAGTCCTGAACAAGAAAGTGCGGAAGGGTTACTCATTAAATCTATAATCTGTTTCCCACCAGCATCGCGCCAGGGGGGGATATTTGTCGAGGGGGAGCAGCACCATTATGTAACGTCCCCACGCAAGTCTTCAGTCTATGTTCTCATCTCTTTGATCATTACCATTTTGATGAATAAGGAAATCAAGTTGAAACAGGGTCAGTCAAGATGACCCAGACCCTGTTCCTCACAACCCGCAGTCCATCCCACGGGGAAAGTCGCTCTTCGGACACTCGTGTAAACCCCTCCCCTCTCTCTCACACAAATCAACGCCGAGAATGCAATGCCATCACATGGAGACCAGATCCCGGACCGCGAGGCAACCCTCCGCTCTATCATCGCTCACAACACAAAAAAGAAATTTAAAAACCAATCATAACACTCTCTCAGTCAACTACCACTGATCGTTTTGGCGCCGCCTTGCCGATCCACGGAAGTAGTCGTATTGGGTCGGGTCCGGGTCAGGCGTCTCAGCATCGGCCTGAGGGAGTCCACTATACCCCCTCGGTCCGCCACCTAGAGCTCCAACACTCGGCCCCCCCGTGGGTACGCTCATCGGCATACCCGCGGCATTTCTCACGAGCGCCGTGTCGCTGCCGTTACTGTTGATGGTGTATAGGGGGCTACGGGACCGCTCGCCCATGGTCGATTGTTGAGCGAAACCAGCTTGGGGCGGTCCCATGGTAGGGGACTGACGGCCGCTTCCAGTCGGTGACATGTACCCGGCAGGCGGAGTAGGCCTAGAACCGAATCCAGACTGACCAGAGATATCGCGGCGCTGGCCCGTCATACCACCCTGCAGAGCAGCGCCCGTGGGCGTTCCGGGACGAGAGCCGAAATCGGACATTGATCCAGGAGTGCCGGGACGCATGATGTCGGGATCGCGCCCAAAGATGTCGCCTTGGCCATGCTCCTCAGCGAATTCTGCACGGTTCTTGTAGAATTCGAAATCCAGGTTGGACTCGGAGACGAACTCGAAGCCAGGAACAGCCTCTGATTTGCCCGGCTTGCCAGCCTTCATGGAACCCATCGCGTACACGTCCGAGTAGCCAGAAACACTCATCATGTCACCGGTATTGACATCTCTTCCATCGGAAAGGCGACCCTTGTACACGACGTGCAAGTAAGGCTGCGCCTTCTGGTGCACCATTGGGGTGATAAGAGGCTTGTACAAGGCCGGGTGGCCGAAACGCGAAGCCAAGCGCTCACTGCGAAGGCGAGTTTCCTTCATGACTCCCGCCTCGGGGTGCTTGGCAACGTTCGTTGTCGAGAGGTAGTGGATCTTGTCGTCATACAGTCGGGAGCAGACAACCTTGAAAATGATCAAGCAAATGGGCAGCGGAATGATGGCGAAGGCCTGGCTGTGGTAGGCCCAGTCGGCACGCGCCCATGAGCTGAGGAAGAAGACGCAGTTCGAAAGGAAGACGGCAAAGAGCATGCGATTGAAGAGCACGCGCCAGAACATGCCTCCGGATTCGGTCTTGGTGACAAAGATGTAGAGCAAGAGGTACTTCTTGAGCCAGTAGTCGATTCCATAGTACAACGCGGCAGCAGGAAGAACCAAGGGCTGGATTCCAGAGAAACCCAGAGCAACTGTCGCGTAGTAAAGGAAGTAGTTGTAGTAAGAGGCATACTCAAAGGTGGGCGGTGCCGTAAGCTCAATGAGCTCTCTGGGTGTCGGGCTCGAGAACTTTCGCACGAAGAAGCTGTAGATGAGTTTCCAAAGCTGGGCGAGATCGATGGCGGCACCGAGGTTGCGCTGGAGGAGCCAAGTGACCCAGAAGGGACTGACTGAGCAAAGCGCCGTGAAGATGGTGGTTGCAAGGTTCTGATCAATGATAGCCTGCCAGGCGTCGACGCTCTTTTCGCTCGTTTCGCTCACGATTGCCGACACCAGCGACCACACGGTACTGAAGAGCGAGAAAACAATCAAGTTGTTGAAGACGAAGAAGGCATACAACTTGGCCAGAACGTGCCTCTCACGACCCGTCTTGGTCTGGTCTCCGGCCTTCATCGAGAGCCGACGGAAGATCATGGGCAGGACGAGGTAGACCAGCGACATCAAACCAGGAGATGCGATACCCTGGACAATGGACCACCATTCGGGGTTGGTCTGAAGTTCCGTCTGGAAAGCCGGCCAGACCTTGCCTAGGTTGTTGAGGTCGATCAGGAAGATGGCGATCATGGCGTTCGGGGCGATCCAGACAATGGTGAGCAACGCGATCCAGAGGTTATTCACGATACGCTTCATGCGGCGAACCGAGGGCGTCAGAACCAGGTTATCCCAAAGAATATCGTTGGGGCGCGGGGCCATGGTGATTGTTGCGCCTTGCGGATGTTTCTTGCGGCTGGCGTATGCAATGTTGTGCGCCTCAGCAATGTCTGCGTAACTGGCAAAGCCATAGGGCATGGTGCTCCGCTTGTCAACACTCTGTCGAATCTCCTTGATCATGAGTTCAAGCTCCTTGATGCGCTGTGTCAGGTACTCGATAGCGTCCACTTTCTGTCCCTTGGGATACGTCGCGAAGGATGGGTCCTTCTTGGAGGGCTTGCACATCGGTCTGGCAGCCGGCAGCTGATCGGGCTTCTTCATGTACTTTGCCAACACTTCCTCCAGCTTGCGAACGGTGTGGTCATGCTGCTCGATCAGCTTGGGGAGTTCCCTAACGTTACGGGCAATGGCGGTGCGAGAGAAAGAGGAGGCCGGCACAACTTCGTCGATGATGGTCGCGATGCCTTCGTCGGAGCATTTGGCTTTGGGAATATCGTACATCTGCTAGGGTCAGCTTGGATCACGGTAGTACGTCATCCGAAAATCAAGTCTTACCATGAGGGTCCGGGCGTGCAGACTGTTTTGGTACTCTTCGCTCTCAAAATACTTGCGTCGGAGCCGCAAGACCTTGCGGTAGTTCCACCACAAGAAGCCCATAACAACAAATGTGATGATGTAGGCAACTGCGACCTGTGCCCAGTACGCATTACCCCATACTGCAATGGGAGTAATCAAATCGATCCAGGTTCTGTCTGTGGTCGAACTGCTCTCTGCAGTGCTCAAGTAGGTGGGGATCAGGATTCCGAGACCAAACACGGAGATGGTGGCGAAGATGTAGAGACACATGCGAACGAAGCGGAGGAAGACGGTGGCGTCCATGCCGACGTGATGCACCAGCTCATCCTCGGTGGTGTTCCATAGCGGCGGGATCCAGGACCAAATCTTCTTGCCGATGGGCGGCGGAGCATGTTTTTCGTCGGCATGCTTCAACTTGGGCGCATAAACGGACTGGTTATACGGTCGAAGAAACGAGAAGGTGACGGCGATACCGACAGTGACACCGAGTGAGGTGCCCAAAGCAGCCCAAACTGAGTTCTTGGCGAGCTATATGGCAGTTAGCATCCAGCACGAACTGTTTGTAGCTCAAATGATACGGGGTCCACGTACCTGAGAACTGAAAGGGTTTTTCAGCAGGTCCAACAGCTCTTTTCCGGCGTCGGTGCTCATCTTGAAGGTTGAGGCCCCTTGGGGCGAGGGGGGCGAGTCGCGTCTCTAGGTGATCTCGGCAAGGAAGAGGGCAGCGAGAGACTTGGTGGTGATGTTGTTTTTGCACCGGGTCTTCAAAAATTGGCGGTTGATGAAGAAGCTCGGTCGGCTAGTCGGTTGGGTGATTTCGATTTAGTGCGGCGATGACACAGGAGCTTATCCAAGGGGAGCTTCTGATGGTTGTTTGTCGCAAATAATTGGTTTCGAATTGGCCCTTCGTGTAATGTTACCGGGCGCACAAAGACCTCGGGGGAGGTGGCCAAGAGGTCGAATATTAGGTGAATGACGCGAGTTGCCGCAGCGAGAGTCGGGAAGGAGAGAAGGGATCGTCGAAAGGAGCAGCTGGTTCCCACCACGCGAGCAATGGGAGGGTTCGATTGGGACGATTAGTGGAGCCGCAGATGTCGTCGAAGCGCGCGAAGAGAGGGAGACGATGGAGAGAGCGAACGACTGACGGAGGGTCGGCGGGATGATCGCGGGATTGGGGGGAGAATGAGGAGGAGGAAGAAGAAAGAGGTGGGAAAAGCGAGGGGAAGTCGGCCTTCAAGCGAGCGTATGTAGGACGAGGTTTAGGTTACGGCACGACATGGACGGATGGTAAAGAGACAGGACTACGGAGTAAGTACAGTAGGACTGTAGGAGTAGGTAGGGGACGGATGGGACGAAGGAGGGAAAAGGTGGAGAGGCGTGGAGGAGAAGGAACAACCACTGGGGAGGAAGCTTGTTGAGCCTGGAGGATTGCGTATGTCACTCCTGGAACATCCCAGTCGGTGGGTGCGCCGATATCCGGGTCCATCGCTGGAGGAGTGCGGTTGGCAGCCCAGGAAAAAAAAATCATTTAGCTGCAGTACCTTACTCCGTACGGGGCAGAAAGAAAGAAAAAAAAAACATGGGATAAAAAAAAAACACATAAAAAATGCATACGTAAAAAAACACGGCCAAGGGGATTGGTTCGCCTGAGGTCCTTGCAATTCTTGCGCTAATGGATCCGACCCACCATCACCAGGTTGAGGGCATCGGTACGTATCCTGTTCTGTACCTGCTGCTCATGTCATTCACTCTTCCTCTTTCCATTGTGGCTGTTTGCTTCCTGTCTGCTCGCCTCATGGTGGATGGGTTTTTAAGTGTTATTAGGTAAGTCTGCTGTTGATAGTCAGGTCCTCGTGCTCAAGAACAAAAGTTAGTAAATGGGGATTCTCCATGTTGAATGCATGTCTTTACATGTCAGCATCTGCAGGAACATGCAACGCCTACCTTGATCAGTTGGAGGCTTTAGGTACTTCTTGCTCCGGTACGTACACATACCGGTACCCCCAGTCTCGTGGACGGAATCGCAAAGAAGACGGAGCATCAGACGACTTTATTGGGCAGAAGACCCTAAAACTGCCATCCAACATTCTTTCTGCTGCTGTCAGAGCTTGGGACACCCACCACCAGTGAGTGACCACACAGCAAACTGGCACACGCAAGATAGGTAGGTGCCGTGCCGCCGCTTGGCTTCAATGGAAGAGCCCAGAGCATGGGCCCCCTAAGGTAGGAAGCGTGGGAACGCTTTGCCCTGCTACCTTTGCATATCGTAGCGCATCGGCAGGGCCGCCGCTCGCTGTGGCTGTGGCTATTTTTGACACCTTGAATGCGTTCTGGGCCCCACCTTCTTCCTCCTTCACCCACTCACCCACATCACACGCCCTGCATCTTTTTTTGTGCAGTTGGCAGACGATCCAAGGAATGCTAGACTCTTTGGGGGTTAAAAGGGAATGGATTGGTGGTCGGTGAATACGAGGCCCATTCAGAAAAAGATCCTTTCATACGGATACCATACTCGGATTATGCAGGGCATACCGCGCATCCGGCCGATTAAGAGGACTCTGTTCCTCTCGGCGTCCTTTCCACGGCCGAAATGTTGAAGCTATACTAGAAGATCTGCAGTCGAAAGATATCGATCTATAGCAGTAGAGAGGAAAAAGGTCTTTGCTCGCGTGTTGCGTCTGAGGTATGTAGCGAGCGTTCTCTGGTCTCGCGCTAGAGGCGAAAAATGCCATCATTCCACATGGAAAAGTTTGATGTCGCAGTTTCGCCCAAGCCCAAAAGAGTTCTAGACGTTTACCAATCCGTTCCGTTTTCCCTTCCGTTTCTTGGTATCACGACTCTTTTTTATTTCATTTTTTCCCTCCTCCTCAAGGTCAATGGTTAAGGGAGCCCTCATCTCTACAACGGACACGGATACATATCCCGTGCTCAAGCGTACGGATACACCTTGCGCCCCCGTGTCAGGTTAAGTGAAAAGGGGTGAGCATTTTGCGTCCCCGCAAGACCCAATGCCGAAAGGGAAGTCGCTTCCAACCTTTACTTGGTACAAATCTACAGCGGTCTCTATGGAGCACCGCACACTACGGACTCACAGAGTAAGGGGTGATGGCGTTCACATGACAGGCAACACCCCAGCAGCAACTCGTCGACAGGGCTGTGCATTGAGGGGAGGTCCTTTTGGGGGCCTCGGGAAGTTGGGGAGGTTTGGCCATTTGTGGAGAGACGGGACAGAAAATGGGGGGTTTATGATGATAAAGAAGATAATGATTGTTCTCTCATCCTTCAGGTCAATGATGGCGGTGATTCAAAGCCAGTTGAACAGTCGACAGCAAGAAGTAAACTCAATGCTAGATTGAGTGGGGGCTCCGTCTCAATTACCCAAGACTAACATTGAGAATAGCCTCCAGAGTAGCGATGAACTCACTCCCTCTATCGGAGCATTATCTTTACATGCTGCTCAGCCACCCTGCTCCTTGGGGGATGATGCATGACATGAGAATTAAGCATTCCTTATTCTTCTGCTTCAACCCATCTAATCCACACACACCTTTGATAACCATTAATACATCTGTATGTTTGTGTTCCTGCATCTGATCACTGCTTATCTCGTACCAGCACAAGCTGGAAACTAATTCTCTCCCTCATCGGCAAACCAACATTGATCGAAGCTGAGTCGAAGTGAGGCGTCCAGTCCGTTCCCCCCATCGCCAAGACCACCGCTGCATCCCCTCCCGCAAGTCCCGCCGACCTTTCCAGAACAACGCAAGGAAGCTAAGCTAATGGGGGCTACCTTGCCTACGGATACCTTGCACGCCTTACTACGCTTGTGTGTTGAGGTTAGTGTATCCGTACCTATCCGTACGTATCAATACTCACGCCGAACGAGTACTCCGTTCACGAAAACGGAACACCCCCAGCCGGCCCGTTTTTTGCACCAAAAAGACTCTCCCCTACGTCACAGCCCTCATCGCCCCAATCGACGGCGGCCTCTGCCCATCTTCAACTTTTGTGCTTTCCCACCGCATACCGCCATGCCCGCCGCCGCCGCCGCCACGCCGTACCGTTTAAACTGGAAAACATGTTGAGAGACGAAAAAGACTCATGAGAAAGCCAAGGTACCTACCGTCCGCCTCACACAAAACGCAAGGCGCAAACGCAACGCCACCACCCTACGATCCAAAGCTGTTTGGCTGGTGTTTCCTCGAAACCCGCTTAGCGTCCATGCTCCTCCATTTGTTTACTCGTTTTCCCTATTTGGAACACTGCAAGTAAACACACACACGCACACACACCTAGTCCGAGGCTGATCTTTCGGGGAAAGGCACACAGATGCATTCCTCCCGGTTTTGGTCCCCTTTTTTTTTGTTGGCTCAGCTAGACATGATGTTCCTTCCCAACGCTCTCTCTTTCTCCTCTGAAAAAGGCCAAAAGACGTTTGCCGTCACACACGCGTCCCCTGCCCTCGGCTTGTAAGAGACACGCCAAGTACACCATCTCCCGAAGCTTTCTCAAACATGTTCATTCCGGCACAGCCCGTTCCTGGATGATGGAATCCTCAGTCGGATGAAGAAGGGCAGAGATACACTTCAAGTAGGTACTTATGTACAAGACAGGACTCATATGCTTCTCCTTCACTTACTTCCACGTCCCCTAATTGCTTACCCTACGACGAATTGATCGACAAACCCTTGTGCCCTTGGTGACGCGGTTCAGTGGAGAACCCACTGATTCTGTCACGGTCTGGACCGAAGCGAAAACCCCGGAGCCTCCCCCTCCTGTAGACGTCATCACGCCCCTTCGCTCATATGCTCAGTCAAAGAGGATCAGTTCCGAGGACGAATTCACCAGCGTCTGTATTCTTTTTTCTCTTCATAATTCCCGCGCCTTTGACTGCCTAAGAAATTAAGACAAATTCATAATGTGGCTTTGATCCACAGTAGTATGACCGGTTGAAAACAAGTCTAGTATGCAGTAGATCGAGATGCACATGCTCCTGGGAAAGCTCAGATGCGCAGATGCGTAATATTCTGGATCGGCACTTACATTATCTGAGGCCTCGGCTTCCTGATCCGAATAAGACGCTCAAAGCGCATCAATCGCCATGTCAGTTCAGATAACCAACCAAGGCTGGGTCTACAAATCTGGTTAACATCATTCGGGACTCACACACTTGGCCCATCTCCATGTAATATGTGAACCAATCGGACCCGACGGAAACGCAACTACTATTGAATCCATGGTCAGAAACAGCGGGCAGAATGACTCTTATACTCTAATTGGTAGGTGATGGCTAAATGGGCTACGTGGCTGTTCGATGCTGTAATTAGACTTTCGACCTCTGGATTGTGCTTCCATATAATGAGATAAGGGGAACAACAGCATTATGACTTGCAAGAAGAATTTAGAATCAAGACATGAATTTAGAATCAAGACAGTATCCTCAGAGCAAGAGTACGGGGCGTCGAGGTTGAAACTGTGGTTGATGTAATAGTAGCCTCACAATTCTTGACTGCCCGTATTTTCAAGTCGAATTGTTCCTCGGTCTTGCTCACATTCAACACGTTGCATCAGAATGGCCATGACGAAACGAGCAAGCTGCATGTGCAAACGTCCTAGTATATACAGTATCCTAGTGTCCTACCACTCAGTGTCGACACGAAGCCGACCTGAGCTACAACGACGAAAAGACAAGAACAGAAACAAAAACCCGCGCCTCCTTTTTGCCTACCCATCATAAATCCGCGGGGTGAAAAGAGAGACGCCCGCCCGGCTGGTCCGAACCCAAGCCGCCTCGACCATCATGGTCTCGTTGTTGCTAGAGTAGTCCATGGGACCCTAAATCGACATTCAAGAAATTCCGAGGCGATACGGGTACGTGCCTCAGAAGCATCAGGCTCGCCGCGTGGCCCGTTTAGACGGGGCCTTGAGAGCGAGTCTTACGCTGAGTTTGACCGGGCGAGTGCAGAACCTTCTTAACCTTGCTGGCAACCTTATGGCCAAAAGACTCTTTCTCCTTCTTGGGGCTCTCCTTTACTTGCTTCGCAGCGCCGTTTGAAGGGGGTCGGCCAGGGCCCCTCTTGGCCTTCTTCTCTGCGGGCTTTTCTTCCGGAGTAGCCTCGACAGCCTCAACGCCATTGGTACCATTGGTTCCGTTGGTACCATTGGTTTCGGTTAGGTCATCCGCCTTGCGCTTGTTGCTCGGCTTGGCCTGCGGCGCGGCCTCGCGCTCTCCGGCACCGGTGGGCTCGGCGTCATTGAGGGCACCGGTCATCTCGACATCCTTAGTCGCAGCGCCATTGGTGACTTCAGGCTTCTCAACGATTGGTTCCTTGACTGACTCTTCCTCGACCGCTGGCGCCTTGAGTATCTGTTGCGGAACAGGCTCTTCGACAGATTCCTTGACAGGCTCGGCAACGGGTGCAGAGGTTGCGGCCGGCTTCTCAGCAGGCTGTTCAGCGGGATTGACCTTCGGCTCCTCGGTTCCCGTCGTCGCAAGAGGCCCGTCTTTGTCGGGAATTTCTTCGACGGAGGCCGGCTTGGGCACATCGGCGGTAGCTTCGGCCGCAGCTGGTGCAGCTGGCGCATCGGCCGGTGGGGCCAGCGCAGGAGGATCCGCCAGCTTGGCGGGCTCGGCAGCCTCAGTAGCTGATGTCTCTGGGACTGGTGCGACCTCGTCCTTCTTTTCCTCGACTGGCTTCGTCTCCGAAGCTACAGTCTCTGTGGGCTTCTCACCCGCGTCGGTGATGGCGGTAGTGGTTGCGACAGTCTCGGGAGCTGTACACGGGAAAGAATGTCAGCGCAAGAAGGTCCGAGCGGGATTATATGCGCGGCGATGGGGAGACTTGATGCGCCCGTACACCGAGAGACGATGGGCCAACATAGGGCGCAAACATCAGCGCCGCTGTACAAAGGCGATGCGACACCCATGGAAGCTTCACGATATGTCTTACTCACCTTTGTCGATGCCAGCTGCGGCTGGGACAGCTCCAGGAACGGGATTGGGGTCCATTGCGATGACGTAACGGGTGTCCGGTGGGCGCACAGTGCGCGATCAGAGATGTGGCAGTCGGTGATGGGAAATGGGCTCAATGGCCGAGTTCGAGAGAGGATGAGAGTAGTAGATGATGAGAATGGCTGTGATGATGCCGATTGGAGATGGGAAAGCCGAAGAATAGAGGATGAAGTTTGTGGTAGGAGGAAAGACGGAAGGAAGAGGGAAGAAGAGGTGAGGTTGGCGTCGGAGCATGGGACTCGGCAGAGCTCCTCCTCACCTTACCGGCTGGGCCTTGGTGCAACCACACAGCAAGTCATCGCACAGAGACATGGGGTTGGGAGGTAGGAGGCACTGGGGGGGGACCTAACGCTCCTGGTTCCACGAGGGACGGGACGAATCAGCAGCGGAAAGGGCGGGCTCGGAACACGCAATTGCTATTGCCTCAGCCATTGCCTCACAGCTTCCGTGCTGCGATGAGCGAGGAGGTGTGTGTGTGTGTGTGCGTGTGTGTGTGTGTGTGCGCGCTGTGCTGTGCTGTGCTGTGCTGACCCTTAGCTCTAGCTTTGGAAGGCAAGGAGCGGACCTCGAGCAGCGAGAGTGAAGCTGTGAGCTTGCAAGGAGATGGCCGGTACGAGCAAGGTTCCCCTCGCGGTACATTGGGTGGAGAGGAACCTGGGATAGTCATGTCAATCTGACGTGACTGGAAGCTCCACGGATGCCGATGGCCAAACCTGGCGATCTTGGGATCTTACAGGGCTGGCGAGAGGGAGCTAAGGCCCGGTTAAGATTCGGTTAATCCGAGAAAGGTCTAGTGAGCTGACCGAGATGGCAAACTGGGTCTTTTGGGTCGAGCCTGCTGAGGCGAGCAGATGCCGATGAGAGCAGCGCAATACCTACGCACAACTGGGGGTTTAACGGTCCTCCATGTGCTGCCGTTGATACCGTTCAACGGCATATGATGAGTGGTTTATCGAATGCGAGAGACCGCATCCATATGTGACAGAGGCACAGAGCTTTTCGGTGCTGAGAAGACGGTGTTGCAGGTCCGTCTCAACGTCTTGTAACGCCGAGACTGGAAGATGGTAGGTCAAACCCAATTTAACCGTGTATTTCCAAAAGCCATACACTGTACGAAGGAAGCGGAGCTGTCTCTTCAGTCCCCGATGGGATGCGATCGTTTCCTGGCTGGCGGGCGACGCTTGCCAGGGCAGAACTGCAGCGTCGCGGTGGTGCAGCAAGGCGGATGCGGGGAAGAGCCAATGATTGGCCTCGAGGGCAGAGCATCATCTCCACCCTGAGCCAACCGACATTACGTCAGCCAATCAGCGCTCATCGAGGAAAGAACCACGTCTGAGCTTTCCGGGCAAGCTGCACGCCATCTGTGATCTCTTATTTTACCCCGGAAAGCTCATACGTTTTGCAAAGCGAAGTTGCTGTTGCCACGGGCTATATCTTCACTTGTGCTTGTGGTCCCTACATTGAGCGCAACAGATTCGTAAGACATACCTCTTGTTCTATTGAAAAGCCTCCGCTATCCTTATGTAATACTTGTAAAGATGGGGCTTATTAGTAACTTTGGGAGCTTTTTGATGGAAGGTATTGAAGAGTTCCTTGTAATGACAGCAGATATCATGCGTTCTTTGAGTGTAGGAACCAATGCTTTGAGGACTGAATCGTAAATAGTCAGCTCCAAAAGTGATCTTCTCCATCATGGCTCGCTTTCATATGAGTGACTGCCTCATAAGTTACCTAGTTTACCCTGGGGAAGGTAAGGTAGGTAGCTCATGGTTGGTTCCTTCCGTAAGGTGCTGGTACTCCGTAAAGACATTGAAGTTTTGGTCCAACCTATTCAGGCAAGAAGCTTGGGCAACGTAGGTATTTAGGTACCTTACGTTGGTATCCGACAAGCTGTCCAGACTTGAGCAAAGCAGGACCGCCTGGGAAGTTCACAGTTTTTGTGCTATAATTTTGGCATGATTGAATTGCATGGTCCCCTCGTGAAGCAAAAATCCAAAGTTTCGTTGGCATTCAAGAAACTTGAACGCAACCCCGGGGTGCAGTGGTGCCAGGTGGTGATATCTGGTGCTCCAGTGTTCCCGCCCTGTGGTTCCCCCCTAGATTTCAGGGGCTAGATCATAGCTTAGTCATCGACCACTCAAGGTGCCAAATGGCATTCCACCGCCAAAGGACACACAGCATCCATCGCCGTGAAGCTTCAATACGCGCAGCCAACTTCATCACGCTCCTTTCCGCCAAGCCAAGCTCAACTTCTTGTGTCTCTATTCTCTTCGATTTCCCCCCCTTCTTTGATACCGACAGTTTTCTCCGATTGCAACAATGGCAGCCAACAAGTACTCGGTCATCCTGCCGACCTACAATGAGCGTCGCAACCTGCCCATTGTCGCCTGGTTGCTGAACCGCACCTTCACCCAGCAGTAAGTCGCAATCCCTCCCCCATACCATGACTCTCTTCTCTTCACATCCATCTACCCCTTGTCGTATCACCTACTGATGATCCTACCCTTTCCAACAGCAAGCTCGACTGGGAACTCATCATCGTCGACGACGGCTCCCCCGACGGCACCCAAGAAGTCGCCAACCAGCTTGTCAAGGCCTACGCCCCGCACATCGTCCTCAAAACCCGCACCGGCAAGCTGGGCCTCGGCACCGCCTACGTCCACGGCCTGCAGTTCGTCAACGGCAACTTTGTCATCATCATGGACGCCGACTTCTCCCACCACCCCAAGTTCATCCCCCAGATGGTCGCCCGCCAAAAGGAGGGCAACTACGACATCGTCACCGGCACCCGCTACGCCGGCAACGGTGGCGTCTACGGCTGGGACCTGAAGCGCAAATTCGTCTCCCGCGGCGCCAACCTCTTCGCCGACACCGTTCTGCGACCCGGTGTCAGCGATCTGACGGGCAGCTTCCGCCTCTACAAGAAGAGCGTCCTCGACAAGGTCATTTCGAGCACCGAGAGCAAGGGGTACACATTCCAGATGGAGATGATGGTCCGCGCCAAGGCTATGGGGTGCTCTGTCGCCGAAGTGCCCATCACCTTTGTCGACCGCGTCTACGGCGACAGTAAGCTTGGCGGTGATGAGATTGTCGAGTATGCCAAGGGTGTGTTGTCGTTGTGGGCCAAGGTCTAAGGGAGCCAGCCTCCTTCGGAAGAACGAACATGGAAAAGGGAATGGAAGAGAAAATAGAGGTGACACGATACCGAGAGTTTTTGTTTGCTTCTGGACACATTTGGCATGAATTGGGCGTTGGGGGACGACGGGAATCCAAAGTACCGATACCTAATTATGAACAAATCGCATGAAATCTACAGTTTTGTTCAGTCATATGAGGGTGCCTCCACCCGCTGTGAGATAACTAACTACATCCACTCCGGAAGCAACTCTTCACATGTTCCGACCACCCGTCACCATGATCGTCTGACCGCTCACATAGCTAAACAGCGGACTGACAACAGCAAGCACCGCCGAAGCCGCCTCAGTCGGCGAGCCAGGCCTCCGCAGCGGAATATCAGCATGCGCATCCGCCTCAGGCCCCTTCTGCGCCCCCGGAATTCCAAGCGCAATCTTTTCGCCATCCGGCCCGGTAATAAACGCGCCCTTCTCCTTGGCATCCGTCAACCGCGTCTTGATGAACCCAAAAGCAACAGTATTCGCCCTCACGCCAAACGCAGGCCCCCACTCTTTGGCAATCGTCTTGGTCAAGCCCGTAACACCAGCCTTGGCCATGGCGTAATTCGCCTGGCCCGCGTTGCCGTGGACGCCCGAGGTGGAGCTGATGTTGACGATGCAGCGGTTCTCGCCGTCCTTAACACGGAAGTAGGGCGCCGCGGCGCGGACGAGGCGGAAGGGGGCCGTGGAGTGCAGCGCGATGATGGTGTCCCACTGCTTGTCCGTCATCTTGTGAATCACGCCGTCCCAGGTGTAGCCGGCGTTGTTGACAATGTGATGGATCTTGCCGCCGCCGAACTCTGCTGCTTTGGCGACGAGGGTGGTGATGTAGTCTGCTGAGAGCATGTCGCCGGGGACGCTGATAGCTTGGCCGCCTGCGGCGGTGATGCCGTCTGCGACTTGCTGTGCCTTTTCTGTTTGAAATTGTCAGTTGTGAAGGTCGTCGGGGGAGGTTTTGGAACGTCATACTGCCGTCAATGTCGGAAACGACAACCTTTGCGCCCTCGTTGGCAAAGAGCCGCGCTGCTTCGGCGCCGATTCCCTGTCCGCTGCCGGTGATGATGGCGACTTGGCCGGCGAGCATACCCTTGGGGTAGTTCAGGTGAGATGCGATTTGCGCTACACGATCCGACATGTTGGCGATGATTTGAGTGAATTTGGCCTTCTTCAATTGATTCAAGTGATCTAGAAACTGGTCAGCTCAAGGGGTGATAGGCTGCTACTGAGTATATAATTCTAAAGTCGAGAGTGAGACCTGAGGGATAGCTCTACACGGATCGAAGTGTCATTGGAGCTCCAAGTTGAAGACCCCTGGGCTGCCGAGGTTCCCCGCGGTTCTCAGTCCCGGCCCTAGACGAGGTGACGAGGTACCGGTGGTGGGGTAGAGCCGTCGGGCCCGGGCGACACATCGCTGGACGCATTGTATGATCTAGCTCCAACGAGTCAATTTTCGATGCCATTGAGTAGTAATGAGGTTAATGTCTCATGGCTGCATTCCCAAGTAATTGGTTGGAGGGCGTTATTACCAGGCACCACATGGCCATCGGAAAGAGCACCTCAACTTCTCACATTAATTCGTGGAAATGACGTTTTGGTGGCACCCTAGAAAGCTCAGGCCTTGGCGCCCCGGTTTAGGGGAATAGATAAGATAAGGGGGAAGGTGGGATGTCTCCGTCTCTGTTTTGACGACATGCTTCCTGCGCCAGGCCGTGTCAACACCCCGTGGTGCCAAGCTTCGAAACCCACCAGTCTACAGCCATGTCAACCAGCGGAGGTCAAGGAGGTCGAGGAGTAGGAGGACCGTCAGGAGGAGGAGGAGTAGGAGGAGGAGGGGGGGATACGCGGGCGGAGGAGGGGATTGGAGAGGAGGTGGTAACAGAGGGTTTCGCGGCGGAAGAGGAGGAGGAAGAGGAGGAGGCATACTAAGAGGGGCCGGCGGCGGTGGTGGAGGTGGTCCCGGCAGAGGGGGCCGTTCACATTCAGGACCGTGGGGGAGACTCAAGCCCGTCGACTTGGATCCTCTCGACAACTACGGCCTCCCTTCAAAAGGTGACACAAGGTAAGGCCTGCGACTCTCAGTTCCGTTCCTCAATAACTTGTGCTAACTGCTGCGCCAACCCAGACTCCTGACCTTCAAGACGCAAGAACAATACTACACAAAGATCGTCGAACGCTACATGACATTCTGCTCCGACGCCGGCGAACGCGACGAACTCCTCCGCCGCTTCGCGTCCCTCGACATCGTAGACTACCCCTCCGTCTCCCCCGCCGCCTCCCCCAGACTCCTCGACGACCCCTCCAGCACAAAAGCCCTCTCGGACGTAATGATGGCCCTCCGCAAGCTTCGCGAGGGTATCGTGGCCTCGAAGCGTGTAGACGAATTCGCCATTCAAGCATACCTCTTCAACATCCGCCTCTCGGTCCTCGTCAAGCATCCGGAATCCTACCACCCGGCCATCCTCCACGTACTGCGCACGATCCACCCGGTGCGCAACCTCACAAGCGTGGAACTGCAGGAAGTGCTGAGCTACCTCGTCCTCGACGCGGCGTGTCGAAGGGCGGACCTGGCAGAGGCGTATGCGATTCGGCACCGGTATAAGCTGCGCGATTGCAAAGTGGATGCCGTGCTGGCGGCGCTAGCGCATGATAATTATGTTGCGTTTCGGAAGGCGCAGGGGAGCGTGGACGGCCACCGGGCCAAGTTGCTCGAGTTTGCAGAGGCGGATGTGCGGACGCATGTACTCAAGTGCTTTGGGAGGACGTATTTGGGCGTTGATAGGGAGTGGTTGGAGAAGTGTTCGGGTCAGGGTTGGGAGTCGTTGACGAGGGATCACGGTGTTGGATGGGAGCTTGATGGGGCGAAGGTTGTCATTCGAAAGGTTAGAGCGAAATGAGGGAGCACTTGCTGAGATGGTGGATATGGTGCATTTGATACCCCTGAATTCTGAAAGCGTTTTGAAACATGACGCGATTTGTGACTTTCGGCTGCTTGCTGTGATAGTTTGGTCTTTGATCGAGGCTATCTCAATGATCTCGAGTCCTTTTTCTCGTACGATCATCGACAGTTTCTCCGTTACAGCACACTAATCGAAGTATGCACATCCAGACCAGCAAGGTAAAGTACCTGACCATTTGTGACTTTCAAAAACAGCCAAGTATGGATTATGGAATTTGATGTATGAGAACATACTGTGCAGGCGCTGTCAATGAGGAACCACAGATAGAAATTATAGAATACATAAGCATGCTGCTCCTACTGCGAGCGCAGGACTCGTCGTCACTTCAATTTCATTCCACTGACTTATGCAAAGACAAAAAGATCCCTGCTTTGTTTCCTCTCATCTCCATCCGTGACGTTCGAGCCTTCCGATGATGGTGTAGTGTCCCATTCCTTCCAACCGGACGACATCGATGACCCATCAACTAGTGCCGTATCCGACGTTTCCTCCAGCACCGAAGTACGGCGTCCATCGACGTAATCAAAGGCCAAGAACCAAATAAAACACATCATTCCACCAACAAATAATGATATCGGAAGCGCATGCTTATTTTCGAGGCATTCTTAGATGTAATATATGTTGTACATTTGGAACGGAGTCGCTGCCGGACTAATGGAGAAGATTAGCGTTATGCTGGACCATCTATGTCAGGTAATCATTGACCTACTTGAGAGCCCAGGAAATGTGATCGGCGACATAATCACAGCATGTGCAGACCCGGTGGATTTTGTCGTCTTCGCTGTGTGGTCCCTTTTCGACGTCGGGCTCTACCTGGGAAATATCCATGATACCGATGAAGCAATCTTGATATGAGGAGTAACTTGTGAAGAAATTTATCCACAATACCGTAAATTTGGCTCAAGAGTGAATAAGATTTATCAAAAGTTGGCCATAGAGAAATTCTCGACAAAACACCCACCTAGTAGAAACGGCGACTGATGGAACTATTTAAGCTCAAAGGAAGCCCTACCTATCCATCAAGGGACTTGCAGTCTATTGGATCAGCGTGAATACCGCCACAAGGCTGTGCTCTCATAGATCTCAAGCCTGGAATTCGACAACAAGGTATGCAGGTTCCCTTAATCACAATTGTGCTGCCTCGACTTAGATGGCCAGTAAGAGAGATAACTCCAAGACATCGTTGAGGAACAATATTTCTCTAGGGCATACATGTAATTTGTAATGCATCATTAAGGCTCCACCTGAGTTAAATAGATCGTTATTTATTTGGGTAGGCGCATAGCACCACCGGTCTGCCCACTGCAAGGTGGCAATGAATGCCTTTTCAATTTTAGCCCTCCTTCATGTGAATCCCATTTCCGCAGCCTATTTAGCCATTTAGACTCTAATCGCGAACGGCTTGTAGATATTCCGCCTATCCCACTTCATCCTTCCAGAAATCTCTCAGAGGCCACACAACTCCTGAACATCTTGGTGCGTCCTGGACGCAATGTACTCCGACTGTCTTCGGCTAATCTTAGCAACGAACTCAGGATGGGACTCTAACGCGTGATGACGGCTAACAAAAACATCACAATGAACTCGCCTGAAGAATCGTGCGACCATTTCATTTCGGAACTTGGCCTGGGCTGGATGGTCGGGGTCGAGCGTGTCAAGGCCTCCGCATAGGCCTCGAAGCAGCGGTCGACTTCTGCGCCTTCCGTCGCGGGGGTGAGCACGGAGCAGTGTCCGAAAGAGATGACCTGTTGGATGACACGGCCTGTAATCTCTAGGAGCTCCTCGTTTTGGATATAGCCGAGGAGCTGGTAGAGGTTGATGAGGCGCGGCCAGTCGGCGATGGTCAGAAAATCGGTTATCGAAATGGTGCCGACACTTCCGAGCTCGGGCGACTTCTTGACCTTGATATGTGCGAAACTCAGGTACAAGGTCATCAACTCAGCGTCAACTTCGAGGACTTGGATGGTGGAACTCCTCGATTCCCAGAAATCGTGTTTCAGGCAGGCTCTGAAGTAGTCGGAGTGCCTAGTGATGGGGGATTTCTGAACGACCAAGGGCTTGTGATCGGCACACTCGATCACAATGTGAACTTGGTCGCCAGTATCCTTGCTACTACGTATTATTAGGAGAATTCTTTTGGGGTCGATCGGAGGACAATACTCAATAGCAAAGAGAACCTTTCCGTCTCGGTTCATCTTGGCTGCAGCGACTGATCCAGACTTCTTAACATCCTTGTCTTCTCCTTTAGAGGAACATCCTGTTCGGTACTAACATAATCTTCGGAAGAACACCGTCAAGTTCCCAATACAAAAACTCAGTCCATTCAGGTTTCAGGGAGAGCTACGGAAAGTTTACATGGAGCTCAATCCATCAAAAGTTTCTGAGGTTTTCACGTTTCCTCAAATTGAACTTGTTCCCTTGATGATTCAGAGATACGGCCGGTGACAGGAACCATGAGTTCTGTTTAGTACATCTCGTCGGTTCAAGCCGTACCCTTCGCCTCCATCGGCTAAACTCTCTCCCGTGACCTCGTTCACCCCTCGTTCCTCCAAGAATGACCTCAAACTTATGGAACAACGGCTCCCTGAATCGTTCTCCGACCTGCTTGGCTTCTACCCCAGAAGCTTTGCTAAGTCACTCTTCGTCATACTGTTGTTCATCAGCCCGAGACAGCCCGCACATTATCGCCTACGTTCCACCTCTCTATCGATAGAAATCTTAGTTCAAAGTTATGACGACGACGGTCTCTGAACCAGGTCAGTTTGTCCTAGAAATCGGAAAGTGTGTCGAGGCCCTCAAAGCTATTGTCTCTGGCCTCTTCAACAGCGAATGTGTGAAATGTGAATCAATAGCATGCATAGGCACACTCAATGGGGGTGATTTCCGAATTCCGCTGCGGCAAGGTACTGAAGTGAAAGTCAGGCCGAAGGAAGTAGACATCGAGTCATCGGCCCTGTAAATATAATCTGGTGTGATGAAGGGTGAGAGTCTCAAGTAGGATCTTGCTTTGCAAGCTGATAGGACATCGGAACGACTTTGTTCGCAAGTGCCCTCGACAATGTGGTTGCGAAACCTCTCTCGAAGCCTTGGGTGCGGGGCTCAACGTTGAGCGACTAGGACACCTTTCAATTCGACCTCGTTCGCCTTATCAAGTGTGTCATGAAAGATGTCTTTTGCGGTGATTGCGGCGATGTCCTCCCGATGTTAGATAGCCCGAAAGAGGAGCGGGATCTGTTGTCTCAGTGTCTCTTGGCAGGATTCTTCGCATCTGCGCCGGCATCGTCATGCTTGCGTGCTGCAATGGACTTGAAGAAGCCGCCGATTACTGCGTTCCCAGCCTCGGAGGTGACATAGCAAGTGCTAGTGAAGCAACATCAGAAGAATACGTGTAGTAGAAGATAGCATCCACGAGGACTGTAAGTCCAGGATATCGGAACACGTGTATGGCTGATTAGAGCCTAGTGAGGTGAAGTACAGCGATTAAGCCATCGCGAATCCGAGATGATGCCTAAATAGGCTCCGGAGTAAACCAGGCAACCATGTGACTGCGTGACTCCCCTGATGGAGAATCTGGTATAGGGAGTGACGGGATAAGTGAGGTCACTAAGCTTCTCGGATCGTCAGAACCGTACCCAAGACTACCTTTGAAAAGGTCGAAGTGCCGAATGAGAACGGGTGAATGAACAACCAAGGGGCCACAGAGTACTGATGGGCAGCACAAATCGTGATGGTGCAAGCTCTGTTGGTATAATTGTCACCGCTATCTTTGTTAAAAGCCATTCTTCAGAAAGATATTATATTCAGAGCACATTACCTGACATTTTGAGAGTTGGCTGCAGATGCTCATCTTCGCTTCCAACTTATGATGTAATGTTAAGTCGACACTCCTGGAGAAGGGCCCGAGGCAGGTTGGACCGTGAGTGTCGACGGAAGTATGTTTGAAGAGATCTGCTCATATCTCAGCGATCCAAATATTTGTCCTAGCCAAGATGTGGGAGCTGAGCCGGAATGGAAACTGGCGTCCTTGCAAGGAAAGCTGAAACTCATTTCCCCCCAACACTAACACAACCATATATAAGGTGAAGTAAGAAATGTCTGAAAGATGCCGTAGTTTAGGCTGATACCCACCCTCTCCCTCTGCTGAGAGTCAAGCTGGTCAATACAGGCAAGCGGAAAGTTACCTTGGGAAACTTATGTTGAAAAGACGGCTGAGATGATGTTTTGTGATGGTGCTTATCTTCGGGTGACTAGATCTAATTGAGACACAGAAGACTAAGGTACTTCCACCCTATCTTCGTAAGGTGATTCCATATTAATGGGAATATATTGAGTGCAGCAAAAGAAAGTGCGTCGCTGGACAGCCGACTAAGGCGGTATCTGTCAACTTCAAATCTCAGACCCCCGGGAGCCTAGGCTAGTATTTATACCCAAAGTTGGCATCCCTCAGACTTTTACACAAGTAATAGAGTCTGATGGATACTGAATATCTTGGTCATGATTGTCTTGTTTGTGTTCAAGTAGAGAGGAGTCCGCTGGAAACAGGCATTGAAGAAGGGAGGTAATGCAGGTGAACCTAGCTTTCAGAGAGGTACCTCGTCCATTCAAAGTAAGTACTACTTAAACTTTGACAATAAAAGTGTTGCGTTAAGACCTCAGATTCAGCAAACATTCGCAACTCAATTGACAATAGCAGTGCAATCAACTATTGCAAATGATAACCGAAAACTGGCTCTTGGACGGAAAATCCATGGCTACACTGGATAAGTAGCTGAATGGACGATCTGCCGATGGAAAACATGACAATCCGAAAGCGAGCATTGTACAAGGTAAGGCCGTAAGGTAGAACACAGAGTCTTGGACATGTTTATTCTTAGCAAGTAAAAGTGGGACCCGTTGGTGACTCTGCAGCCACCACTTCCGGTAATGCACGGAGTCCCTACACAGCCCGAGCCAATCAACAGCCCAGCTTACTAACCGGGCATTTCTCGAACATTCCCCTCCGACCTCACCGGATGCCAGACGCTGGGCCACGACCTTGTCTGTCCTATTCATTCTAGTGTCGCCCTCCGCCGCGAGGAACCACTATCATTATCAGCATTACTAAGTGCACACCTGTTCGGAGACTATTGCGCACTTCATCGTTCAACATACCAGAAGAAAGCATGAGCGCGTTGACATCCGCTACGGCGTTCTCGCCATCATTGGAGGCCGTTAGGTTGGCCGCCAGCATGTACAATGCGGCCCGCGAAGGCAACAAGGCTGTCATCGAGGAGGGCATTCTTGATGGCCTGCCACCGAACCTGACGAATGAGAAGGGAGACACATTGGTGCGTAGCGATGCTCAGCTCAGTGACTGTCCTGAGGCGCGGGCAGTCCGTCTTCAGCGGTCATGCTGGAGACGTGAAGGCTGCTGGTTCTCATGCAACTTGGTGGCTGACATCTTATGTAGCTGATGTTGGCCGCGTACTACGGTCATGCGGACGTGGTGAAGCTCCTGATCCAGCATGGAGCTGACCCCAACAGACTGAATGACAAGCGTCAAAGTCCCATTGCGGGCGCTGTCTTTAAAGGCCTGGATGCAGTAATTGAGGTAAGTTGTGGAGGCACTGCATCTTCCTTATGGAGGAAAGCGAGTACTGCTCTTTCATGTTACTAATGTGGGGTTTGAAAGGTCCTTCTGGAGGGTGGTGCTGACCCAGAATACGGCAAGCCATCAGCAATCCAGTGCCTCACCATGTTCAACAAGGAGGGTGAGTGGAAGGACAAATTCGAGAACGCACCCGGAAGAGGAAAGGCAAAGGCAGTGCCTCAGGACCAGGCCGAGGAGAGGGCGCCCGAAAAGTTCAAGGCATGAGTGGGCATGACGATATTTTCAACGTTAACAAAGATCACAAATCATGAGAGACAATTTTACAGTTCATTCAGTTATCCAGAGCTGCTCAGAGGCTATACTTATGTGATGGTCCTGAACAGGTCATGTATCCATCCCCCCCCTATACTGATCAGTTCACTCTTTGAAATCCGACGACACCAAAGACTCGAAAACCATTCCGCTCGGGATCTCTTTCCACTGCTTACTCTCATCCAGAAGGGCTTGACTCGCTTCCCACTCCCTCCGGATAACCTGCACATGAGCATCGCTCCTCGGCGTAATCTTCGCAGGGAACGGTCTCGGCTGGACCAAGAACCCGTCAGTAAGGTCACCTGCGTCTGGGGTAATCTTAACACCTTCAGCATCAACTGCCTTCTCAAGGTCGAAAGCCCACAGCAGCCTCGAAATACTCAGGAACAGCGATCGATCAGCGATGTGCGTTCCCTGGCATAGCCGTCGGCCAGCGCCAAAGACGTAGTGATCGCGCTTCGACGGGTCACCATTCATCGCCGACTCGAATGAGTTCTGCTCGTCATTCTTGTAGCGAGAGGGATCAAAAGCACGGGGATTTTCGAACCGATTCTCGTCCATGTTGATCGCCCAGACATTCAGCATAACGCCCGCGCCCTTAGGGATCTTGTAGCCCATGTACTCATCGTCCTGTATAACGGCATGCGGTAGGCCGAGGATCGCGGTCGGCATCCAGCGCAGGGACTCTTTGATACATGCCCGTATGTAGGGCATGGAGTCCCAGTCTTCCATGGTCGGAAGTCTACCGGTACCGCAGACGTGATCCAGTTCTTCCTGGGCCTGCCTCTGTACGGAGGGGTGCAGGACCATGGCCTGGACGAAGCCGGTCAGTGTGGAGGCGGTGGTGTCTGATCCAGCTTCGAGAGCGGACCCGGAGATGTAGCCGGCAAGGGCGTCTGTGAACCCGAGAGTCTTTTGGCTCTCGACGATGCCCATGCAGAAACAAGGCTTAACTTTGGTCAGTATACTGTGTGGGATCTCGGATATAGGGCAGTGTTCACCTTCGCTGTGCCCTTGACAACACGCTCCTTCGCATCCATCCAGTGTCCGACATACAGAGCTCTTTCTTCCTTATGCAGCGCCTCGGCGTATCGTTTCCCAGGCGACATGAAGCCGAGGTTCCTCAGGGGCGGGTACACGTCCAAGAGAGCAGCCGCAGAGGAACCCACGACCTCGCTCCACTTCTCGACGCAGTGGTACAGCCTCTTCAGCTTCTCATCGTGTATGCTCGTCGTACGGAAACCATACACCATTTGCGTCGTCAGTGAGGTCGTGAACCGGCGGATATGATCGACGAAGGAGTTCGGCTCTTCCAGGAAGCCGGACAGCATCTGCTTGCTCTCGAGGTCTTGGTATGGAACGTAGCCCTTGGCGGCGTTGATGTGTAGGACTTGGTGGAATATTTTTCGGATCATGCGCCATGTCTCGCCGTATTGCTTTTTTTTCGTTAGCCAAGGGACCAATTGCAATCCATCAAAACTCCAATGCGCTGAGCAACTCACCATCATGACGACGCGGAGATTGCCGCTGACTACATTTCCGAGATATAGATCTGTGCGAGAGGAGTAGATGTTGCTGCGTTTGTCCAAGAGGTCCTTGACTGCCCGGTCGGATGAGAGCACGATCATAACTTTGGTGCCGAGAATGAGCGAGTAGACTGGGCTATTCAAGACGTCCACGTCAGTGTATAAATACTTATACTTTCCACCTAACTGGGTGTGTGCCTCGCTAAACATACCCGTACTCTTTAGCCCATTGCTTGAACTGGTGATGCGATTGCTTCGGTGGAATCTGGTGCAAGTTGCCAATCACTGGTAACGTAGGAGGCCCTGGGGGGTAGTCATTGGGTCGTCGACCGATATTTCGCAGCTTAAAGACGGCAAAGGCTATAATCGCCAGTGGGATCAGGAACGTGAATGCCATGATTTCAATTTGAAGATATCCGTGAGCGGTAAAGAGAGGCAGGAGCGAGGGAGAAGGAGAAGAAATTATCGAGAAGACAAAAGTGAGTTTCACGCCCAGTTACTTGCCCTGCTGACTTCCATGCGAGGAGTCGGCGGCATTTCACATATAATCTAGGCATGTTTATGCCAAGTGCACCCCTCACCACAACTCCATCCACGCGTGCCGAACGGAGCACCTCGAGCGGCCAATGTTGGGCTCTATGTAGGTAAGCAGGCCTAAAGAGGCATGAAGAAGTTCCACCTTCTTTTGTTGGTACCATGTTGTGACAGATTGCGACCTGGCTCCTCTTTGAGAGTACGAAAGAGTAAGCTGCAGGACAGTCTGTTGGCTTCACATGCAAGCAGCCAATGATCCGCGTGTGATATTCCAGCTAAGGAAATGCAATGTAACTAGCTGACGCACCACTGTCAAAGCTCTTTCCGATGCCTGCTCCAACGCCAATCGTCGGCAAGAAGAGGGAATGCGGTAGGTACGCAGGACAAGTGCTGATATTCTCGACATTCAGTGAGTTGACATGCGAGACAATGTGTGGGTTACACTCGAGTCGCAAAAGCGCTGCAGATGTTGCCCCGGGGATTATTGGATGACCATACTGCAATCGAATCATCTTCCTGCTACCGCTCTCAATATGCTTTGCTCGTTTAAATAGGTCTCAGCCCTGGAAATCTGGAACGTATGTAGACCAGATATCCTCTTCTATGAGACACCAAAATCATGTGTGTGCGTAGACTTACTACACTGTGACGCTGTAGAGGGAGGAAAGCAAAGTGAGAGGGCGGCCGCTGTCAGATGATAGTCCTCTGTGCTCTTCAGCCCAGCGCGCATTTATCTATGCATCATGAATTCTCAGAATACCATTGGTCTGCTTGGAAGTCCTGCTCAAGTGTCTTACCGGCATTATATTGATTATGGCAATGGGGAGCTGAAAATTTGAGGGACCCCCATGTGCGACGAACCAAGCATCTAGGTAAGAATCGGTATAGCCATCGAAAGAGTCATAGCCATCTCTCACGTAGTTTGCCAGCTCGTCGCGATGCGCCTCCGAGTCTCTTGGATCGATTAAGATGCGGATCTCCCTCTCGAGACGCTTCACCTTCGCGCCGAGAGATTTGGTCTGCTTCAGAAGAGTATTAACGCGCTGGGTTGCGGCTCTGAACATGGCTACCAGAAAAGCGTCGCTTTCAGAAGAAATGCGGGCAAGGGCGTAGGTTTCATCCATGTCAGTTCGGAGACAGCAGGTTGCGACAATCTGGAATTGAAGATCGGCCTCATCGGAGATGCTGGAATCCAAGGTGTTGTATGCGTTCTTGTATATGTTGAACAGCCACTTGATGCTCTCTGATGATGACTTGTCCTCCTTGGTGACTGCCCCCTTCTGCAAGTACTCCAGAAGACACTGGCTCAGTTCCACATGCATAGGTCTGTTCAAAAACCGATCGGAAAGTTATTAAAACTTCATCACGGGGATAATGTCACCCGCAGTCTCATTGCACCCGTTGCTGCTGGCTAGGAACTCCTCGATGTCGATTGATTCGCCCGCAGCTGTGATGTCGACGATACAGAGATAAGCCTCGAGAAGCTCTGATTCGATGTTGTAGAATTTGATGATGGAAGTCCTCCCCTCGACTAAGGTGGAGTTATTGAGGCATGCTCTGAAGTAGTCAGAGTCTTTGATCAGGGTGGACTTGCTGAAGGTGAAGACCTCTTCGTTGCTTTTAAGTGTGACAAGCTCGTCAGGATCACTATGAAAACAACGCTTTAGTGAATAATAATAAAATTCGCCACATCGGAACACTGCAATATTAAGGGTTGGGCTCACGGAGTCGACGGCCGTAAGGCCAAAAAGTCATCGTCGACATCGGCAGGCAACGGGATGCCTACAGCGATGCGAAGATCGTCGGGGTCGGCCATCCTTCTCGAGGTTCGGGAGAATTGACTATGGTCGGAAGAAGATGAGAAGAGAGACTTGATGGTGAGAAGCAGAAAGTTTGGGGTTGTATCATAAACCCAGAAAGTGTGAAATTTGGATAGTTAGAAAAATGTACCTGGGTTGGGAAAGAGAGAGCGAGCGGTCTTTTGGGAAGGAGGCAAGGGCAAGGTGGCAGGCGCCTTCCGCCAGGCGGAAATCAGACATGGAATGATTCACTTGGCTCTGTGAATTATCCCATGCATTTTTCATCTTTAATTGTCACTCAAAACAGTAGATATTGTAGCATGTAATGCGGACAAAGAGATCGAAGGGTGCGCTCGATCAGGAGTAACGACATTTTGGACAGTCCAAGGTTGCTCCTGCCACTGTTCTGAGATGTCACCCTCAACCCTGCCCTGATTTTCTTTTCTTAGGACTTGCCTCGATGCCCTTATTTTTCAGAATGACAAGATCAAATTGCGGCATACTCGTCTATCGCCCAGGAATCGCCGCCTACTAATCCCCATCGTCCGTCATCAAGAGGGTCTTCGTCTCCGAATTCAAGCCCGGGAGGATCGAATTGTGAGAATTCTTCTGATAGCCTTGATACAATGATAAGTCGCGCTCTCTCGTTGATTTCTTTGCAAGCACTGTGAATCCTCTTGAGTCGTTCATCGTCTGTAGCATTGATTAGACGCTCGAGGAGGAGCAAGGCTGAGTCGACATTGCTTTGATCAGCAAGTCGGTACGGGTTATCTGGACAGGCCAGGTTATTGACCGTGATGAACATGATGCTCGTCAAATAGCCGCATGACACAAGCCTACAACGACATTATTAGCACTAAGCGTACGAAATGGGGAAGGAAGTCCCAAATACCAAGTGAGAGCAGAGTCGTTCTCAGGTGTTGCAGCATAGAGATGCATGCAAGTTCGCGCCCCCGTGACCAGCTTTTCCCAGCAATTCGGAAGCCGTGCTGCCAAGTCGGACCGGGCTGCCGGGGTGTTCCCCTTGTTACAGCTGAGCAGCCCTTGAAGCCACTCGAGATGGTGCGAGTCTGCGTAGTGCGTTGTCGCGATGAGCTGCAGGTGGGTGTAGTTGTTGTTGTTGTTGTATTTAACGCCGTGGCGGCCGGGCTAGAGCCCTTACCGCAGACCTCCCGAAGGGTATATGGCGTGGAGGGCCGTGAGCCAAGGCTACCTACTCTACAGTACGTCGTCTCTTTACATCGTCCTCCAAATCATGCCTTCGGGTGCAGGTGGGTGTAGTGAAGCAGACAAATGTATCGAAGGTACTCCGCGGCCACGGTCGCTGCTACAAGCTCTGGCTGGAAGTCGAGAGGTATCGAGTATTGCCAATTCTCCAGCATCGTTCGAACACGAAGCATGTTCTGACTTCTTTCCTGGTCTGGAAGCTTGAGAGCTCGAACGGAGAGACACAGGTGGTATAACTTTCCTTGTATATAGGCGAGCTGAACAGAGCTGCGGAAGTAATTGAACTTTTGGCCAGAAAAGCCTATAATCATACCTACATCGTCTGGAGGAGTTAGACATGGGATATCTATGTCGATGTCAGACTCCTGATGAATAGGTGGCTGCGTCAATCTCATTGATAGATCGCGGTCAAGTATGAACGCGACCCAAAAGACTCGGCTCCTCTGGAGAGCCTCAGCCGGCTCGAAATCTTGCGAGGTAGACTTCGTATTAAGTCTAAGACTCTGGCACAGCCTGATTGCAGTTGCTATGAGTATGGACGCCGGGCCCTGGTCTGCCGAGCCGTGGAAGACCAGGACCAATCCGAGCAAGGTCTGCAAGACCAGCATGCTCGGATCGTTGATTACCAACTTATTTAGAACTGATTGAACGTTGTCGATGTACCGTTGCATATTCTGCGTCTCTTCGTAGCTGGACGCGTAGGAGTGCCGATGGGCGAGGGCTAAGACGACGTTGATGGCGGCCCAGACGTCTGATTTACGATGCGCTAGGTGTGCGTACCAATTTCGCAGCATTTTGACGAAGGCTTCTCGCTCGAACAGCGGAAGAACTTGGTTGGAGTTCCGAAAGTAGTCTTCTATTGAAGGCAAGATCTGACGGAGAGGTGGGAGTGTCATGCTGGACTCGTGACCTGAGAAGCTCGAGCCCGGGTTTGCAGAAGAGTTGGGTGATTCGTCCAGTGTTGAGCCGGTGCTTGCAGCCCAGAGATTATGCTCCTCTTCAGAGATACTTGTCGCCGTACCCGGATCTATCGACGTCAGAGCGAAGTCTGGCTTGGCTGCCGGGGGCACAGGCTGCTTCTGTGCCTCTAGTTGTGCTAGCCTTGCTTCCAGCATCTCAATTTTCTTGACTCTGTTGAGACGTCAGCCGATCAGCTCGTTCTGAGGAATAGTTGATATTTGAACTTACTGATTGGACTTCATGGCGGCTGCCCTCGTCGGACCAGTGTAAATGCACTCCGAACTGTATAGGTTACACCCTGAACACCGTGGCTGTTTTGCGTCACATTTAATCTTCTTATGGTAGCATAAATCGCAAGCCTGCGAGGTAGAGACTTGCAGTTAGTCTCAATGAAAGTTTCTTTGACCCAGCTCAATAGGCATGGCGGGTTGGGGCCACTCACCTTTCTCCTTCTGACTCTTTTGGTTTTGGATGTATCCATAGCTTGCACAGATTGCCAGGTTCTTGTGTCTATGTGTGTCCCGAGGTTCTGTTACTCGATGCGTTGCAAATTAAAATATCGAAGTGGTTGAGAAAGAGACAAGAGCCTTGGTCCAGATCCGTCTCATCCTATTGAAAGTAGCAAGGTAGTTAAATGGATGAGGTCGTGGCTTGAAGCTGAGAGGTAGGCTGATGAGACTCCGCTTACAAATGCGCACCAATCCCGAAAGGGTTAAAAACCAAGGAACAGAATCCTTCACACTAGGCACCTGAGTAAGGTAACTACAGTACAAGTTCTTACATAATCTTGTCTACTGCTAAAAATAAAACACTCTTATTTCTGAAAGAGCTCATAGAGAATCCAGTCGAGGACTCAAAGGCAAGGAGTCACATCAGGCAAAAGCAAAAGTCGACGTTGGCCTGATTCGAACAGACGCTCCCGAAGGAACAAGATTTCTAGTCTTGCGCATTAGACCACTCTGCCACAACGCCAATTGGACATCTCAATGAAGAGTGGAGATATTGAATTCTTTCCAGATTGTAACTCATAGTGGGAGTCTAACTGAAGTTTTCCATCGCGACATGCTTTGTGTCTTCCCTTGGCGGTTGCGAATGGTATTGTCTGGACTTCGGACGATAGCTGCGAAATCAAACTCTGCCTCTTAACGCCATTCCACTTCTTGGCAACTCTATTTAGCGCATTCACGCACGCACCCGTTGCCTTACCTTTCACTTGCTGATCGGAATTATGGGGCAGCACTCTACAACTTGTACTGAATCAATCGTGGGAAGCAGGAAAGTTGTTTTGGGGGAAAAGTGTTGGTTTCTCGCATCATTTATAATACTGACACAGGGTAAATTGAATTGTCAAATCTAATAAGAGCTACAAACACCAAATTCCAAGGCAAATTCTCGCTAAGTAAGCCTGCACATCATGCAACTTGTGGCGTTGCACCTCGTACAGAAAAACTTCGAATCAAAGTTCTCGCAAATGGGACATCCGGGAGGTGTATGGCCGTTGTTAGTTGGATACCATCCCTTCCACCCATGAGGCTCGTCTTCTATGCATATCGGTTGTCGCCCAAGAGGGCTAAGCCGCGCCTTGTTGGGCAGGCTTGGCATTTTCACCTCTCTCGGTTCTGTAGCCTCATTGAAGTTGTGCGAATCCCTAGTGTAGAAGTCAATAGCAGCTCGATTCTGAAGCTGGTAGTCTTTGGGGGCATTATCAAAGTCTTCATAAGACATCAGGGTCTCAGAGTTCTCTTCTGCATAGTATTCGTTCTGAGGCTCTTGAAGTTGAGGTTGTGGCATTGTCGGTTGCTGGTAGAAATTCTCTTTTTGGGGAGTTGCAAGCACTTCAAGCCACCGAGACTTGCGTCGCGCCTCAGCCTCTTTCGCCTTGTGCGCCGTTGTCTCCAAAGCCGCGTTCAATCGATTCTTGCCCTTCTTCAACTTTTCTTTCAGCTTTTGTTTGACGCTCACCATTGCGATCGCTGATGGCAGATCCTCCTTGGACTCTCTGTCCCATGCCGAGAATTTGCGGAGGCGCAAGCTCTTAGCCACTAACATAGCCTTGACCACGGATTGTCTTGATTTGTCGTATCGCGCGCGCTGAAGGGGGTCACTGAGAACTTCGTAAGCTTTTGTGATCTGCATTGGATGATGAATTGAAGACTGGTTGATCAATGTCCCATCTGAAATCTGGAGTTTGGATGAACTGGCTAGTATGATTCCAATCGGATACTTTTCGAATTTGCTAGGTAACTCATGCTGGCCGTGATGGCAAAATCTCTCTCCTATGCCATGGAATGCCTCTTCGATGTGTTCTTGCGTTGCGTCATTCCTGATGCCAAGAACACTATAATAATCGGTGGGCGTCATTGGCGGATCAGTTTGATCGTAAGAAACCAAGTGGAAGCTCTGAAATGCGGAAGAAGCGCTTGAAACTGATGTATACGTTGACAAATGTTTAAAGGGCTGTGAATAAATGCTCTGGATTGTAGGACTAGAAACACTTACAATCATCCTATGGGCGATGTTAGCCTTACTTGATTACTACTAGCGAACACAGAACCCACTAGAACAAAGGTTATAAGGTGAATAGACTATTATTAGATTCAGCATACAATGATCTTGGCATTGATCTAACGAACGTCTCATATCATAGTTACAATGGAGACTCCTCGGCGTTAAACTCCGGCGAAAGACAGCACAGGTACACTACAGCGAACACGTAAAGGTAGTTGAACAATAGAGAATCCAAAAAGCAAGTCAATTGAAGCTGAGCAGATTTTGTTTGTACCTTGTGTCGCCTGCAGACGTTCCAATCTTTTTACCCTTCACTGAATCAAGAGGAAATAAGCATTGAACATGAACAAAGGGAATAAAAACAAAAGTAATATGATAGTAGCACAACCTGGTTTCGATCCAGGGACCTCTGGGTTATGAGCCCAGCGCTCTACCCCTGAGCTATTGTGCTGGTTCTATATGTTAAAAAACGTTGCTCATTTTGATTACAAGAAAGTTGTGGGAAGGTGGGTGAGAATATGACCCACTGAAGGGTCGCAAATTTTGCTGGCCCAACAGCTAGTGTGACAGACAACTTTGGCCTCAGTGGGACGGTCATGCCTCCACGTTCCTCGCCGAGAAAAAAACTTTCTGACTATCGCCGTGGACCTGTACGGATAGGCGGGTCTCTTGAAATCCGCCGCTCGTGAAAACGGGGGCAGGAAGACCGACCCAAGCGTTCGGGCCTCAGAGGAACCGGGCCCATCGGAGATGTGTCCGGGTAAGTGGCCCAGCGAGTATTGCGCATGTGCGTGTCTGGAGAAAAGGGATAGAGTCACGTTCCTCCCCAGATTGTGGACTGAATTTTACATAATTGTCGGGCAGTCTTTATCTGTCCGCCGAACCATCTCTGGTACAATCGCGGTGGGTTTTGCGGGGTGAGGATCTCCGACGTTATGTGGGTGCGGATCCAAGGTAGTCTTGGTGTTGGAGAAAAGGCCGATCATATTTCCCGAAGCTGTCGGGAAAAGCCACGACAACGGAGGATGACCGACGTCACTCGATGCAGTAAGCTTCCGGTCGACGGCCGGCATGGCTGTCTCCTGAATACGGGTGTTTATATCCGCCTCATAGGTGATGCCATGTTTGCTCTTATCGCAAACAAGCCCATCTGAATTCATCAGGAGCTGCAGGCGCAAGTCAAACATCTGATTCAGATCTTCTCGTCAACAGAGACTCACAACTAGTCAACCAAGATGATTACACCTGTAGGTGGCCTTCGCAGGATAAAGCAGTCACAAAATGCTCGTTGCTAACAAATCTTCTAGAGATGGAAACGTCTCACGAGATTCCTCGCGGAAGATGATTGGAGGGAATACATCGGTGAACCAGTCGATGAGACTGTCGACGGTATGTATACTTCTTACTGAAAAAGTAAAATCATGTTGTTTGACATCCTGACAGTTGGAGCTGCTCTGGCCGCATCTCTTCCTGTTCCGGCTCGAGTCTTCACCGGAACCTCAGCCCTGGACGCTTCAGCAGAGCCGACATCAAGGATCCTCAACATCCAAAAGCTCCTTCCACCCCTTACACGCAAAGAACTTGGGACGATCCGTTGTATCGGCCTTAACTATCGTAAACATGCGAAAGAGATGAATCTCGACCTCCCAGAGCACCCAACCCTCTTCTTCAAGCCCGCAAGCTGTCTTAACGCGTCAAACGCACCGCTTCTCATACCCCATCAAGCAACGGATCTGCAAGCAGACTACGAGGCCGAGCTGGCCGTCATTATCGGCCGTGACGCAAGGAACGTTAGCGTGGAGGATGCCATGGACTACGTGCTTGGTTACACGTGCTCCAACGACGTCACGGCGCGGAAGCACCAGTTCGCGGGAGCTCAATGGGGTTTCGGGAAGGGATTCGACGGCTTTGCCCCGATGGGTCCGTGCATTGTCAGCGCAAGCAGCCTCCCGGACCCTTCAGTTATTGAGTTGAAGACGGTTCTCAACGGGCAGGTGATGCAAGAGGGTAGAGGGGACGACATGATTTTCTCCATCGCCGAGATCGTGGCGTACTTGTCTCAAGGCACGACACTGGAAGCCGGGACGGTGATTATGACGGGAACTCCACACGGAATCGGTGTGAGCAGAACTCCGCCTGTTTTCTTGGCTCCTGGGGATGACCTACGCATCGTTATGAGCCATGGTCTGGGAAGTTTGGTGAATAAAGTGGAATATGAGGAAAGGCCCCAACATAACACGAATGGGAACAGTGGGGTCAAAGTGGTAAACGGAGTAAATGGGGTGAAAGAAGTCAGGGTTAATGGAGTCCACTAGGCGGGAATAGCACACATGGAATACCTACTGTCAAGTGATTATCACACATATTTCTCTGATGGAAGTGTCGACTCATAGTTTTTCGTTACATGGGCCTTTCATCTCTCACCTAAGGTAGGGATAGTTAACTCGACTTTAGGAAGTATGACTTATCTTGCCTCCAGCATCGGACTCCGAGATTGAATGACGCTGCTTACTTAAGTAAACGGGCATTATTGTAAAACCCTCCGCCCTGCACGACTTAGAGTTTACAAATTCCTGGAACTGCGACTTGCTTCTCCACTGACGATGCGTATATGCACAGCCATTATGCGCATATCTTGCGGGGCAACTCCAACATCCGGGGCCCCTAAGCCTTACAAGGCCAATAATCGGCTTAGACGGACTTTTACGTACCCGACAGAACGGGGCTCTCTACGGATAGCGTTAAGGGGTTTCTACGGAAATCGCATTCCGGTACTCCATACAGTTAAGGTCAACAGATTGTGGAACGAGTTGTGATGATGTTGCCATCTCGATCTGACGGGATTGGACGTTCAACGAATAGGTAATAGTTGCCGTGTCGATCACTTCTCTAGATAGAGAAGTTTCCAACTCATTAGCCTAAACTCTGGTAAGAGTGCAATACGAGTATCTGAGGACGACGAGTCGCGACCTTGAAAAGTGGTTCAGGACTCAATTAAATTGCACTCCGTAATCGCCGAACCTTGCTCTAGCCACCCTAGAAGGAAATTCTATGTAAAGCTTAAAGGGGGCTCTGTATCCCTTAGTAAGTAAAGGCATGTCGGTTTGTTGTGCAAGTAATAGCTGCTGTGCACACATGCTGACTCGCAACTAACCGAAACCGACACCGATACTCGGACAGAGCGCATTGTGGACTTCGTGACAAAGTCAAAATAATTAAATACAGCGTAAGGTTTTGAATGAGATTAATTGTTGTCAGCCTCCGGCGCAAGAAGAATTATGCCCGCCGCAATAACCGGGGAAGGCAATGCTGTACGCCGACTCGCAATGATGCTGTATACTAACGAATCGAGAGTACAAATACCAGGCTGGACTCTCAGAAGTCATAGCAGTTCAAGTTCCTCATCAACAGCCAGTCAATCAATAAATCATCCACTTTTTCAACCAACAACTCAACCAATTAGCCAGTTCATTTATCACCTAAACAACTCAGTTGCCATCATGCAGTTCTCTACCATCACCCAGCTTATTCTCCTCGCCACCGCCCCTCTGGCTATGGCCAGTGTTGCTGCTGAGCGCACTAGCAGCAACAGCGTCTTCGACGTCCGTATGGAGTGCATCAAGAGCAACTGCGGTGGCGTTGGAGCCGGTTGCGCCGGTGCCTGGGTAAGTAACAATGCAAACGGCCCACCGAGATTTTCATCGTTCACGAAGACCAGAACTGGACTTGTAGATGAATCGGTTTTTTACGAGACAAGTTACTGACTGTGTGGATAGTGCTGCGTCCGCTACAACAAGGATGGCTGCAAGTGCATTGCACCAGGTGACATTTCCGAGGTAAGTCTATCCTTTGCTTATAAAGACGTCTTTATATACTAATCAACTACTTCAGAATGGAGACAAGTGCCCCGCTGCGTAAGGAAGCTAGGGAAAGTTGATTTATTTATGACGAGCGGCAAAAGCGAGTGGAGATCTCAGATCTAGCAGAACATAGAGAGCAAAATACAACATCTGAAACTACATTGCCCTCTTTCAGATATTTTCGTTCCTGGCATGCACATTACAATAACCAGCAACCCATCTCCACCAGTGCTATTGTTGTAGATGACTACTCAGGACTCCCCCCGTTGAATACCTCCCCATATGCCTATGGCCTTCCGAATATACAATGAAAGTCTCAACTGTGTTACATGGTATTGACGGATTTGACATAGTCTCACTAGCAGATATGCAGTACTTACTTACTAGGTAAGTTACTTTAGATGATGCCATGTTAGGTTTCGACACAGAGCAATACATGTAGCTAGTATTTGGATACATATGTCTCATAGCTCTTGCACTGGTCTAGAGTTACCTATGTGATTTCCCTCATACTGTTCTAAGCTATGATTATAGCAATCGTACACAGATCATATGCTTGATTGATCATGCATAAGAGTGTTGATCACATGCTCCCATTGTGACAGGTCACCGCTCTCAGGAAGAAAGAATCCAGGGTCATCCCACGTCATCTGCGCGCTCGTCGTGCTGTAAGGAAGTCCCAAGCCAGCCATCAGAGGATCGAAGTCGGGACTCTCAACTGGCAACTGAGGTTGGGTCTCCATTACTGGTGGTCGATCAACTGGCTGGGAGAAGCGCCTGCTAGGCGAAGCTGACGCTAGAGCCAGCGGTACTAGGGTGTTGGCTGGTGGCGGGTGAGACTGCCTTGACTTTTTGACGCAGAGCTCAACAATCTTGACTTCGGCGAGGGCAAACTCATTGAGCCAAACGTCGTTCCTCTGCATCTCGCAATACGCGGACAAGTCTTCGAGAATAGCCTGAGAACGCCGAGAATGAGGATCGCGGACAGCGATGATGCCCAGCACCAGAGCACTGTTGAAGAGGTTGTGTGGCCCTAGACTCCATTTCAGCCGGTCGTTGAGAGGTTGGTTGAACATCTTGAGACCCATATCAAGGTCCGCGCAGGCGGATGCGATACACACGTCGTGACTGTGTTTGTACCTGTTCGTGATTGATTGTCGGAGCAAAAACGGCCGGTGAAGTGTTACCCGTGCGAAATTGTACATGCTGTGTAGATGTAATCTCTGCCAGGGGAGAAACGGGTGACGGTCATCTTTGGAGACGTCTGGGTCCTCTAACTCGAAGTACGGTGGTAGCCTGCCTTTCCAGGTATCGATTTCTTTGTCAAGCGTGAGGACTGTTTCGTAGGAGACTGTGAATAGACCGAAACATCGCTCTTGTATCTTTCCAACAACAACGGCAAGCTCATGAGCTAGACGGCTAAATACGCTCGCGGTAGGTTCTGAAAGGGGGGCTTCTGGCACAGAGGCGGCCTCCTCGTCATCCAGATCATCTAACCAAACGTTGGACGCCTGCTTGACAAGACACTGTTGATCAACAATGGCAAACGGTCGTCCAAGAGCTAATGCTATGGTTTTATCGAGCATGTAAAGGTTGCTCCATAAGCGTCGTCTGGTCTCAGTCTCTTTCCTGGGAAGCCTCCACCTTTCACCGTCGATATGCATACCCTGGGCTTGGGCCATGCGCATAGCAAAGCTCGTTGTGAGCCAGGACTCTGGCACGCGACGAGTGTAGATGAGATAGCGAGTGACTAGAACACCAGCTCGCACGAGATCCGTTGACTCGCCGTAAAAAGTCGGCGCAATCACTATGGCTCTCCTGGCAGCCCAATAGAACCGTTGTGACGTGTCGTAGACCTCTCGTTGTACCTCCCTGTTCCGCGGTCTTGGGCAATCCAACAACACGCCATATGCCAAGACAATGAATAGCAAAGCCAGCCAGCGAAGATCAATTGTGGCAAAATCATCAAAGCCAAACTTCCGCGACCAAAAGTTCTCGTACTTAGCCTTGAAAGAGTTTGGTTGAACAGCGTCAATCGCCCAATTGAGCTCGTTGAGGAAACATTCCGTCAGCCTGTCGACGGTGGACTTTTTGCGTGGCAGCAGCCCTAGGAGATCCCATATTTGTGAAAATGGACCGTTCTCCTCCCGGAACGAATGTGTTGATCCCGCTTGGGGTTTTGAGCTGAGACCAGACGATAGCTCTGGGGCGGGTGCTTGAATGATTTTCGCGGCGGCTTGAGGGCCGAAGTACGAAGAGCCGAAGAAGGACGGGGCATCACGGCTTTTGAAGAGATTGCCGACGAGGTTTTCTGTGGGCTGATCTTGGCCGCTACTCTCGCCTTGCCGCCCTCCGCCACGACTTGAAGACCTCGATGGGAAGGTTCTGGAACCTGAGGAGCCGTCAGGTTGCTCAGAATCTTGTACAGGGATCGTGCTCGTGGAAGGAGGTGAGACTGGTGTTGCAAGGTTGGTGTTTGGCGAAGCCATGAGAGAATCACGTTGGCCTTGAGAAGCTCTTGAGCCATCGTCTTCAACCAAGTGGCTGTACGAACACGATGACCCAACTCCTCGCCTTTCGCAGTTGAAACATGGTCGCGAGCCATTGCACTATTGAGGTGAAGTTAGTGAAATGACCGGACAGAGTTGAGTTCAGAAACTACATGTAGGCTCAGCACGCCGTTAAGTTGAGTTCAGCACTGGCGCGGTCAACTACCTTATGCACGTGATTTCACCAAAACAACCCATTACCAAATGCAATGACGGATAGTAATCTAGACTGATGGGAATTGAAGCAATGGACATGTCGATGGCTTCGGCAAGACTATCATGCCATGCCAAAAAGAAAATTGAGACAACAAGCTAACTCACTCTTTGTTTTCGCCGATGACACGACTCGCACGCAACCGCATGCCTACCTCGCTTCCTCTTCCGGATAATCGGACTTTTCGGATTAGTTGTTCTGGGCGTTGGGGTATCCATTGACAATATGCTCGGACTGTCTGCCGGAATGTTGTCGCGTGGTTGCGAGATCGGGAAATAGTAACCTTTTGTATGGACCAGAGGGGGATGTCGGGGTATTCATATCCCCAAAGAGACTTGGCTATCATCCTCTCCACATTTTGCCGAAAGCAATGGCTCGGCGCCTCTATTCTATTCGCGGACTAAGAGATAAGAATCCTACATTCTCCAGCTTTGCCCCCGCTAGACCGCAAGGATGGTCTTTCGATGCTACGATAAGCTTGTCGATTCCCCGACGCCTAGCCAATTATGTGGCCAAAAGCCGACGCCGTTTGATAGGCGAATGCAGTGACCTCACCGTGCCTTTGTGATGCATCGTTTGCATAAGGTAGATATATGCCCTTTGCAGAATACTCTGCCTGGTCGTAAGGACATGTTGTCAGCTCCAGAGAGAGTCGCAACATCTCTCTATCGATTTCCTTGATCAATTTAGACAATCAAAGACCACTGGTGCTTGAATGATGTCTTCGGAAAAGATGCCCATGGAGGCCAAAGATGGTGATATCGAGCCTCACTCGGCGGCCGCGAGCTCCGATCTCACGATCGACCCGGCTGCGGAAAAGCGTCTCCTCAGAAAACTGGACGCATGGCTCTCGCCGATGATGATCATAGCTTTCCTGGTGGCTTACCTCGATCGAAGTAACATCGGTACGCGACCCTCAACTGATAGATGCACTACAATCAACGGCGTCTAACTAGGTCGAAATTTAGGTAACGCCGCAATTGCAGGCATGACAGAGGATTTGAATCTCACGGGCAATAAGCTGAACGTCGCTGTCACTGTGTTTTATGGTGCGTTGCAACAACCCCTTTCATACGCGAGCATGAGGGTGGCTAACAAGGTGTCCAGTGACTTACATCACTTTCGAAATACCGGCATCCCTGATTCTTAAGAGAGCACGGCCGAGTCGACTTATCCCATTCTTCATCCTATCCTGGAGCGCAACAGTCATAGGCTCGGCCTTTGTCACCAACTATGCCGGTCTTCTCGCAACTCGTCTCCTCATCGGTGTCTTTGAGAGTGGTCTCTTCCCGTGCCTGACACTCTACCTCAGCACATACTACAAGCGCGAAGAACAGGCCCGGAGAATTTCATACCTCTTCGTCGCGTCTGCGTTATCTGGTGCCTTTGGAGGTCTCTTGGCTTATGGACTCACAAGTCTGCACGGCGCGAGTGGCTTGGCTGGATGGAGATGGCTGTTCCTCATCGAAGGTGTCATCTCTGTGGCAGTTGGCTTGGCTTTCATCCTTCTGCTTCCTGATAGCTTCGAGTCGGCCAAATGGCTCACTGAAGAGGACAAAGCACTGATGCGCGTCCGTGCTGAGCAGGCCAGAGTCTACCAGGGCGAGTCAGAGACATTCGACAAGCAAGAAGTCAAACTCGCTTTCAAGGACCTCAAGGTTTGGCTGTCAGCCGGCTGCCAATTCTGCGCAAACACCTGCTCTTTCGGCTTCGGAACATTCTTGCCCGTCATTATTCGCGGGTTTGGTTACAGCAGCATCAAGACCCAGCTCCTTACCGTGCCGGTCTACATCTGGGCGTCGGCAGTCTACCTCACCATCGCCTACATCTCGGACAAAATCAACAAGCGTGCCGTGTTCATGGTTCCGATGGCTTTAGTCACTGCCACAGGTTATGCTCTCATGCTTGGTGTGAGCATGAAGTCAACCTCGGTTCTCTACTTTGCGACTTTCGTCACGGCAACAGGTATCTATTGCGTTGTCGGCCTCAACGTCACGTGGATTTCCAACAGCAATGCTGGATATTTCAAGCGGGCTACAGCCATTGGCCTGCAGCAGACTATCGGAAATAGTGCGGGTATTATGGCTGGACAGACTTACCGCATCACTACCTTGGACGGAAGATACACAATTGGCCATGCGGTCTCGATCTGCACCATTACGATTGCGTCGGTTGGTTACTTTGCCATGTGGACTCTTTTGAACAGAATCAACAACAAGAGAGAAAACATGAGTATCGATGAGAGGTCACGAGAGATTGACCAAGGAAAGAAGGGCGACAGACACCCTGATTTCCGATACACGCTCTGAGTCGTCTGGTAATAGCTCTAGTGACCCATATATTGTTCTGATACCATCTGATTGCCTCGTTATATCAATATTCACGTCTCGCATGTTCGAAATGAGAGTCCGAAATCTATTAATGGTACCTTTCGAATTCTCTTATTATCAGGTGGATTAACACTAACGAACTTGAGGTATGCAAGGGTGAGGTTTTCTACTCAAAGTTTGCGGCCTCCTGCATTTTACATGAGACGACAGTCAGTCACATAGCGCATAGTCATAATCATCGAGATTAGGTTCTTTATGAAGCCGGTCACCAATGCACAAAAGTAAAAGAAAATCGAGGGACCAATTCATTCAAAAGCGGCCTGCTCGGAAGGTTGACTAACGTGAGCGGGAGATTTGAGCTTCGTCAAGGCGAGTGCGATCCTGATACTGCACTAAATGGAGCCTCCTATAATTCCTAAAATGCCTAAAATACGAGATTACTATTCAGACTTGTGCATCCAACAGTCGGCAACGGCACAGGATATACGGCGCGCACATCGGGTGTTAGCAATCAAACATCATCCGGATAAGCAGCCTCCAGGAGCAAAAGCTGACACCGAAAAGTTCCGCATCGTAAGTCTGCAAGACGTATATCAAGGCTTTTCCGAATCATGTTTCATCAATGAGCATTCCGTATTCGTATTAGAGACTGACGTGGTTTCATCTGAGTCCAGATTCAAGAGGCGTACGAAAATCTCCGAGACGCATCCAAACGTAGCCGATACGATACTTATTATGAGAACCTCAAAGAGAAGTGGAGAGCGTACGAGGAATGGCAGAATAAGGAGTGTGAACGAGAACGACAAGAAAAAGCAGAGGAGGAAGAAAGACAGAGACAATCTGGCGAAGCTGAACAAGCTCGTAGACAAGAGGAGACCAAAAGAGAGAGCGGGCTGAGCATCTCAGGAGAGCTGTCGAGGAGGAAGAAAGAAAACGAAGAGAACGAAAGCATGAGACTCAGCGTCAAGAACAGGAAGATCTTCAGAGAGAGAAAAGGGAAGCGCGAGAGAGGCTAAGAAAGATGAAAGAAGAGTTTGCGGAGCTGCGGTCGAGGGAAGCAGCACGAAAAGCTCGAGAACAACAAGAAAAAGACGCCCATGACAGACTCCGTCGAGAGGAAGAAAGTGCCAGAGAGCTCAAGCAACAACAGGAACGCGCTGCTAGAGAGCGCATTCGTCTACAAAAACAAGCCGAGGCCGAGAGGAAAAGCAGGGTTGCCGCGGAGCGCCGCGGAGCGGGCACAGAAGCAAATGGAAAAGGCAGCACAGGAGCGGCTCAAGATGTTGAACATTGAGGAGAAGCTGGGCTTTGCTCGTGGGCATTGGGCAAAGATGAGAGAGGCGGCGGATAAACGCGAAGCAAACACAAGTTTGGAGCAAATCAATCCTTTTAAGCAGGAGAGCAAGTGCGATCATACGAGATACGGCTGGCCAAAAAAGAAAGGAGAAGCGACCTGCACGTTCTGTGGGGAGAAAAGAGCAAAGTTTTCATTTCGTTGCCCTGACTGCGATGCCGCAGCGTGTCCAGTGTGCAAAGCTAAATACTGTCATTTTTGACATTTCATCAATCAACATTATCAAATAGAGTACTTGATGAACAGCACCCAAGCAATGATGATCAGCGAGCAGACCAAGCCAATACCTGCTGTCGTATACTCCTTGGAGGGTTTACGCCCAACGCAATCCTCAAGCTTGCCCTCTTTCTCAAGCTTCATGCGCTTCTTGTTGTTGATGCTCAGAATTCCCGAGAGATACCTGCGTTAAGTTGTCAGTACCTCACGCAAGTGCAAAATAGTACAGCCAGGCAAACTTACTTTCGGTCCAAGATTCCGTAGAAGAGACCAAGGCAGAACTCCAGCCCCTTTACAGCCACAAGGAAAGCAATGACACGCTCATACGTGCCTCCAGGGGTGATGTCCTGCAGCCTTCCGGCAATCATGTCGACAATGACACTTCCAGCATTGTTGAAAACCTTCCAGATTCCGAACACGAGTCCCAGTTCAAGCTGATCAGGGACGATGAGGGGGATCGATGCCAGGAAGGGAAGAGCGTTCATTGTCGACGCCACTGAGGCGATAACCATGGAGCCCAGGGCGTTCGTCTGGGTAAATCCAATAAGGCAATACACCAAGATCCAGATAGCCGATGTGATACTAACAAACACCATCCGATGGCCGAAGAAGTCAAAGTAAGACCCGATCAACGGTGCGCAAATGACAGGAATAACCTGTTGTACTGCGGAAGTGTACCCGGCAAGCTGAGCCGTGGACCCTCGAGTCTCTTTGATTATGTCGGCATTAAGACCGCTAAATCCTCCCACCACACCGGCCTGGAGAATTTGTGTGCAGGCGACTAGCCAAAAGAAGCGAGGCACGCGAAGGAGGGAACTCCAGTCAGGAAGTGCCCGAAGTGTACGAGTGCTCTTGCTGGTGTTCGTTGTGGCCACTTCAGTGTTGCCAGCCTGCAAGCGTTCACGACGAGTGATCTCTCTGGCTCGCTCCTGGCCTGTTGGCATACGAGTCCATTCAGGTCGTGTCCAAACCCACCAGACGTAGAAGATGTTTTGTAAAAGATTGGCGAAACACACAATGGCGGGGATCCAGAGCGCCCAGCCCCAGAACGAAGTGGCGTCTCGCATCGGAACCGCAGTGGCTTTCGCAATCAGGACAATGAGTTTCCCTTAAGGCAGATGATATCTTAGTGTTTGTGTCTCTGAGACAAGATGTGTTGTAGTAGCAAAACGTACCAATCGACAAATCCAAGCCGTACACCAAGCCAAGTCCCTTGTGTTGGAACCAATGGGCCAGGATCTTCAGTCGTTGTTAGTCAGGTCCGTCTTCAACTTAGACAGCAGATCAAGCCTCAAATAAGACTTACCTTAGATGTACATGTCTCGATAACAGTGCTGCCGAAGCCCATAATAACTCGCCCAGCGACTACTAAAGCAAATGAATCCTGGTTGGAGCCAGCCGCTGATATCACCGCGCCGATGAAGATTGCAACCGAGCACGCCAAAGAACCCCTGTTGAATCGCGTTAGTAAAGAAGAGTACTGGTGCTATTATATTTCTGATACGGAATGCACAGCTTGACGGGGGCTTACCATTCGACGCCATAATGGTCGAGCCCGTAGCCCCCGAGAATTGGGAGGACGGTATTCACGAGCGACGTGGCCGAGGAAATAGCTCCATACTACAGAGAGTCAGCAAAAGTCTTGCACTTTGATCATGTGAACTTCCAAGCCTTACCTGGGAGTTATTGATATCCAGATTCTTTATCAAAGTGCTTTTCAGAGGTCCGAGGGTGTTTTCAGAGAAAGACGAGCCCCAGGAGAGGGCAACACCACAAACAAGAGCGGTAGCTTTCCAAGTCCACGGGAAGTCTCTGATTGATTCGGTGTCATCAGATGGGTAGCTAGAAGCATCTGCGATGCCCTTCTCGTCCGTCTGGGACAGCGTTGGGGAGGCGTTGTCTTCACCGTCCGCAACGGGCAGATGCCGCTCGACTGGATCCTTGGTGACCATTGCAAATCGCTACAACCAGAAGCTTTAAAGACAGCAACGAGAAGATGAGAGAGTTGAGCATGCAAAAACCCAAAAATTTATCGCCGAGGAGGCGCAAAAGGATCAGGTTTTATCAATCTTTGTTCGTAAATCAGATAAAAAGCCAAGCCCGTGGCTCGGCGTTGGCTCCACACCCATTGGAATCCTAGCAAAGTGCACTAATGCAAGCGCCCCAACGCGACCCATTTATGATGGGCATGGGCGGGTTTTCAAACAAGTAGGCGCATATTGGGTGGCATGGCGCCGGCTGACAGCAGGGGCTTTTGGTTTCCTGGGACGGATGTCTCATTTATCCCTTGTGAAATTTACCCGGGCCTCGTTTCTTTTTTTATGGAAAGTACCGAGTTGTATGGAAGTGGAAGAAGCTTGCAATTTATCGCTGATGATGTGCTGATATCTAAAAGAATCTCTCTATGAATCTAAAAGTCCTCGGAGTGTACGTCTATTCGAAGGTCTCGCTTCTTCCGCCAGCTTGCCGCCGAATCCTTCACGGCTTCCATCAATGATTCTGGGCCGCAAGTGGCCATCAGAACTCTTTGGCGACTTTCAACGGACTGTACGGCATCACTGACCACCGATTCTATGTCCATTCTCCTGAAATGGAGGTTATAAGCCTGCTCGACTTCATCGCCGTTTGCTCGGGCAAGCAGACTACTTGTGTCGTCTATGCTCGATACAGCTCCATAGCTTGGCTTACCGCTCTCAGACAAAAGCTGACTTTCAACATCATACGGATTCTCGATTTGCGTCGCTATTGGGCTTGATATCGGCTCTTCATTTGTGACAAATAGCGATACCTTGACGGCTGGTCCCATCTTCATGAGGTTGCTGAGATGCTCGGAGAACCACTTTAGATGCTCTGTAGCATTATTAGAGAGATGTACCAAGTGAAGAATGGATAATGCAACTCACCTGTACGTCTTACAGTCCACACGAACTCAACGGATTGGAGCTTAGGTCTCTCAGACTGTCCTAGAATCCGATTCATGAGACCAAACGTGAAAGCAGCTCCACTTCCACCGGCGATCAAGATCAGTTTGTCGTAGTTGTCCATATTAGGGCATATACCATACGGCCCATCAACCGATGCCCAGGCTGTAGAACGAGTATGACGGATAGCAAAGTTGTTGACAGCTTTGGTAAATCCCTGGTGAGATTTCATCACAAGCTCCAAGCCAGCAGGGCCATTATTAACGACTGTGAATGGATGATTCTCATAGATATGAACCCGCGGAATCCAGAGGAAGATGTGTGTCCCCGGTGAGGCAGCCTGGGCACCTGGTCTTTTGAGAAGAAGGCGCGTCCCTCCATCCGGGAGTGGATAGAAGGTGACGGAGTTGTTCATGAGGTTGTAAAACATCCTAGAAGCTCGGATCGTGCGATCTAGCAGCCAAAGTCCGAACGCAAAGCTCATCAAAGCTGGTATCCTCTTTGCCCAGTTTGGGCGATGCAACCCCGTCAAAATGACGGCTGCCGCGAAGCCAGCGATGTGACTGATGTAGAAGAGCTCGTAGTTTCTGTGTCTCAGTATTCCTAGGAACAGAATGATCATTCCGATAGCGGCGCCGATACCAGCCAGGTCTTCGGGTTTCAACAAGCTAGCCAACTTGCCATAATGATGGAAGTGTAGCGTGTAAAAGATAGCGTGCAGAGCAAGCAGGAAGACGGCAGTATATCCCACAATCCGGTGTAGAATGTTGAGCTGTGCATGTGATACTCCTACTAGTGGACTCAAAGGCGTGTTCTTCATTCCGAAAAATATGCATAGCGTCATGTTTGCGGCGCACATCCTGGAACATGTTAGTTGATGCATGATATTTTGAAGAGTGTGAGAATCACCATCCAAACCTAGAGGCCCAATGATTGAGTAGCCGCCTCATGACAATGTTGGTTGAGCAAAGAGCGATATTGACGACGAGGTAGACCCCGACCATTGCGATGAACCCGAAGGAGGGCCTCCCGAACCATCCCCAATTCACACGCCTTTCTAAATTTCTAAGAGCCTCATTAGCATCTTAGTGTTGAGTGGAAAAGGCGTATTCCACATACCGGAAGAATTCAATGCATGCCCGGCGCCCGGAACCCTTTAGCCCCTGAGTTCTTTTGGAACATGGGTTTTTGTTGGAAGCCTCGCGCAGCCAATAGGCTACGAAGGTCAGAAGCACGAGACCAAAAAGAAACGCGACGTAAAAATGCAGAGTATCCTCGTTTGCCTTCTGCTTTGGGCTCTTGAATGCTTGCACCATCTTGTTGGTGAGGATGGTTGAGGAGACGGATGTGGTGAGACCGAGGTAGAACAAACGCGCAGGCAGATCGAGTCACGAAACGGGAGATGTGCGCTGATTGATAAGATGAGCATGGGGCAGATTGATAAGATTGATAAGATCATCCACCAAAGAGATTTTCGGGAGGGCCCACACGCAGTATACCACGCGGACGCTCGAGAGACGATTGTTTTGACACGTGAGCTGGCCAGCTGGCTGTCCTATGTAAGACAGTTTGGGAAGTCTTAGTCTGGACATTGACAGCTGACAAAATCGTGTCTTTGAGCTGGGTTACCCCAAGGCTGCAGGGTAGTTAAAATTGAGATTTCCCTCACTGTGAGAAAAGTCATCGCGGTGGAAACCCAGCCGACAGGGGTGTTAAATACTGCAGATTTCTCACTGTGAGCAAACATCTTCCGATGGCGTGTGAAGTGGAGAATAACGCAACGAGGGGAAGTCAGATTGACTACCGGCATCGGCCTTGTGAAGCTTGTGGCGTTAGCTCGCTCAAGTTATTGGAGCAAGTGAGCTAATGTGCGAGGCAGTGATCAGCTGTTTGGACCTGGGAACAAAATCAGAAGCCAGGAGTTACGGCTCTGAATGAAGTCGAGTTCTTATGGTTAAGTCGGACTTCCGACTGAGGCCGGCGCCGGTATGTTGGCACAACTAAATTCCAAGACTGGCTGCTGCAAAAGATTCGTACTCATCCATATCAGTCCAACAAGACTCATGTGTCTGGTAACTTCCCTGTTGGTTCCCCGAGTGTACAGTAACTCTGTAAGATTCTCAAGACACGCCAGGGCACACAGTCTTCCCAAAAAATCTAACTGAAGGTCCGGGTCTCGATTCTGTTCCGCAATATCTATGGTCTATGTCTCGAACCGGAGCGAGGTCCCGTGACTTTGTGACATCAGTCTTTATACGTCGCCAGAAACAAGAGGATTCACGTTGCGAGCTCGCCGATCTTTTTGCTGGAAACATTGGGACATGCTTTTAGTGCGATTAGATTCGCGGAATTGCTTTACACTTTCAATGAAAATCGTGCAAGATAAGGCCTATTACATTGGCGTAGAGGACCGTGTGGGTATAACGTAAGTGTCCGAATCGTTGATCTTGCTGGACAATGAGTGAACCTTGCAGTAAGTTCTTGAAAGAAAGGTTCGGAATATCTCGAGTGGATTTCCTGCTTCACAGTTTATGATGTTTTCGATGTTCAATTGCTCCGAAGCAGCATCTCCGAGCATGCTTCCGGCGCTCGGCGGACTCATGGGATCCATCATGATCTGATAAGCTGATAAAGAACTAAATTAATCGCAGTCTAACTGTCTCTGTCAGTAAATGTGGGCAAGTCAAGGGTTTAGTTGATTGATAACTCCTAGTGCGGGTCGGTTCTCCGCAAATCCGACCAAAGCCGAGATGCAGGAGTGGAGCTCAAATTCTGCATGAAAGGGGGGGATGCCATAGGCATCTCGCACAAGTCGCCATCAAATGTTCCGAGTCGCCACGCGATGGATAACTCTATATGTCTCTGTAGCTCGATTCGGCTTCTATCCAAACAATATAACGAAGAGCGAGCTAGAGAGTTGATCCCTGCTCTCAACAGCCACCTCGAGGACGTCCGCCGACTCCTAGCAAAGTCGAAGGCATTGTCCCGGGACGTGCAGTATCAAATCACGCCACGCAACCAACGTACGAACAAGGCCCTGTCCGTGGACTCGGTTGATCTCGCGCCCGTCAAGCAGATTTACGAGGTCTTCAGCGAGAATGTTGATGGCTTCTGGGTAGCCTCTGACGACCGTGTCAATGCCGACTTGCGACGCCGGTTGGCTTGCATAGTAATATTCCTGAGATCTAAGTTGGATCCTGAAGCTTCAGTGCCACCACATATCGCAAAGCCTTTTCATGGACAGACAAACTATGCGGACATTCGCAATTCTGGGAGAAAGTATATCCAAATTGCCCGAAAGCTGGGTGGTCTGGGATCGATTCTTTGGCTTCCTCTAGACATTCCACCATCCACGTAAGATTCAAGAGTGTGCACTGCCCATTTAGTCATCCGCAAAACTGATTTATCCGGGCAGTTATGAAAGATACTTGAACATAGATGATGAAGAAGTCTTCAACCATTTGTTATCGCTCGCTCCACAAGTCACTGATCATGCGGATGTGGTCCAACGCCTCATTTTAAGTCAGCTGCGTGGTGAGTTGCCTCGTATCTTGTATCTCTGGGGCCCTGGGCTTGTGTACTGACCCACGGCCGTAGATCCGTCATTGAAATCATCTCATTACAATTTAATCGTGGACTATGCAGAGTTGATCCCAGCTGCGGACCAGCTATTGCTCTTACTTCAAGCATTCGGTTCAGTCGAAATTCCCGAGATCCTCTTGAAGGGCGTGCGAGTCCCGCAACGCCGATGGAATACCGATGGAGAAATTGACGCCGTCGAGGCTTCCAAGTTTGGTCTTTCAAATGAGCTCGTCAAGCTCATTTCTGATGATGTTGGATATTCCTGTGCTATAGAGAGCCCTAATATCATCAAGCGCAGGCTAGACAACGACACCCTGGCTTTGTCGCTATGCCCCGAATTCTCCGTTTTCTTGTCTCGCGCTTTACGACCAAGAACTGTAGAAGAGTTAGGAGCAGTTGCTCTGAAGCTGCTTTGCTTTGTTTGTCCCCCATGTTACGAAGGCAACACGGACTGGTATGGCGCAGCCCTAACCAATGACGAGCATGTGAATTTCCCGACTGACATCAAATCGTCCAGGTCCGAACCCCTCAAATTGGCAGCTTGGCCTATAGTTGAAAAGACGACAAGAGCGTATAAAGTGCCAACGCCACTCCGGACACAAGTTCTTGAGGCTATTCTTTTCTTCTGCGAAAGAGACTCGGTTGCCATGCGTCATGTTGCCGTGGATCGGGCTCGATCATTGTTGCGAAAGTCTATGCCTTATTATCTTCACGCTACCGTTGTGCTCTTTCGCAGTGTTCTCTACCGCAACGAAGGAGAATTCACAAAGTCAGAGGCTCACATACGCGACTTTGTATGGCGTGGCCCGCGACCGGTTACTCGACGGGATCATTCACTTCATGGACGACTCCATATATCTCAGATGGAGAACAAGATCAAGTGCACAGATGACGACGTTTCCCTGCTAATCTACGAATGGAAAGCAGAACTGCCGCTCTCGACCTTGGATACCGAGGTGACATTCCGACTCCAGAGCACCGCAGCACGTTTCTTCCAATCCATCGGAAACTTTGCTGCAGCCATGGCTTCGCTGGAACAGACTCTCTCACTTGACATGACAAAACCGCTGCGAGGAAACACGCGCCGCCTTTTGGTGAGCAGACTTGCCGACATGTACTGCGAGATGGAAGAGTACTCAAAGGCGGCCGAGATTCTACGACCAGAGCTAAGTAGCTCAAATAAGCCCGAACTCTCACGTCGAGCCTATCCTCGGCTGCTGCTATCATCAGCGGAGTTCAACATCGGACTAGAAAACTTTGATGCCGCAGAGCTCCTACTCCGGGAGCTCGAGACTCAACACACCACACCGATTGGTATAGATACGCTCTTTGATCAACAGTTACATATGCGTGCCGTCCTCGCTGTGGCTCGGATAGCCCACTTCAGGTCGGACAAGAACCTCGCAGTGATACGATGGAGATACGCCCTTCAAGAGATTCAGCGTATGCACGCCCTCAAAGCAGAGGCCGGCTTCACGGCGGCGACGATACATCTGTCCTTGGCTCACGCACAGCTTGCCGCTGGCGATGCAGTAGGCGCGTCCGCATCTTGGGCTGCTGGATCGGAGATACTCAAGACTGAGACGTGCGAGTTTTGGCTTCCGATTGTGCCGACCGTGTGGCTCAAGAAGGTCACCCGCGAGGTCTATGAAGCTCAGGGTTGGACGTTTCGCATGATGCTACCTGGTGCCAAACCTGACGCTACAACACCGTGATGATTGCTCAACATGAAGGCGAATACTCAAGCTGAAGCGTTTAGACTGGTTGGATTTGGTTTGATAATTTTTTCTGCGCGGCGTTTTGGTAGAAGGCTTCTTGGTATCTGGTTCTGCCTTGATACCGCTACTACCTTCAGGATGTAGAATGAAGCAGCTTGACAGTTTAGAATGAGATCAGATTGAATGAAGTACTACTGCTCAAGCTGTTGCTTACTTCGTCTTCATTAGCGCCAAGGCTTATCCTTGAGCGACTGCCATGCGGTGTTTCCTGGCTGTTCGAATCGCGCTGCATACTTCAATGTTGGAAGTTTCTTTAGCATGGTTGTGGCACCGATATCCGTCACACCATCAAGAAGCAAAATTGTCCAGGGGGTTAGATTGGAGAGACCAAGGCTAGATAAGTCGCAGGAAACTGATCAGATCATCAAGATGCGAAAGATTCGCGACTTCTCAGTCTGCCCAAATCCACATGTAGGATCGATTCAGTTGGTAAATGGAGAACTTAGCACCCTTGGGCTTGCTATCTTGGACGATCCCTGTCAACATGAAGATTATTGCTGTCGGATGTGGATTCCGCCATGGCCCATCCGCCGACCTCGGGAAGTGGCAGTCTCTCTAGCTGCCTGGGATATGGTCAGAATGGCTGTTTCCAGTCGACCTTGAACAGAGCATGGTGTTTGTTGTTAAACCTCAAGTCCTTTCCCCTGGTGTTGGCATGCATGTGAACGTGGCATAAGTTCTACATCAGATCGAAAATCATCAGCATACATGTACCTTCAGATTGAGGTTGGGTCATTTCGAATCCGGGGCCAGAATAAGAGACTTACAAACGCATCAGTCCATCCAATACCCATACAATTTGCAACACCGTTACATTCTGCTTTCAAGCAATCCCACGGTGTGCGGTAGACTGTAGTTGAAATTCGTCTCTGTTTCGTATTCAATGTGGCCACGCCGCACCTTCGCTCATACTCAACACCCTCGACGGTGAATCTGTCTGCGCATTGTGTCCCACCGCACATGTCTCGCCACAAAATTGTCCTGCACTCGGCTTGTTCCGGAGACTCCTGTTGGTTGTTCTGATTATGGCCCTGTTGATCTTGACATTGTTGAAGCTGCTTCTCAATATCAGACTTTGAGGCATCGCACTGAGTTTGAGCATCAGTGAGCTGCTGAGTCTTGTCTGCATCACATTGCGTTCTAGCATCGGTAAGCTCCTGGGCCTTGTCAGTTTCGCATTGAGTCTGGTCCTGCGCATAGGAGGCCGCCTTTGCCTCAAGTGCTGTTTTTTCCTGCTTGCAACTCTCCTCCGCCTTCCGGATATCGTCCTTGCAACTAGTCTGAAGCTTATGCTTCTCGTTATTGCATTGAGAAAACATCTGGCTCCGCATGGTGTCTTTCTCGTTCTCGCACTCGGCTGCGTTCTGGCGGCCAGTCCCGCCTGATTTACTACCGTTGAACGCATCATCGGTCTTGACGAGGAGTATGATGTTGATGCTACTGGGACCGAAGCGCTTGTAGGCAGGGTCCTTAGTTATGTAGCAAGTCCCGGTGGACCAGGCTCCTGCGACACATTGCGGATCCTGGGCGCACACTTCGGCACAATGAGCTGGCGTGAGTGACTTGTTTACATGCTTGACAGCTCCCGATGGCCAGGAGGCACATGTATATTCGAAGGTACTGCCGCTGATACCGCCTTTCCCTGAGGACTGCTGGGTGGGACAACATGACTTGTAGCTTGGGGAGGAAAGGCAACTACCACTGTCGCTGGTGAGAGGCGCCTGCTCTGCTGCCAAGACCACAGCGATGCTTGGAGCAAAAAGCAGTATTGCCAAAAAGAAGTGCATAGTAGCTGGACCTGTAAGAAATATACTTGAGATATAGTAGAGTTGGGCTGATTCATGTAAAGCCAATGAAAGGAGGCTGAAGTTAGGTGCATGGGAATGGGTTTGCCATGAATGTGCACAGGTCGTTGAATTTATCTTGCTGTTATAAGTACTTTCAGGAGAGTTCCTAGCGCGAGAACTGCGAGCCCCTTGATAAAAAGTTGTTCTTGACTGTAAAGGCTCATCAACATTATTCAGGCTGGACGAATCGGCTTCTCACATGCTCGCTTCGTGTCAGAAGATAATGAGTCAACAGTCACATTATCTTGTGGTACGCTACCTGGAATTGCGTTCTTGTCTTGCTAATTTCTCAGGAAAATGTCGGTGGTTATCGAAGTACTCAAACTCTGATGGGTGATCATCGAATGACTGATCGTTCAGTAAGCAGCCACAGCAACGAATGTGTGGATACAGTCAATGCGGCTGCCTGCAAGTCTAACTGAATTCATGACTGTCTCTTAGTCTAGGCGTATCTTTGAACGCCGTGATATTTTGTGTTGAGTTGGGATCAACATAACAGCATGGCTCAAGATCCGGATTCTCCGTCTATCCGACATTAATTTGACGTTAGCCGACTATATAATCTCAAGATTACCTCCATAGTGAGACACCTACCATTGACTTCCTACGTTCGCTGCCAAGGCTTGCTCCGAGAATTGAGGCCTCATCCGGACAGCCGTAAAACATTGACATTGTCTCAAGCACTCAAAATGATGTCACTAGAAGTGAGTCTCAGAGTTGTTGTTCCCGGGACTCTGTGGAAAGCTCCTCCAAGCTTCAACTGTTGAGCGAAACCGGCCCCTGCCCGACGTTCGCACAAGCTAGTTGGCTCAATGGTACCGTGGTGTCTTACAGATGGCCTGTCGGCGACCTTGAAGCTGTCAAGCCTTAGCTGGGTAGTGCTTCATGAGGCATGTGGTTAGTCCAAGTCGATAGCCGGGCAACTGGACCGTCCCGTTCCTTAATACTGTCTCAAACTACCCCGCAGCTTCGATCCAAACCGGTGAGATCATACGCACTCAGTAGAGATTTACTATCTACGCGGCCATTTTAAAGACATTGCATCGGCGAATCTCCCGAGATCTTTGAACCAAACCCATGGCTTCCAGCAACGTCGAACATAAGCGACAGCCAACGAGGAGGCAGAATCTTTGTCGCGTTCCGCAAACATCGGCAGAGCTCAGACGTTGCGATATGGTATTCCGAACTAAACCAGGTTCAGGGAGAATTATTTGGTCCCTAGAGTCTGAAGTACGGCCGTAGGCAGTTGGATCATGCTTGGAGGTCCTTGTCTCGGTAGATCTCTTATCGAGATAACTAAATGATTCACCCGACAGAGGTGTCTTGCCCGCACAACCACTGCCAAAACGGACCAGCCAGCATGTGACTAGCACTCGGTACCATTGTATCAGCGAATAATGTTCGTCGGAAGCAACTCCGACTTGTATCAGCTTCTTGGAACGACGCTGATGATGAACATGGTCAGTAAAGAAACCCGCTCAGCATGCTACCTCGTCGAGTGGGCGGTATGAAGGCTCACTCATGCCTGATAATGCTGAATGCAGTTGTTCATATCAAAATCCAACAAAACATAGTCTCCTACGGCCTCGGTCTAGTAAGACTATGGCTTATCGGTCTTGGACTTCAGGGACATTCAATACTTACTCCAGCATAGAGGGGAGTTGCTTCTTGGCGTTGCGCCGCCCCTCTTTAGCTTCAAATGACTTCTTGCTTGAGTAGTGATCTTGAAGCGGGGTAAACGAATATCACTTTCAAGAGAGCTCACTTCAGCGGCAGAGAATCACATAACGTTTGCAGACGTGGAATACTTAGTAGGCTGAGGTCAAAAGGATTGCGGATCGTGACGTAGACTTGGCTGAGAACAGAGCAGATTTACTCCATGGCTGTTATGGAGAGAAAACATCGCTATGCGGATAGCTTACTGGTATTGACACATGTAATTTCCTGCACTGTCTGGAGCTTCCGACATCTCATTCCACGAGCTATAAGACAAGTACCACGCAATCAACCCAACTCTTATTGACTTCCTCCCAGCCATCTACCAAGCTCTAGTGTTAAATCTCCTAAAACTCATCGCAATGGTCGCTGTACAAGTGGGCCTCATTTCTTCTCTCTTTGCCTTACAGGCAGTAGCCGACCAAATACCACTGGGGTCGGCAGTCCGCAACAAATGGACTCTAGATGCAATCAAGCCCCTCTCCGACCCAGAGTCTGGCCGCGTCAAGTGTTGCCCGGAAGGGACCTTGTTCGATGGTAACTCTTGCGTCCTTGGAGTTCCGGGTTGTCCAGACGGCACGAAGCTTAAGGGTAGTCACTGCATCTCCACCACTGGCCCCATCTGCCGAGATGGCGAGACCTTCAATGGACTTGTCTGCATCACGAGCACTCCACCATCTTGTCCTTCCCTGTCAATTCTGAAAGACAAGGCTTGCGTCTTGGAAATTCCGCCCAAATGTCCCTCCGGCACACAATTGGTAGACAAAGTCTGCATCTCGACCAAGACTCCCATCTGCGGCAACGGCGATCGGTTCAACGGCAAGGGCTGCGTCAGTTCCAGCCCACCAGTGTGCCCTGAGGGCACAACTCTTTCCGACGGAGTGTGCATCAGTGTTATACCGCCCAGCTGTCCTGCTGGCAGCGAGTACGACGAAGTCAATAATGTTTGCAATCATCGCCAGCCTCCTCAATGTCCAGCTGGTACCTTCTCCAAAGGAGGCAACTGCGTCACTGATAGTGGCCCCGAATGCCCAGACGGAACAAGATTCAGCGTCAAGAGAAACACATGTATCATGAAGACACCGCCATCGTGTCCCCCTGGCGATACTCTAGAAGACACGAAATGTGTATCCCCGGACGAGCCCGCCTGTTCACCTGGGACTGAAATGTCTGCCGACAAGGCTTCAGGCACCTCCCGATGTTGCCCACTCCCCTTAAAGTGGGATGGAGATGTTTGCTCGTACAAGGTTCCCCCAGAAGGTTGTCCGGAAGGAACCACGCAAGTCGGCGACCGTTGCAGGGCCATCACAGTCGTTCCCCCTGCCTGCCCCCCAGGAACCAAGTTGGACTGCGATCGATGTATCTCTATAACACCGCCAGGATGCCCTCCAGGCTCAGCTCGCGACGGCACTACTTGCATCTCTGTTGAGCCACCAACCTGCCCAGATGACACAGCATTGACCAACGGAAATTGTGTTTCTGTAGGCGAAGCCATCTGTCCCACGGGCACTCACATCCAGGGCGACGAGTGTATCAGCATCCAGCCACCCTCTTGCCCCTCCGGAACTAAGTTCAATGGCAGAGATTGTGCCATCAGTAGTCGACCGGAGTGTGAGGATGGCAGTCACTTCGACGGCGAGGACTGCACCCGGGTGGGAGGAGATCCTCCAAGCTGTCCCGAGAACACCATTTACGACGGCTCACGGTGTGTATCGAGCATCCCGCCCGCATGCCCCAAGGGATCGTCCCTGAGTGACGGAGCATGTGTCACCGGACAAACTCCAGTGTGCCCTGACGACACGACGCTCGTCGGCGACGAGTGTATCAGAGGCCCGCCTGCCTGCCCAAAGGGTTTGGTTCTCAAGGGCAACACCTGCATCATCATTGACCCTCCAGAATGCCCGTCTGGCCATCAGTGGCTCAGCGGCCGATGTCAGAACGTCGAGGAGAAGGCCTGTCCGCCTGGATACATCTTGAGTGGAGAGGAGTGTATCTCCGACGGGATCCCAGAGTGTGACTTTGGAACCCACTTCAACGGAACCGTCTGCGTCGGTGACACTCCGAGCTGCGAGCCTGGAACCGAGTTCAACGGAGAGCGGTGTGCATCTATCGTGGAACCCAGCTGTCCTCCGGGCACTCAGTTCAACGGCAGGATTTGTGAGTCTGAGCAAGACCCCGTTTGTCCTTCCAACACCACTTGGGATGCTGCTTCCAAGGAGTGTGTGGGACATACGTTGCCTCAGTGCCCTAAAGGCCAGAAATTCAATGGAGAGCATTGCACTTTGTCATCAGGTAACTGCATGGAGTTTGAGTATTGCCCTCCCGGAAACAATCGCGGTTTTCTCACACCTGATTGTGGAAGCTCCTATCCTAGGTGCCAATAGTCTCAAATCAGCCTTTGAGCACAGTTTAACTGGTGGATAATTATAACTCAAGTGGCGGAGAGGTAGACTTTCCGTGGTAGAGGTTTGGAGTGAGGCGGAGCCATAATTGGTTTACTTATTTGCTGTCAGATAACATTGGACATCAAATGCAATGATTAGAATACCTGACAATTTGCTTCCTGCAATAATCTCTTGCTCATTCTTGTGTCTGCACCATAGATCTGTAAGATGACAATTCAGTAAATTGCTTCCGGTCTACATGTTAAGTCTACCCAGAGCACAAGCTTGGACAGAGATACAGTTCGGTGCCGCAAAGATGAAGTAAACTTCAACTTGAGCCACGTTTACAGCGCAGGCGAGGATTTTGACATAGTAGTATATTTATAGTATAGTTCTGAGATTCTGCTTCTCCAGCTCCACCAAGGTCATTAGGATGAGGTCAAGGAAGAGTGTGAGATGAACCTTGAGGAGAGAATGAAGTCACTCTTCTTCACGGCAGATGACTCTATCTGCCATGCAAGTTGGCGTTCTTGTTCACATAACACTCCAGTCGGTAGTTGATTGATAACTCGGGTATTGATTACACGTACGGAACAACTTCATATACCAGCACCGAAAGCTCATCATGATCTACTCTAATCGACGTGACTAACGCAACCAAACCAACTTCTCGCAGATGCCTCAAAGCGCGACATAGTCTTACTCAAAGGACCCAACGTACTCTCAATCAAACAATCAGGACTCCAACAGAAACCATTGGAGGGCCAAGGCCGACTCGACCGGTACATTTGGCCAGCTTGATTTTTCCATTGTCTTCCGGACACTACCTCTTTACTGGCCGACAAGAACCCGTTCAACTGTCCTCCCTTCTTTCTTTATCTTAAAATGAAGGTCAAAGCAGCCGCCGGCGCTTGTTAAGACCAATAGTTCGATTATGCTCAAAGCTTCATGTTCCCAGCCAAGCTATACATAAGGGGTTCTTGTGTTGCCCTTCTTTAAGAAAACAAGAAATAAACACACACCCACATTGAAATCTTTACTATTCCCAACGTCACGCTTGCAAGTTTATCTCAATTTCTTTCAGGCTATGTTCTGCTAATAATTTCTTCGGTCATACTGTAAGTTATCAGATCGAGAAAATTCAAATTCAACCTACGACGGGGTGAACAGCAAGTTACAAGGATCGATATTGCTGGGCTCTCCGAACAGCTACAGAACCCAGCTGAATCGGTGCTGAAGAAATAGCTTATATAAATGTTAGAAAACCCATGGTCTGACTTCACAATTCACTCATTAGACCATTCCTCCAAAGAACTATCAGATCAGTCACGAGCCCCGAGAAGTCAGAATCAGCTTAACAGACAGGCAAGATACCTTGATAGCGTGCTGAAGTTGAAGCACGTTTTCGGCGAATCAACTGGACAACCGTGAAATGAGAGCAACCTATCTCCGAGCAAAATTAGGACGTGTATGACCGTTGGGTCAAACTTCACCTTCGTACCAGGCATCCTTTAACCTTGAAGGGCATCTCCGTTGGCACTCCTTCCTCCTGGGCAGTTGGAGATACCTTCCACAAATTGTAGTAAGGAGCGATCTTTCATTCACTGCAACAGCTAATTCCTTCCTCTCAACACCCTCATTCCTACGCAAGTTGCCTCGCACAATGCTCTACATAGTTTAAGATTCCTCCAAAGTACCTCCTTTCCTCAGTCGATACTTGCTCTTCTTCCCTGCCTCACATATCTCACACACACCCAAACTAACAACCATTCCCCATATTCGTCACCAATACTCACAATGGGCAGCACCACCATCCTCCCTGCCATTGAACTCGGGCCCCTGGACCAGATCGCTCCGCGCATTTATGTGCGATCGATCTTCGTCTTCGACCAGGGTGAGAAGTACAGCACAGCTGAGACAATCTCTCATCTCAAGCTTCGCTTCGAGACCGCTCTTGCCCGCTGGCCTTTCTTGTCAGGCCGAATTGGCCCAGCTAGCAATAGTCGCCGACCCAATGAGCTGGAGCTCACCTACGACCTCAATGCTCCCCAGATCAACCTCGACCAGCGACCAGACATCTTCGCATATAGCTCAGCTGACCGTCTTGGAGGTCTCGATTACCAAGCTCTGAAGAACCGTGGCATGCCCCCTTCGTTCATGGACAAAGACATCCTGTCCCTCACCCCTAATCACCCGAAGCTTGGTGAATCCTGTCCTCCTGTGACATTGAAGATCACAGAAGTTCCTGGAGGCGGCCTCTTCGTCTGCTTCTCGACTCACCACGCCATCTTTGACGGCGGCTTCATCAAGGCATTCCTTGAGTACTTTGGCCGAGGAAATGACGAAGACCCTTTCAGCGCCTTTATGGACGAGCACAGAGACCGCCCGAGCATGGTCCCTTACACCACCACCGACATCTCAAAGGCAACATTCGAAGAGTACGACTTCACTTCCAACGACACTGTCACCAACGCCAAAGCCATCTCAGAGAAGCCCCCCAAAGCAGCCTGTGTGCTGTTCAGCATTCCAAACAAGACCCTCTCCGACCTCCATAACAAAGCCCTTACCCATGTTCGTGGGAAGCACGGTGACAAAGCCTTTGTATCCAAGGCAGACACCCTCTCTGCCATGATCTGGGTCCACGTCACCAGATCCCGCTTCACCCACCTCTCCCAGCAGGACCAGACCTCCTTCACCACCGCAGCAGATGCACGTCCCCGTCTATCCCCCGCCTTCTCCCCTGGGGCGTGGGGCAATGTATACACGCAAACCACCAGCGGACAGACAACAGTAGAGGACCTAATCCGAACCTCTACCTCTGGCACCCTGCCCTGCGACGCTGTGCCCGCCATCCTCGACGCCGCCTGGCGCGTTCGCCAGGCCATCAGCAAGGCAAGCGCGTCGGGCTACATCCCCGCCCGGATCGCGCTTGCCTCGTCCCTTCCTGACCCTACAATGGAAGGCAAGGCCTTTACAAAGGCGCTCCAGCCTGGCCACGCTGGTGTCGGCTGCAGCGTCTGGACGCATATGGGCGCCGATGTGGATTTCGGCATCCCTGGTACGGGTGGCAAGGCCGACTACGTGCGCAAGACGTGGTCTGCCAACGACGGCAGCATGAATATCATGCAGCGTCGTGGGATAACCAAAGGCGAAGCGCCCTGGGAGGTCTTGCTTGCTCTGCGGGAGGATGATATGGAGCGGATCTGTGGGCCGAATGAGCTTGGTCGCTGGGCGTCTACTTGGTGCGCTTGAGTATGAGAGATATGGACTTTGCCCTTTCTGGAGAAAGACAAGGGAAATAATGGACGATAATGAGGACGAGTGCTGTTTCGTACAAATATACCCCCATTGAGATTTGAACCGCTCTGTTCACACTTGTGGCAAAGTTGAGCTTATTGTTTTATTTTAGCGAAGTAATTGTCCGGGCATATGACCTCGAAGGAAATAGGGCAGCCAATGCCCCTTGAGATATCAATGTGCGTGACGCTCTAGACTATGGCATGGTGTTTTCTGAATTACCTAGGAGGGGGGGGGGGAAGATACCCGTCACTTCGTGACATGAGGAATGAAGAAGGAACAACGGAACATTGGGCTTCTCCATACTCCATGGAGAGCTCAGTCATATGCCTGTGATAAGGCAAAGGTCTTTGCTCTCAGATTGAATGATAAGCAATATTGCAGATAGAATAATGTTCGCTCTTACAGTAATCGAAGTGACATGCATCGATTCTTGACATAATCCGAATATTCATAGCCTACTTTGAGTAATTGTCCTACTCTAAACCATGTCGACTTGGAAGGTGGAGAGCTACCGACAATGGTACTGAACACACGTTACCGTCGTCTAGCTTCCAAATTATGTCCAGAAAACTTCGGCTGAATGATCTAACGAGCTTGCTCAGTCTTGGGTGTCAACCCGGTGAGGTGGGTAAAGCTCCTGTACCTCGTCGAGACTCTTGTCATTGCGAGTGAGGTGACCCGCCACGTTAACGCATCCAATCAATGCAGCGTCGTATCCTCGATACTATGATAGGTCGGAATGGGGGCAAAAGTAAGGTAAGGTAAGGTAAGGTACACAATAAAGGCGCTATTATCCTTATCGACTCTTCAGCCACAGCCGTTCCTACGTGAGCTTTGCCTCTGATGCTGAGAGTATGTAATTCAATAGAGACTCGGCTGAAGGTATTTACATAACGTCCAATCTCGGAACCTCGTGCCAACATATCTGTATAAGGTACTTTTTATAGCGTCCTTCAGAAAGAACCGCAATCCATGGCCTGTGCTGGCTGGTTGCTGTGGTTCCAATAGCTGCCAACCCCACTTTCTTCTAGAAAAATTCGACTGCAGGAATTTTCTCTCTCCCACTACTTCCTTCCAATCGGCAGCCCCAATGAAGGTGGAGCACCTATTCATATCAAGCTTTAGTATTTATGCGGGTTGGACCTGACGTCTGAACCTGTCCCCGACTCCCCCGAGCTTGAGCTGGATCGGGGTTTCCGGGAGAATGATCGGAGCGAACAAGCCGGATCGGGGCAAGCCGAGTCGTGACGCCATTTGACTTATCGGGGGTGGTGCGGCGTGTCCGCTTGTGCTGCGTCGGGTGCTTGTTGCCCCCCCCCCCCCCCCCCCCCGGCGAGAGGGAGGGAGCGAGGGAGAGTTAGGTTATTATGAACTGATGACTGATGGTTGGCGAGGGGAAGAGGGGAGTTCCCGCATTCCCCGGCTGGCTGTCCGGTTGACTTTTGATTTCGTCAGTGGCCGTCACCCCACCTTGGAAGCAAAGGGCGTTTTGGAAAGTTTATATCACGACCGGGGCGCCTTCCGCGGGGAGAAGCTTGCAGCTGCCTTATCTAGACCTCTTCACTCCCACACTCACATTCACACATTCACACTCACAACCCCATACTTCACCATCACCCAACATCTCATCGCCTCAAACAGAACTTCTAAACCTCACTTCAATCTGTACTACATTGAAAATCACAAAGACCATCGACTCAAAATGGCCCAACAAACACCCAGCGAGATGCGCCGCTGGCAAATCCCCGCCCCGGGCGCCTTTATCAAAGAACTCACTCTAACAACCGTCCCAACCCCATCCCCCACGACCCTGAAACCAACCCAAGTCCTTGTCCAAGTCGTCGCCGCGGGCATCAACCCGGCAGACTACAAGCTCCCCGACCTAGGCCTCGTCGCAAAAGCAATGGTCTCATTCCCCCGCTGCCCAGGCATGGACTTCTCCGGCCGCGCCGTCGCTGTCGGCTCCGACATCACCGACATTGCAGCAGGCGACCTCGTCGTCGGCCGCGTTGACCCCTTGGGAAGCCACGGTTCCCTGAGCGAGTACCTCGTCGCCGAGCGCGACGGCGTAGCCGCCTTCCCTCACGGGTCCGGCGCCGCGGAGAGTCTGGAGCAGGCTGGTGCGGTGGGCACGGCGGGCTTGACGGCGTACCAGACGATCGCGCCGTACGTGAAAGCAGGCGACCACGTCTTCATCAATGGCGGCTCGGGCGGCACAGGAACGTTTGGCATCCAAATCGCCAAAGCCCTCGGCTGCACCGTGACAGTCTCCTGCTCCACCGCCAAAGCAGCCCTTTGCAAATCCCTTGGTGCCGACGAGATCATCGACTACAAGACCGCCGACGTCATCTCGGCCCTCCGCGCAAAGGGCAAAGTCTTTGCCGTCGTCGTCGACAATGTCGGAAACTCGCCGCCGAACCTGTACAAGGCCTCGGACGACTTCTTGCTCGAGGGCGGCCACTTCAAGTTTGTGGGCGGGGCGGTGTCGTTTGCGCAGGTGAGCAGTCTCGTGCCGAGCATGTTTTTGCCTGGATTCCTCGGCGGCGCGAAGCACAAGTTTGAAGCCTTCATGACGAAGAATACGCACGTGGACTTGGTGCAGATTGCGGCGTGGATGGCGGAGGGTAAGGTGAAGACTGTGGTTGATTCGACGTACGAGTTTGAGGATGCTGTCAAGGCGTATGAGAAGCTTAAGGAGGGGTCGGCGGCTGGTAAGATTGTTGTGAAGGTTGCGAAGAAGGCTTGAGTACCTGGGCTAGGGGGGCTATTCGCATCTCTGGGGTGACGGGGAGGAGCAAAAGGTCGGAAGGGCAAGCAGGAAAATTGGGCTTCTTCCACGTTGATTTAGAAGATGTGATTGGGCGGGTTGATACTCTTCTTTGGCGTTCTCGTGGAGTTATTGTGCAGTCATTCGAAGCAAGTTCTAATTTGATGATTGGAATAAATTGATGTTGTTCAATCAAAGACTTATCGCGTAACAAACCACATGCAGTCGGTCGATTGAGTTTGTTGACCCGTCAGCACTAATGTATACACTGCACTGCATCTTCCCTTCAATTCGTCCTATTGCACGGTGATCGAGCACGAACCAATAGAGACAGTTCATCTCATTCCTCAATCCGTACTTGGCACCAGGGTATGTGGACATGGGGACTTCGGGCCTGTCTGGTTACACTTGCAAACTTGCCTCCCGTGTCAACAAGGCATCTGCTGTCTACATCTACACCATATTTGTCATCATCAAAGCCAAAAGTACAACTTGAGATGTCATGCATGTACGGGGTAGAAATGATTGTTCATTTGCGGGTATCTCATAAGCTATGATCCAAAAAAGGGGTTGCGAGCAGCGGCCATCAGCCTTCTCGTATCGAGTCGCAAGTTGTTTACGACATATCTCAAGGGTGGTTGGCTTGCAGTTGTAGGAATTGGTGTAGTCTCCCGCTTCAACCTGTCTGTCTGAAGCGGTTCGAGTCACTCTCGAAAGGCCCGGTAGCATCAAATCTTCGACGGCTTATGACAGCCTGGCGCTGAGTTGTGCAGTGGGTCAGCCCTGCGCGAGTAGTTTTCAGACCAATGACTAGTCTACGAGAACACCTTGGCGCATGGCGTAGTCCATCCTCAAAGACGACGGCGACGACACGGGTTCGAACTGCGTGTGGGTATTGTAGTGATGTGAGCTTTGGAAGAAAAAGCCTCTCATACATCTCACACGTTCAGTGGCCCGGGCTGCTGCCACGGATTGGTTGAGGAGTTATCGTGCAACAGGCGCAGAACCGTATCGGCACTATCAGCCCGGCCGATCTTAGTGAGATGAGTGACAATATCCATGCCCATTGTTCTCAGTCTTCTAGGCAGACGACCGTCGCCTTCCAGAGTGCCTCGATCATTCAGGAACCAGCGGAGGACAGCCAAGGCGGTTGTGTGATCCGGATTAGTGGGATGGTGAAGTTCCAAGTGCGCTCCGTCGAGTCTGATAGTTTTGATCAGGGGCCGTTGGTAACTTGCAGTTCTAGCAAAGGATTCGTATAGCCGTGCAGAGGGTAGTGGTCGCTTCCATGCATCGACTGTTGCTTCCCAGGACAGGTGGCGGAAGGGTTGCCAGAGAAACTGGGGAAGTTGAGGATTCGCCTTCCACGTGGACTCTGCCCTCAGCATCGTTGAAAATGCTGTATCTAGGCTGCGGTCTTCCAATCTTGACTTTGCCCGCACCAAGTTGGCGACCAAGAATCCCACAATCTGACCGGCCCCGTCCGCAGGTCCTTCACCGCGGACTAACCGGTCCGCCCACGCCCACGCCACCTCTTCCAGCCCCTCTGCAACCATGAACGCGAGGAGCTCACGGCTGAAAGGGACGTCTCGGAGAAATTCCAGCCTCCGTTCCTGGCCAGATGATCTCAACCACTGAACTACCCGCAAACCAGCTGCAGATGCCGCCATGGAGTCTTCCTCTGACAGAGTGCTGGATTGGACGATCTGCAGTCGTTTTGCCTTCAGACAGCCTTGTGCAGCACGATTCGTCATCATGCCTCGCGATACTGCCTCATCGAAGACGTCCATCGGATCTCTGGGACTGGGACTTGTGGAGGGGACATTGTCGAGCTGGGCGCCGATCTTGAAGAGTGGATTGGAGAGGATGGAACGGAGATGCTGATCGGTTGGGCGAGACGGAGAGTGTGTGAAAGTAGTAGCTTTGGCCGCGGACAAGTCGGTAGTGTCGGGGGCGAAGCCATGCTCTTTGTCAAGATTCTTGCGGAAGGAAGTCTTCAGGACGTTGAGCAGCTTCTTGGACTGCTTCGATGAGAGGGGTAGCGGCTGGTGGATCGAGGGAATGGCATTTTTGATAGAGCTCAGAGGCTTTGTGGCGAACATTGTTAAAATCGTAGGATTCGAGGTATCGGAATAGCTGTGGTGGCGCAGACGGCCTTTCGTGGTGGTGTTGTTGTAAGAATGGGTTGTGGCCGATGGTGTTCGCCGGAAATGCGGGAGAATGGAGTGAATGTCTCTCCGCTCGGAACTGGCGGTCCCAGAGAGAGGTGAGGTGCTGAGGTGATTGGAGTTCCTGGTGGAGGCACGGATACGTAGGTCAGATAGGTACGCATCATCGTGGTGCCATGAAGTTAGGTTGCCCGCCGAGCCGGGCCTCCGTCATACCACTGATGGGTCATGTGACATGGGCAACGCGGAGTTGGTCCCTTGACACCTGAGGCAGAAGACCCAGGCCCTCGACCTCCACTCCACACACCAAAGCCCAGTAGAGATTCGGTACGTACCGAAAGTATGGAAAATGCTCGGCTGTCTTCGTGAGTGGCTACCTAAGGTAAGGTAGGAGGCATAATGGAGAAAGCTGTTTCCTCGCTGACGAAGGCAAGTCCTGTGTACGGATCACACATGAAAAGTTTCTGGAGTCTGTGATTCAGGCAGCGTATATTTTGCTTGGTCGCCCATGGTCAGCCACAGTCACTCAAGATTTCGCTTGTAGCGGCTACTTGAATGGTTATCCAGTCTTCGAAAGTCACACCAATTACCTTCCATCCAGGCTTCAGCTCGCCATTGACCAAGGGTGGTTCTGAGTGACAGATACAGCCTCGTGACTGAGAACGTATGACCCAGGTCGACCAGGGGTGTCTATTCCCTCGAGATATATGAGCTTGAGGTGCCTCGTCACGGGAGGCAATAGTAGTGACGCGACAAAGCCATCGTGTATCCATATGTTGCTCAGCACTTCGATGCGATGCGAAGCTAGATGATATAGCAATAGAGTCCGACGAATAAGCCGATGTACAGAGGATCTCGGCCGACGCCGATGGGCAGAGCAAACAACGTTGGGAACGCTATTCGTGCTGCGAATTGAGTTGAACGAAAATGACGATGCTTTTCTAGAAACGGCTACTTGGAGCTTCCTGACATGCAACATTCCTGGCCTCGGCTGTGGCACAGCCTGGTTTTGCTTTGTTACCACTGAACAGTACGAAAGTACAACTTGGCCAGGTCAGGCGCCCCCCATTGATCGCTTTCGTCGTTTACGAATTAATGCACTTGTCCGACATTCATCGCAATTGCCGTCTTGTTGTACGGTTGGCTCTTGGAGCGAATCCAAGTGAGCTGAGCTGGAGCCAAGCTATCCCTTCAATGAAGTCCAGGGCTCGACGGGACTGCTTTACTTTCTTACCTCATCTTCTCAGGGAAAGAGATACATGAAGACCTAGGTATCTTAGCAGGTAAGGCAGCAGCAGGGCAGCCATGGGAAAGGTCCCCAATGGAAGTCAGGTACCAGCAATAGAAGAGCACCAAAGTACGTAGGTACTTGCTGTGTTGATGGCGAAGCTGTTGCCAATGTGTCCATGTACTCGAGAGCTCACGTGTTTTATGTGTCCAACAAGGTATCGGTACGCCACTCAGCCCGACGATTGAGGCAGTGGATCTGCAATGCCCCGCCAGAGTCATGACGCGCTAACCGTTTGCGGACTGAAGGGGGCGTCATTCGCTGCAGCCGGTCGCTCAGGCCAAAAACCTTAGCCTGACTGGATCAGAAATGGGGGCAACGCAACACAGCAAGCAACACCAGGAAGAAGGAAGCAATGCAATGAAAAAAAGAGAACAAGCACCAAAATTCGTGGAGGTCCTCTGCCGGTACGTACCCCCAGATCTCACCTCCCAGCTCTCCTCTCACCCCAACTCTCGTCCCCTGTGGCCCAGCCCAGGGCAGCTTCGAAAGTTGACGGGGAACCTTGGTACTTTCCTTGCCTTACCTAAGCCTCTAAAGTAGCTATAGGCGGCCGTGCTCCAACTGGGCCTTGCTGCTGCCAACTGTGACTGGACCTCTCAGACTGTTTACTGTTTCCAGGGCCAGCTGCCACAGCCAACCTGACGGGACCCCAGCTGCCAGACACTCGCTACCTGAGGTACCAACCCAGGTACCTGCTCAGGTACCTTGCTCGAAGGTCGATTGCTCTTGCGCTTCCTGGTTGTGTGTTGCTCTGCTGGGCGCCTGGGCAAAAAACCTCCCTTTGAACTTTTCCCCCAGTGCCCCAGTGCAATTGCGTCTGCCTCTGCACAAACATTCCACATCCATCCACCATCCACACCTCGCCTTTCTCCCACCAACATCCACCACCACCCAAACCTCACTTGTCTCGTCTCGTCAGCCACGATCACGACGACGTCGTCTCTCCCACCTTGCGGCACCCTTTTCTTTTCCTACCTTTTTTTTCTTCCTCCTCTTCATCGGCCTGAGTTCCGCACCTGAAGAAACCCCCCACCAAAGCTGTCGTGTCGATACGGGACAGTGAATAATTGATTCCCTCCAATTTTCCCATCGTGGAAAACCCCTCCCCTCATACAAAAAAACCCAGCAATGTCTGAGGTACAGACCCGGCCTGCCGCCTCGCGCGGCAGAGGTTCTGCACGCGGTGGAAGAGGTGGTTTCGCCAGCCGGGGTGGTCGCACCTCGGGCAGACCCAATGGCGACTCCAAGATTGATGCCGACGATGCGTTTGAGGACCAAGGCGAGCTCGGCGAGCTGAAGAAGCAATACGGATCCAAGGCACCCCTCATCAAGGAGCTCTTCCCCGATTGGTCTGAGCAGGATATTCTCTACGCACTTCAAGAGACGGATGGTGACGAGAACCTCACCGTCACCCGCATTGCTGAAGGTAAGTGGGCGCACGGCTCCTGCCTCGTCAGGCTACCAACCAAACTCTCTCCCGCGCGACGAATCGGCAATCCATCAACTCCTCTGCCTCCCTCCTCATTGACTACTCAACTTCATCGCTTCTGTGCTCTCCGCTAATCAAAGATTCTTGTTCCTAGGCACCATCTCCCAATGGGGCGAAGTCACGAAGAAGGCTCCCCGCTCCAAGGCCAAGGACTCTACGACCGCAGCCTCGAACATCGACTCATCCAACGCCAGACCCACTCGTGGCGGACGCAACGTCTCGGAGGCTGGTCGCGGTCGCGGAAGGACTGCTGAGAGAGGAGGTCGCGGTGGCCGGGGCAGGGCCTCAAACACAGTAGCTACTAATGGCTCTCGCAACAAGGAGAACGCTCAGCCGCTCTCTATTCCCACCGAGGAGTCGAACGCATGGGATACCCCGAAGTTGGACGTTAAGGACGCACCCGCCGAGGACCCCTGGGCCCCCAAGGAGATTATCGAGAAGCCTGCAGCTCCCGCTCCCACTCCCGCTGCCACCGACGCGCCCAAGCCCGCTGCCGCCGCTCCCAAGACGTGGGCTAGCATGCTCCGTCAATCCACCGTGCCCAAGGTTGCCCCGAAGCCGCCCAAGGAGGAGCCCGCGCCCAAGCCCACCGAACCCATCGAACCCCTTCCTCCTGTCGTCCCTGCTGCCGAGCCTACACCCGAACCTGAGCCCGAACCCGAGGCGCAGCCTGAGCCTGCCGCCCCCGTTGAACTCCCCGTGGAACCCGCCCATGAAGAACCAGCACCTGCAGAAGTACCAACCGTCATCGAACCTGAAGTGATTTTGCCGCCTTCCAAGGACCAACTTACTGAGACGAATCTTGAACAGGTAGTCGACGAATCGCATCCTCCCGCGACTGCTACCGTCGCAAGCACCGCCGCCGATTCCTGGGATCCTCGCCACAACGCTGCCAGCGCCACCGCGACACCTCTGTCTGCCTCCCAGCAGCAGCACCAGCCCATCCGTCCTGCTGTTCCCACTACTAACAGCGGCTTTGCCGCTTCCGCCATCAAGGCTACCACCGAGAGAGGATCCCGCACCCCGAGCTACCAGCGTCGCGTTCTTGACCAGGAGGAGGCCGTGCGCATGCCCGGCAACCGTGAGGTTGACCGCGCTGCCGTCCAGTTCGGTGCTTTCAGCTTGAACGAGGATGATGACATTGACGGTGATCGCGAAGAGCCCGAGACCCGGACCCAGCCCCCCGCTGATTCTCCCGTTGCTCACCCCCGAACCTCTCTTCCTCCCGCTCCTCAGCAGGCTCCTGTCCCCGAAGCCATCGGTACCCAGAAACCTGCCCCTGGCCTGCCTCCTCCTGCTGCTGCCACCCCTACCGGTACACTTGCTTCAGCTAGCAACGTCACCGACTTTGCTAATGCACCCTTCTCAGGACCCGCAAGCGCTGCTTCGCAGGCTCCCGCCGCTCAGGGTATGTCCCATTTTATGCCAAAGCCACGCAGTTTTGCCTGTTCACAAACACTGACAAAAGCTCCAGTCCCTCAACCTGCCGCTGCTGCCACCCAGCCTTACTCTCGTTTCGGTCAGGCCGGCCCTCAGGAGCCCTCGTCCTTCCCCCAAAAGTCGATCGATCCTTTCACCCAGTCGAACAACCCCGCTACCTCGCAGAGTCAGTTCGACAGCTTCTCCAACCAGCAATCGCAACAGAGCCAGCAACCCGGTGGGGCCTTCAGCTCTGCTCCCAGCGACTACTCCTCCTACTATACGGCGGACCAACAAAACCGCCCCCCTTACAACTACTACAGCCAGCCCTACGGCCAACAGGGTGCTCAGGGTCACCAGGACAACCTGTCTTCCCAGCAGAGATCTTTCGGTGGCTACAATGCTTCGCAGGCTGATAATCTGAGCCAGTACCCTCAGAGCGGCGGCCTGCAAAACCAGTCCCGCTACGGTGGTGTCACGAATGATGCCCAGAACAGTGGACACAGCACCCCGAACCCCACCGCTCAGAGCCAGCAGGCGGCCAGCCAAGCCTCGCAGCCTCAGTCTCACGGCCAACAGAGCTACCCCTACAACAACCACCCCTACTACAACAACGCTTACTACTCGAGCTACATGGGCTACGGCAACCACTACGGCCAGCAGGGAGGATACGGCGGTGCTCCGTACGGCGGCAACAAGGGATACGGCCACCCCGGATACGGCATGTCGCCCCAAGGCCCCTACGACCACGCCTCGTCTCCTGCTGCTGGCTTCGGCCAGTCATCCCTGCACCGCGCCGATAGCGGCCTGAGCTCGGGACTTGGAGGTGACTTCGGCGGACGCGCTGGTTCTGCTCAGTCTGGCAACCAGCCCGGCTTGGCCGGCAGCGGCTTTGGCGGTGTTCAGGACACCTTTGGCCGTGGCTCCTCTTCATTCCAAAGCCCTGCTGGACAAGGATTCAACAGCACTGCCCAGTCGAACGCTGCGTCTGCTAACGATGATTTGAAGCCTTTCGGCGAGAGCAAGCCTGGTGCCGGTCCCTCGCCTTCTCTCGGCGGCGCTCGCCCCGGCTCGGCCACAAACACCCCCTCGGGCCAGACTGGTCTGCCCCCGCCCCAATCCGCTTCTCAGATGGGCGGTTACGGCGGTTACCCTAGCCATCTCCAGGGCCACAACCTTCACGGAAACAGCGCATACGGCATGGGAGGCGCTACCGGTGGCCAGCACGGCAGCGCTCCGTTCGGCTCCTACGGCCAGCAGGGTGCTTACGGCGGCAGTGGATACTACGGCAGCGGGGGCCAGCAACAGCAGCGTGGCGGTTGGGGCGGAAACTACCACTAGGATGGTAGTGGTCGTCGGCCATCTCACCCCCGTCATTACGGCGGTATGAGAGGTGGCTAAGGCCTCGGTGCCCCCGAACACGTTGTTAGCTGTTTACAAGACTCTCTCTTTGGGCCTGCAGATGGTTATAAGCTGCAGGTGGCAAGGATAATTCATGCGGTCTCTTTCTACGGGGAAACTTTCTTCTCTCTACTCATTACCCAAGTGTATGGTCTTCGAGCGTGTACGATCTATCAACAAAAAAAGAATCAGGGAGGGGAAACACTTTCGGATGGTCAACAACCGCAACGGAATTGTGTTTTTTGTTTTCTTTTTCGCGATGGGAAGGTCTCATCAGGCTTTTCTAAGAATGATAGCCGGCGGCGTGGTGGTATGCGGCCTTGAAAATTCGTTTGAAATGACAGATGGAATGGAATCAATGGATCCGGTGGGGGGGTTGGTCGTTGGTCGTTGCCCGATGGAGGGCCAAATACTGAGATTGAACTCCTTGGAAAGGGAGCACGATAGCCAATGAAGACACATGGCACATGACATTTTTGTCTTGCAAGATACTCATCTCCACTTGTTGTGTGATGTGTGACTCACGAGATGTTTTCTCTGATAGTGTCGTCCGTAGAGCATCTTATATCGAGCTTGGATGTGTACTCCGCGACTCGCCAGATACCTAGGCTTCGAACCTGTGACAGTCTCACAGATTCCCTGCGGCATTTTACCACTAGAACGAGCTGGCTGTCAGCTGTCCCCTCATAATAGCCTACCAATCAGTCAGGCCTCAGGGAAGGCAGTCGAAATATTGCAACCATGCCCCGACCCAGCCAACGTAGCTGGGGACGCGCGCCTTGGTACCTCTTCAAAACATATATCCCATCAACTGCTAGGAGGCGTCACCACATCTGCCTCCAGTCTTTCTCTCATTTTACCTTACTCTATTTCCCTTACATCCGCCTATGAATGATCTCGAAATGGAGTAAACTTAGAGAAAGACTGGAGACGGATGTTGTAATGGCATTTAGCAGTTGATGGGATATGTATGTATTATTCTGGCCTCGCGTAGAACAATCATTGTCGGCTAAGTATATCGCCAGATCGGCCTTGAGGCAAAAGCCGCACCGGTTTCCACGTGCGTTAGGTAGTCTGGTAGGTAGTCTGGTAGGAACGTGGTAGGCAAGAGATTTACGCGTCTTTGAATCTAGACTTCTGCATGACTGCTTGTGTGCTTTTCGGACCTAGGTTGGATTGATAATTACATTTGTGAGAAACAGGTTGTTTAATGCGTCCTTGGGTAGTGACAATCCCGTTGTTTTGATGAGATCTGGATAACCGCCTCGGGTGAAGTGTGCCGTTGTACTCTGTCAGAATTATTCTCTGGGTCTTTGACTCATCGATCGATGTCATCTTACGTATGTGCCGTTGCGATGGAAGCTGGATGTTATGCTTTTTTCCCTGCATCCTCCTACAGGCTGAGAATAAGATATCAACGCAGACTGCCACCAGAGATATCTTTATCAGCTGCGGGTCGTGGTTTCACCACCCAGGCACGATGACAACTTACATGACCTTGGATTGAAGAATATCCGGGTGCGGCTGTAGTCAAATCGTGAGAGCATGAACAGGAAGAAGGAAAAGGTGGATTAAATAGCCTACAGAGCATGAGGGCCGGAGTACTTGTATGCCGATGTGGTGACTGCCTAACACTCAATCACCTGAATATTCGCCCTAGTTACATGTAGACACTAATACATACATTAGAGTTCACCCAGTCCTTCAGTCTCATCGTTCTGATAGAGAAGCTTGTAACCAAGGGGCAGTTCAGCTCCTATCGGCTTCGAATAATGCAAATCGCCGAGAAAAGGGGAACGCCATCCTCGAAAGATTGTAGAACTCGTGGGCAATGGAGGCATTGGAGGTCAGAACGTCGATGGATGTTCACTCGGTGATATAACATCTAAATAAAGCGTATGCTTTGCTTCTTGTCTTGGCGTCGATATACTCTTGGGAGTTAATGCATGCAGCGGCTCTAGGTGTCGAAGTCGTTTGTGGTCTCTCAGAGCTTTCATCGTCACAAAACCAACATCATTCATCATGCAACTTGAAACAGAGCAACGTTACTTGCTCTGGTGTTGAGCTTCATGGTCTTTCAGCTGAGATTCGGATTCGAAGCCAATTACTGACCTGCCACACTTAATAAATTGATTAACAAACGTAGAAGGACTAAATTCTCTCTTGAAAGCGACTAGATCTTGAGACGACAGCCCTAGGTAATGATCAAGTTTCAACAATCTGATGACACTGTCGTGGTACGTGCGATTGCTTTATATTAGCATATCATTGTCGAGATGTGGTGCTAGAAAGCGAACAATGGCAGTGTCAGCAAGATGAGTGGGGAACTGGGTTACTTGGTGATGGAGATCGAGAGCTGAAACTACGCGAACTTGGTTTGTAAGACATACCCTTTGAGCGCAAGCGACTCATTTGTATACATCGTCGAATCAAATCAGTTGTTTCAGGAATTTCATCGAACCAGCTTAACCAGTTGTCTAATCGTTGCTCCATTTCTAGCCTTGAGGCAAGCTTCGGTTGAAGAATCCCATTTTCATGCCTAGATAAGGAATTAGTCAGTCCGACTTGATTGCAGAGCTCAAGCAGCAGACTCTTCACAAATGCGGACTCTGTGGCTTCTAGCCCTTTTTGATGCACGTAATCCAACAGGTGGTGACCTCAGCGGCGAGTTCACGACCTTCAGCAAGCTCGTCATCTGCGCCATGATGATCCATGGCCGCCACCGCGGGTAGTAGAACTCACTCGACCGCGCCCTCGTACTCCCCAGTGAGGAAAGCTCCCACTCTGAAGCGGCTAGGCAACGGCCGCGGAGCGTGATAAGAGATATCTCATGAACGACAAGTGTCATGAGCTGCTTTACACCAAGACTAACCATACCATGTGATAGCAGCTCAAGTGACTCCAGTCGTCCACTGTCATGGGGCTTTTTTTTCCTACCGGTTAGAAAAACGAAATATCAGGTTTGATTCCCGCTTGTTTCTAGAAAATGGTGACCGATTAGTGGATCATCAATCGAGTGGATTTCCTTCACATGATTGTGCCCTAGCAACTACACCCAGGTACTCGTTCAATCTGCTATTCTTCCTCCCAATATTCTGTCTTATTAGCGACTTTTCCCTACACACACTTGAAGGAAGAAATGAACTGTCAGAATCTCGACACTGGGTCACATGAGGCCATGTAAAGGAATCTCTAATTTCCATTGCGGTTCCTCCAAAGTTGCGGTGCCCTTACTCAGTCCTTGCCGTCAGTAACGATTGCACTCACATGCCCTCCATCCTGTGAGTCGTCTTCTGCTGCGCGTCCGCTGCCGGTTTGCTTCCGGTCCTGCCTAGTTACGAAAAACCACGCAGTAGAGACGGCCAACAGCGTTCCGCAGAGCAGACCGATGGAGCATGAATAGCTCACCCGGTACGTAGGACCAAATCTCGACTGATATATCTGGGGACCCTATTCGAAGTCGTCAGAAGATACAAGTGATGAGTGAGGCGTCGGCTGGGAGTGGTTGCACTTACTACAATTCCCATGAGCTGGCACGATGCCTGTAGAGTGATGCTAGTCAGCTTCAATTTTCGAGTTTTGTAAGAGCTTGAGCTTTCTTACGTTGGTCACACCAATGGCAAGGCCCGCACTCGTCGTTCCTTTCGCGGCTCTGATGCGCTCTGTAAAAGGAGTTTATTAGTTTAGGTAAGCCCTAGGGACCTTTGGTTGGAAATGACACGCGGTCACGTACCTGGCCATATTATAGCGAAGAAGCTTTGAGATGCGGCGGTGGCAATCATGACGAATATGTATCTAATACCAGAGTTAGCCTTGCGAAGCATGTGATGGATAGCTGTGTAAAGGTCTTTACTTGGCAATAGGATGCTTGACTGTGATTAGAAGCACATAACAGACAATCTGGGCAGCTTCCAGGCCCAAACCAGCGACCCATGGACTAAGTCGCTTCGTGTGGACAAAAAATGCCAACGTCAATAATATAACGAAGACCAACGTAAAAGGGGGCTATTCTCATATCAGTTAACATGTTCAGAAGTACACCAACGAGAATGTGGAAACCTACCATGGTCATCACCTGCGAAATAGCAGTGTTAGAGATGCCGAGTTCATATATGACAGTCGGTAGGACAAAGGAGATGCCCCATCCGCCGATGCCGTGAGTAATCCAAATCATTAAGAATGGGACAAAGGTCGGATCGCGGAAAAGACTCTTGACTTGTTGGAGGTCAATTGTGTTGGACTTCATGGTCGGTGCCTGCTCTGGGAGGTCAGATAGGACTGCCTCTCTTTCGGACGCTGTGAGGAAGTCGACGGTCTCAGGGTCTGAAGTTGGTTGAGTGTCAGCATTACTACAAGGCTAGATAAGGGAGATTTTTGAGCGATTCGAATCAAGAGGAGACTCACAATTTGGTAAGAAGAAAAATGTGTAGATGCCGCAAAAGATGGCGGGAATCCCTTCAAGAATGAATAGCTTCGTTGTGTTAGTTAATGACACCCGCGGTAATTTCTAGAGGTAAGGTGACTTACCCATCTCCAGCCGGACAGACCCCCGACTCCATTCATGAAAGAAATCGCGTATGCTAGGAATCGGTTTCAGTAATGTTGTAGCAGTTGAGCAAGCACATCGAGTTCCCCAGCACTTACCAAGTAGACCGCTAATTGTTCCAGAAAACATGCCGCAAGCGTAAAAGAAGCCCTACGATACCATGAGCAATCTCATTCCTTCCGATCAGCTAGAGCTCTGAACTGACGATTCTCAGCGGAAGCCTATGGGTTGGATACCAAAAGCTAAGATGGTACAAAACACCAGGATAGAAACCAGCCTCAGCTAGCCCTAAGAAGAACCGACAAGTCAAAATACCGGCATAACTCTGAGTAGCACCCTGACACATTGAAATAATTCCCTTTCCATCAAGAGTTAGCAACATCTAGATGAGAGACACCGCTCAGAGCTAGCATTTCAACGTACCCAGGTAACCATAATCCGACTCATCCACACCGAAGGCGAAAACTTTTTCAACGCGAGTGTGGCAAGAGGCTCAAAGAACATGTAGGGGTAGTAAAAGATGCTCAGCGCCCAAGCCCATTGTGAGCTGGAGAGATTGCCCAGCTGCTTCTTGATACCAGTGCCTTGTTCTAGGTTGATGATGGCTGCGTTGCTGATATTGCTGACGTGGATTCGCATAATGAGGTAGACAAAGGAATACCATATTAGAAGCCTTTTGTCGACTTTGCGATGAGCTATTTTTAAGAGAGGCTTTTCATTTTCGGGGGAGAGGGTTCTATTTTCGGGACTCGATTGGTTGCCCATGATCGCGATGACTCGTCGAGACTCTCTAGGAGAAGTGATAGGGCCCGGCTTTCGAAAAGGTGGTGCGCCTCCCGATGCAACAAAATTTATCAACTACTGAGTTGGAAGCTCGATCCCAATTTCAAGAGAACAATCTCACTCCTGTCTCGCAATCTTGGATACAGCTTGATGTCGATTACGGCAGATACGAAGCCAAGATATGTCTGCACGAAGCACGCCTTACTGCGGGGCCATGTGCACAGTAGTTAAACCCATGTAACGTCCTATAACTGACAACTGAGGGCATTCTCATTGGTCGTTGTAATGTTCTGGTTGAGTCCCTTCGGTACTCGGTTGCACAGGCACGACGAAGCGGCCAGATTTACCCTTGTAGTATCTTACATCAAGAGATTAAAGTTGATTGAGACCATCGTTGTATTGACTTAGCCAAAGGCCGAAGAAAAAAACAACATTGCTTATATTGACTTTCGAGATTGAGAGGTAGTATCCGAGTTTCCATAAACCACATTCAGTGGGAGAGCAATCGTTGATCAGTTGATCAGTTGAACGGAGACGAACTTCTGGATTTTGGATCACGATATCAACTGACAATTGCGGGTTTCCGCATCACCCAAGCCTCACGCCTTCAACCGAGAAAGACTTCTGCATGAAACTCACCCACGAATGCCCCAAGGCGAAGAGCCACGGGAACACACCGAAGATAAGATCAACTAAAAGCGGGAATTGACTTGAAGAGCAGTGCCGAAGCCGGTGATTGGATGCTTCCTACTAAGACCAGCATGAGGATGTGGCTCGTCATACCGGACAAGATGGCGTGCTCGAATTTCGGCGATCTCATTCCGACACGGCACAACGGGAGTGGCGCGGGGTGCGCGAGGATGAGAAACCAACGGCTTGACATCAGATGGAGGGGTATTTATGACAGAATAATCGTGGCCTCACGGGAACTGACTTTTGAGGTTTTGGTCTGCATACCGAAATCAGGACTTGCTTCCATGTCAATCCGGGATACGACCACAACCTGGGAATTACGATGCCTTCAGCCATTTCTGCGGAACTAATTTCCTTGCCAAAATGGCAGCGGCCTGCAAAGACACAACACGAGTTACCTTGGGCAGACATCGCTGTGATTGACATTAGCAAGTTCGATCAACCAGGCGGGAAGAAGCAGTTAGCCGAAGAACTTCGACAAGCCGTAAGTATATACAAGTCCGAAAATTGAAGCCAAATCTAATCCGGACGTCAGGTACACGAGACTGGATTCTTCAGTCTCATAAACACCGGCTTCACGCCAGAAGAAGTGCAACGCCAGTATGATATTGGTCAAGGCTTTTTCAACCTCGCCGCCGAGGACAAGGCCAGACCGGGTAACACGTGCGACTTTTCCAAGGGGAATTACTTTGGATATAGATCGGTGAGTCAGTCTGTGTTTAAATATGTCTTCAAGGGATCAAGAACTCATGAAGTCATCAGGCGCATGACAAGAAGATGCAGGGAACGGATGTCCTCAACAACGTTGAGTCGGTGAATATTGCCAAATTCATCCCAAATTACAAAGACGAACCATTCCATCCATTCTTCAAGCCGTTTCGGCAAGAGATTGAAGACTTCTCAAGAGTACGTATTCCCATCTACACAAGTCTCGGCTTTGGTTGCCAACTAGCCTCTCACTCGATCACACAAATCTGATGTTCTCTAAACAGCGCTCCCTCGACCTCGCAAGCAAAGTCTTCACCCTTTTCTCCATCATTCTGGAGCTCCCAGAAGACTACTTCTCCTCCCGCCACGCCTACGCCTCCCCAAGCGAAGATCACCTCCGCTACATGGGCTACCACACCCGCCCTCTCGCCGACGACCTCAAAGTCGGCAACACCTGGTCGCGCGCCCACACAGACTTTGGCTCCCTCACCCTCCTCTGGAGCCAGGACGTCGCGGGGCTCCAGATCAAGACCTCGCCGGGCGAGGGCGCGGGCGAATGGCGCTACGTACCGCCGGTGGACAACGGCATCGTATGCAACGTCGGCGACACACTCGATTTCTGGTCCGCGGGTTACTTGAAGTCGACGACGCACCGCGTTGTGAGACCGCCTGAAGACCAGGCTCATTTGTTTCGGCAGGGTTTGTTCTACTTTGTGAGGCCTGGTGACGATGTTGATATCAAGCCTGCGCCGTCGCCGCTGCTTAAGAGACTTGGGCTGGTTGGGGAGGATGCGGAGGAGGCTGTGCCGGTGAGGGGGTTGCAGTATGTGAGGGAGCGGGTGAGAGATTATCATGATCACAATGACTATGCGGATATGAAGGGGAAGAAGTTTCGGGTGGGCAATCTTGAGATTGAGGATGAGGCGGAGTGAGCACAAATGGATGAGGCGGGTCGATTCAACGTGGATGGGAGCATGTGGATGAAGTTTAAAAGTGAGAAATGTCTATTTTGGTATCTTTGGTATCGCTGTTGCGAAAAAATCAAAATGCTTTTGGTGAGATATGTTTGTCCACATCCGATGATTATTTACTGGTCATACTCGCCGGCATACAGAATGTCGGTAGGCTGACCGTTCGCGACGTCCCAGATAGAACGCTCCTCAAGGTCCAACTCTCTTCTCAGAGCAGTGACGTTGACACCGGTCTCCTGAGCCTGATCCTCTTTCGCGAGCTTAACGTGCAGGAAGACAGCAGTCCTCTTGCCCGTGTACAGCGCGTGGGGAACGTTGGTGCTATTGTCCGAGTTGGCATCGCCAATGGCGTAGATACCCGCCACGTTGGTCGCGTAGCCCTTGCTCACATCAGCAGCCAGACGACCACCCCAGAGCTGCACGCCGGCCTCGGCGCCAATGGTGCTGCGCTGCTCGTCCGGGTAGCTCAGGAAGAAGGCGGCACGCTCGACGGGCTCTCCTTCGCTGAAGCTGACGGAGAAGAGGTCCTCCTCGGGCGCGGTGGGCAGGGAAGGGTCGTGGGGCGGGTTGCCGCCGTCCTTGAGGCGGGTGATGGCTGTGATGGTGCGGTTGTCGATGGTGACGTTGTGGAGGTCGAGGTATTCTTGGAACTTGGGGTTCTTGGCCTCCGTCTCAGCGCGGGCGGCGGGGGTGTCGGTGCCGTTTGCAAAGGCGATTAAGTCAGTGTTAAGGGTGAGGATCTCGCGGGCGAGGGAGGGGAGGTCGTCAAAGGTTGAGGAGAGGAGGCCAAGGGCTTGGTCTGCGTGCTCGTTACCGTCGCACCAGGGGCACTAGAATGAAATGTTAGAATCGAAGTTAGGTGTGAGACAGATGAAGACTTGTGAAGACATACCCAGTAGATACCCTTGCCCCAGTTCTCCCACAGCCCCGGGGTCTCGGGAAGGTCGTCCTGCAGACCGGTGGCCAAGATGATCTTGCGTGCGCGGACCGTCTTGGTCGAGTTGTCGGCGTAGTTGGCGGAGACCACGAAGCCGGTGGCATCGCTGCCTCCAATCTTGGTGACGGTGCCGTTGGTCAACGTGACACTGTTATAGTGTGAGATTTGCTCGCGGGCGGCGTAGCGATACCATGCGGGAGTGACGCCTGCTGTGTGTTAAAGACTGTTCACACGCATATGAAAGGGGTTTGAATGAAAAATACTCACCATCGAAGCCGAGGACATCGTGCATGTGTCTGGTAGGCGCGTTGCGGTACTCGCCAGAGTCGATGAGGAGAGTGTTACGGCGCACACGGCCGAGGGCACTCGCGGCACTGAGACCAGACGGGCCACCGCCGACGATGATCGCATCGTAGACGTCCTGGGTATCGTTGATGGGGAGGGCGACAACGAGGCTCGATGCTGCTGAGAGCACGAGGGAGCCGAGAGAGAACTTCATGGCGGGCTGAAAGAATGAGAGTGGAGAGAGGAAGCCTATGAACGAGAGCTAGGCTTTTGGTATCACTGGCGGATTCGAGCGAGATAGGACTGGTGACACTATTCAAGAAAGTTTTGACGAAGGAAGAGGTTCCCCGCCGCTCATTATAAACAAACATGAACCCCCCCCCATCCATCCTCCGCTTCTTCGCGGGGTGGGAATGATTGGGAATTCCGTGCCACCGCAGCTGAATGATGCGATGTTCGTGAGACATCTGGAATGAGGCCTAGCGGCTGTAGATCCTCGTCGACAATGAAGAGAGGCCGGCATGCCCGTCTGGTGTGGGGGAGTTGCCCGGCCCGCGACATTAGCGTCAAGTAGAGTGAGTGGTGTGTGTGGGTGGTTGAGAAGTTGCGACGATGTGCCCAATCAAGCATCGTCGACTCGGACGAATGTGGTAGTTCGTGCAGGAGAACCCGAACGCCCGCGTCGAGGCTCGAGGTACAGAGTCATATCGATCTCGGTCGGCCGAGAAGTGGAGCCTCTCTCTCTCGCCGTGGACGGCGGTACAATTCACAATGGGGACTGGGCTGCGCTTTAGAGTTCATCCCTATGGCACATCGGTATTACCGGGGGTTGCTTTGTTTAGGGCCATCTGGGCTTATTTGGCTGTGATGGGGAGCAGGGTCGAGTCAGGACCCTGGGGATACGCGATGACGTGACGGACGTCGTTGTAACCCTTTAAAGGGGAACGGCCATGCCCTTCGATGTCGCGATAAGGACCATGTCGGATGTTCAGGTGGCTACGAGTCAAGAGATTGGAAATGTGACAGGTCTTTTGAGAGCGGCTTGACCTGAAGACCCGTCGTCGCCGGTGAAGAACAATCCAGGCCTGGCCGTGGATGAGACGATCGAGAAATATCTTTTGATCACGCAAAGCAGTGGGCAGAAATAGCATCAAGAAATCAAGGTTTGATAGGGAAATGAGCCCACTGAGAAATTGAGAAATCGACGAGTCAATGGACTGCCCGTACCTCTCCACAGATTTTCTCTATTGTCAAAGATGCTTTGGGTTTTAGTGCGGGCTCCATCGCAAAACTTTGAATTTACCGTCTAGACCGTGTACTTCGTTGAAAGATGTTTCTTCACAGCATTTCGAAGTAGCCAATTCTTAGCCAATTCCCTCATCCGCGGGCCCCCGAATGGGACGAGTAAACAAGCGTCAAAGGACCGAATGCCGCTATGCCGCGAGCTAGAAGCCATCCGGAATGCATCCTCATTTGCTCCGTACCGTGGTTGAATCTGTGGAGAGACACGACTCGAGGACCGTGGAGAGTGGTACTTTCCCAGGTCAATCAGCTGGTTGTGGTCTTTCCGATCTTGTTGCTCGATAGTACGAGCTTGTATGAGCTCAACCAAGTCGGCCCGTCCCTCTCTGTGCGACCCAAAATAATGTGCGCTTCTGCGATCTCTTACCTCACTGTTGAGAAATCTTGTTCGATAGCTCACGCTGTCTCGGAAGATCACAATCCTCTCCGCCAATGGTCGTTGATTTTTGTCTCAGATGGGCCATGCATCTCTGGCACTCTGCAGTCCGAATACGTTTAGCTCTGAAACCCATCAACTCAATTCAACAAAGTGGCGGCGAGCACGTTCCACGGGCCCAAGACATACGGGCGGCATGACCAAAAGTCAATTGAGAAACATGGGACGACGATCGTTGCGTTTGTTTCTGGGGTGAGAGGCGGTCAAGGAAGAAACACAGGCTGCCGACCCCCGAGGGACAAACCTTGTTATCTTGATGGAGACAAGTATGTAAAAGTTTTTCATGTCTAGATTGTGAATAGTCCGAGAGAAGAAGCGTGTACATAATAAGAAGGGTATCTAGCTTGAGCGATTGAGGGATGATCCTCTCCTTGATCATGCGCGTATATACAGAAAAGTCGTGTATCCTCGTTTATCCTCGTGTATCTCGTGTTTTCCCCTGCCTTCATCCCCCCTACCCAGACTTTTTCGTGAATCGTTCGTGTATTATTCATTACTCAGTACTGTTGACAACCCGCAAAGCACGCCTGGGGCCCATGACAACCGAGAAGAAACTCGGCTCCTGCCCATCAAGCAACTGCTCCGTGCTAGAAACACTCTCGTTATCAGTATTGTCGCGCCGACTAGAGCTCGTCCGCGGATCAGTCCCACTCGGTCCGCTCTTGAATGTTCTCGTATCCTCGCTCTTCCGCTTCAACCCGCTGCCAGCACCACTTCCGCTCGCCGTGCCGCCAGACCCAGAGCCTGGTGTAGGATCGTCCGTCATCCACTTCGGTTCGACGCCCGTGCCAACCCACGAGAAGGACTCGTCGCTGACAGTGCTCGCATCACGGCGGTGCCCGCGCTCCCTCCTCTCTTCGCGATCACCAGCACCAAAAAAGCCCGCGGCGCCAAAGTGCATGGAGCTGGCGCCCGAGTAACGGTTTACCTGAGACAGATGCTGCTTGTAGGCCGCGACCTGGCGCCGGTAAAGCCACGCGCAGAAGCCGAGGTATATGGCCAACGCGCCTAGGATACCGGCGATGACACCTGCGGCGATGAGGCCAGGGTTCGTTTCGCCTCCATCGTCCTTTGCCGGCGCTTGGCCCGCAGAAGTACTCGTAGGTCCCACGCCCGTGACAGTAGCCGTCGCGCCACCCTGAGTCACAGTGAAAACAGGCGGCGTACCCGTCTTGAACGGACCACCCGTAGCCGGGCCAGCAGCGGGTGTGGTGGCGGTGGCCCCGCCCTCGGAGCTGCCGCCGATGACGCTCTGGACTTTGCCGGGGACCTTGTAGCCGTAGGATCCGGCCAGGACGGAGTTCTCGGAGCTAAAGTCCGCTGCGTGGGAGCCGGCTTTGAAGCCCGTATTCCACTTGAGGTTGCTCGCGTCAAAGACGAAGACGCCAGGGGATTCGCACCCGGCATCGGGGCCGAGGTAGCCGCCGGCGACAATGATTTGGCCGTCGCGCATGGTGCAGGTGTGGCCAGCGCGGGGGGCGGGGATGCCGTCGGTTGCATCGACTTTGATCCATGCGAAGGCAGGGATGGAGAGGATGTACATATCGTTGTACTGTGTTTGGTTGCCCTACATATATGTGTTAGTCCATATCCAGTTTTCACAAAGTACTAGTGGTGACCTACGAACGGCTGCAGATTCTGTCCGCCGAAGAAATAGATCTGGAAGCTCGAAGCATCTGGTGCACTAGCAATGGCGGCGCATGGGTTGACGCGCACAGATGGCCTGTCACCAGTCGTCCTCTGATGATACCACTCAGACGTGGCGATATCATACACGTCGAGGGTGCCGAGGTCGTCGACAAATGTCTTGTCAGACCCTCCTGCCATGCCGATCAAGACTCCCCTCGCACCCCACCCGGGCACAAAGACCAAGACACCATCAGCTCGTTCCGGGAACGCATCCGTTTCTTGCAGCCCGCCCTCCGTCACGTTACGAAAGACCCCGCCGTCGGCAGCGCCCGCGGCGCGAAGCGCGTCAACACCGGTGTTCAGGTACCCTGGATGTGTAAACTCCAACAGGCTCTTGAGGTACACCCTCGGAGTCTGTGTTGACCAGCCTTCGGTGGTTAGCCAATCGAGGTGGCCACCAAAGTACCAACTCAGCCCGAGCTCGGGCACCGACAAGCCGGCGCCTTCGGCGGAGCGTTGGACGGGAGTATCGGCTGCCGTTGAGTAGTTGCCGGCTGACGTGCGAGGGTCCTTAAACTCGAGCCAGGAGCTGTCCTTGACGGAGTATCGCCAGATTGACATGGGAGCAACGGTGGCATACGTGCCTTCGGCGCCGTCATTGTCGGCGAATTGGCCACCGTAGAGGTAGAGGTAGTCGTAGTCGTGCCACAAGTAGCCGTTGGCGACTGCTGGGGGTCCGTTAGGTATCGTCATGCCCTTGATGGAGGGCGACTTCGTGTCCCACGATTTCGTAAGGTCGAGAGTGAGGAAATCATTATCTATGGAGATGTGTCAGATTCGTCACGTAGTCTCAGCCAAGGGGTTTGCTGGTCGTACTCCAGGTGTTGACGGTCTGTGAAGACTCCGTCTTGGATTGACCTCCATACATGTAGACGGTTCCGTTGAGTAAAGCCGCTGTCAACTGTTAGCAGAGTTATCAAAGCTACAATTACTAATACTTACCCTGCTGAGCCCATCTCAGGCAAACATCCGTCGAAGTCGTTGCTCGTGGGCGCACGACACCCGCAACCGCACCGCTCTCAATCTTCTGGCGGCCATTGTTGTAGCTGAATGCCGGGATGATGATCGCGATGAGCAATGCAATCATGCCGACCCGCTGCAGACTTGAGATCGTGGGTGGTGGCGCGCTAGAGACCGTCTTGATCCTCGGCCGTCGATAACCTTGGGAGAGCTTATTGTACCAAGACATCTTCACAGCCTGACTTGAGCTTCGCTGTCTAGAGTCAACCGCCGTTTCGCGCTGTTCAGTCTCGGAGCGCCTGCTGTCCCCATCGCCATCGTCGTCCGCGTCGTCTTCGTCATCGTTCGATGTGCCGTCGCGTTTCGACTCCCCCAGCCCAGGTACATCTCCGAATTCCTTCTCGCTAGACATCGATTCCTGTCGTACGCAAGACTGTTGGAATGTCTCCACAACGGGCGAACCACAGTCGTCGCTAAAGTCGTCGTCCAGTCCCAGTTCCTTGAATACCGATTTCCTGCCCTTTTTGATATTGCTGACCATTGGGTATGCCTTGGGCCGAAGACCTGAACCTTCTCTCAGACGGTCGGATGTGTTTTGCGAATTGAATCTGGGTCGGACGTGCGTGTCGCTATGGGCGCGGTGGTCGAGAGGGGGACGGGAGAGATTTACGAACGACATCGTGAGAGCAAGAGGCGTGGCAACTGGCAAAGGCCGTTCCGTCAGGGATGCCAGATAGTGACGGGGAGGCTCTGATGTGCGGGCGGCGGTTGGTTGGTTCGAGGCACACTATGATGTCGCCACCTGCAGTTGGGTGGTAGGGATTGTC